TTGGTCGAATTAAAATCGCTCAGTCGGACTGTTCGCGATTTTACCATACGAACGAACGGCTTGCGTTTGTTTTTTTTCGTTTTAGCACTCTATGTTTTATTTATATATTTACAAACAACACCCCTCTTCTTGAATCCAGTGCGAATTTGCTATTCGTCATAGGCTATTATAATATTAATGATTATTCTAATTATAATAATATGTAATATATATAACAATTGAAATGTAATATTATATTGAAGGTTATATCTTTCATACCACTAAAGACATGCTTATGGTTTATGAATAACCTAAAGTGTTGATAAATCGCCATCTATTCACTATCACCGCTGAATGAGATTGAGCTAGAACAATCAACTAATTAATTACAGTAACCAATAGTTATCACGCCGAGAGTTGAATAAAACTTGTGTGTCCAATTTAAGCCGACTGTCTCTCAGCGTTAAATCCGCCGCGCAGATTCCTAAGCACTAACATTTACAAAGATAAAGAGCAACCTTACGCACAAAGTCCGACGTCAAATACCAAAGCCGTATTTCTCAGTAAAGTGCGCTATACCTACATGTATGTCATCTAATGTAGCGCTCATGTTAGGAGAATAATGGAGACAATTTTGCCGGCGTATTCGCTAATACACGTTTGCGAAGCACATCTAAAAAGAGGTTCATTTCAAATACTCCTTTAGTTCATTTATAGTACATTTAGATGTATATAGAAGGTTGCAAATATTTTATTTCATTGTTTCATGCTAAAATAATGTTCATCCGAAAGCAAAAGGCCCGTTAATATTTTAACCGACCGCATTGTTAATCCAATCAGTTGTTAAAATAAATCGGCGCATCTCCCGTCCGCTACGCCACATTCCATTCCGACTGCAGTTTCAATAATTGAAAATAGCTATTCGAAATATTTTGAAAATTGTTTCATAACGGGGTGCCGACGTAGAGCCGCATCGTGCCGCGCGTTTGCACTGATTCCACAATGCGAAGTATCTCGCGGGTTATGTCAATTGGCGGGGCTTGGGGTGCTTTTTATTTTTGCCCCTTTGCGAATCGCTACGGGGCCTACATATGTCCGGCACGAGATGAAAACCCAATTAGCGAATTGTTTACTCTGCCCCCGTCCGGCGGTTAGTTTTTGCTTTGTTATCGGAATTGCGTTTAGGAATTATCAATTTAACATAAAAATTTCCTATAATGATTTCTTGTATTGAGAGGATTAATGCACACGTTTAAGTGGAAATGTTTTACGAACTTTATCGCGCACAGACTAGACCGCGACTATATTTCAGTTATGAGCGCTACGAAGTTTATACTTCTGCGTTTCGTCTGTGTGTGAGGTAACCGAGGCCCACTTATTAACAACCCTCGGTTGTTGCAAATGTGAGCCGCCAACACGCTTGCTATCTTCTTCCATAAAAAAAAGTTTTATTTCACCTTCTAAATATGAACAGAATAAAGTCGACGTCGTAAAATTCTATATTTAAATTGTAATGAACATTGGTGAACAGTTGAAAGAAAATTGAGATGTAAATACATGTTATTTCTACTGTAAACATTTAGAAGCCACCCAGTGTTTAATGTCAAGTGAAATACCTCTGTACAAACTTTACTAAGTTAAATACTTTATATATTGATGGATTTTCGTCGAACTCTAACTCTCTTCTCTTCTGGCGATGGGCCGGCCATATAGTTAGTAGAACCGATAACCGTTGGGAAAGAAAGGTTCTCGAGTGGCAGCCTCGTACTGGCCATCGCAGTGTGGGACGACCCCCCACTAGATGGAGTGACGACCTGTGCAAATGTGCGGGAAGTCGATGGATGCAGGTGGCTCAGGATCTTACTTCGTGGCAGTCTATGGGGGAGGCCTATGTTCAGCAGTGGACTCAAACAGGCTGAAATGATGATCATGATGGATTTTCGTCAACCAATTTCGCGAGTCATTATCTAAACGGCCATGTGTCGTATTAGAGGACAAAAGTGTATGCGTTGATTTGGACCGCGCCTAGGCAATTTGAGGCTGTGATATCACCGCTTCAAACGCGCTCTAAACAATTACCCCGCACCGCCGTCAATGTAGATACTAATGTCACTAATGAGCCCCAACACTTACTCGTTATTGTTGTCATGTGATAATTCTACGGGGTGGCATTTCTAAGTGTATCCATTTTTTAAAAGTAAATTATAGATATAAGTAATGTTATATAAAAAATGATAAATATTTAAAATCACTGGTAATTAATTAATTACATTCATTTTAACTTATAAATGAAACTAATTTTACGGATTTATCGCGTTTATTTTTAATTTTAATTCCCGACGTTTCGAACCCTTTACAGCGTTCATGGTCACGGGACAGACTGAGGTGTTAGACGTCTGATTGTCATAGTTAACCCGGGCTACCGTCAGTTTTTGAATTATTAATTTTGTGTCCGATAATGTGTAATCGCGTAAATACAAGAAATTATCATTTTAACTTATCTCAAAAAGTGCGTGATTTATGGGCAATTCATTTATTTTACGCGCGATCATTCATAACACGCAAGTTCGTTTCAAAAGTATACGACGCATTTATGAATGACTTTTATTGTCAACAAGTTCTATTTTTTAGGGAATAGAATATAAAAAAAGTTTGTTTTTATTTCAATAAACGATTATACTACCGAATCTGAACCTCCTGTGTGAATTTACACTTATAGAAAAGCCACCCTGTACAACACACACCTAAAATAATTCATAATAAAGTATTGTAATATAAGACTTTATAACTACTAACTTGCTGTATCTGTTAGAAAAACGAAGTAATAATAAATTTACTGCAGCAAGTGTCTAGTCCGCCACCAGTGGCGATTTAAGAAAATTATACTACGACTAGTGGTAAGTTAAGATGTAATGTTATTCTGCTTCAATAGTTAGAAGAAAAATAATGGTATCCTGTGGATTCTTAAAGTGGATTAGGTTAGGTTCAAAGTGAGTCATAGATCCGACACAGAGAACCCTAATTACATGTGCTCTTGTGGTCTCTAACACTAGAGTCAATATAAAAATATGGAGCCAAAAGGTGGGCCCCAGCTACCTCACCCACCAGACGAAACGCAGAAATGTAACACTTCCTTCCACTTCACGCCGGTCTTCTGTGAGGTCATGGTACTTACACGGACGGACCTGCCAGTTCATGCAATATCTAACTGCATGGCCCTACCACTGTTAAATGATGATAGATGATGTAGCGCTGTCTGGGGCGAAAAGAGTTCTGGACAGAGCCCATGAAATAATCGAATTAAACGTTTGCGGCCCGGCTAACGGAAAAGTATACAATTTTTTACATCTTACAACATGTGTATAGATATTTACCAGTCCTCTTACTGTTTTTTCTACCCAACGTTTTAGAATAACTGATAATAAAATGTGTAATAAGTAATATATTACAATGAGTAATAACTTGCGGCGGAATAGCATTTTATATATTATTTGATGACTCCTTAGCGCAATCACCAAGGTATTCGCTTGCGCACCGGAGTTCGTGGATTCGATTCCCACACAATACAACTGTTTGTGTGACCCACAGATATTCATTTACGATACATTTCCGATTTGGTTGTTTGTAAACATGAAATGTATGCGTGTAAAACGTCCTTACAGTAAGGGGCAATAAGTTTTCAACGAAAAAAAAATGTTAAAAAAGACTGTAAACTATATTTATGTGTTAGACTGCCACTATAAGAATATGTTGTATTGCGTACAGAGGAACACATTTGAATACATAAAAAACTTGTGGTAGATTTTTTTCCTGATACTCCTCTAGCGGTTTGGTAGTTACTGAATTGCTGGCATACTAGACACTTACTTTTCTGTATCACTTATAACTGTTTTATCATATAATTATAGAAAACGCAGTGAAAAATATTAGGTCTGCTTCTCTTCTGATTTCATCCATTATGTATGAATGAAGTCCTCTAAAGATAACGGCAAGGAGCATTCTAGAATCTGGAACATTCTTATTCGGTTCTAACTTTTTGATAATTGTGACCTCAATTGTATTCCAACCTTTTTTTAGGTTTGAGACTAAATTGTTGTAGCGAAATTCCTAAATGCAGCTAGTAAGGGTTTTAAGGTAATAGAAATCGTCACGTAAGGAAAAATGGTTATGACCTCTCCATGCATCCTGCTACACTTAATTGATATGGTAACTTAAGATTGATCTCGTACCGCGCGGCGCTAGATTCGTTTTATTTACCTTTTATTTTAAATTTATAATTCAGTCTACATTTTTGTTCCAATAATATTGCTGCGATAAGTTGTTTAGGAAGTTGGTGCAAAGTATTAATTTATATTTTTTTTTATTAGTTCATATTTTTTTCTCCTGTGCTGCAATTTTTCTAAAATCATATTATTTCTTTAGCATGACTGTATCGGGTAAGGAAATACATTCCCGTGGTATGCAAAAATCTTAAACGCTACACGAAGTATATTCAGGTTTCAAAAGGTTACAAAAACGACATATCTTTCTCTTGCGAGAGTATTAAGATTTCATCGTGATGCAAGTAAAATTTTTGTGCTCTGGTAAATTGTGTTAACTTTTTGTTAAATCGACTCCAATGATTTTAGCCAACGTTAGTCATTTCGATGCGAAGGTGTCATTTAGTTAAATGCTTAAACGCCGCACTTAGAGATTTAAATTAAATTTTTAATTAATACTCTTATAAATAAATTAATTTATTGCTATTTAATGGATTATTGAATTCTTCGTGACCGTAAGGGTCTTTTTGTACTGGATTAATAAATACGTGTATACCTATCTCGTTCGTTCTTAATTCACAAAAGCTTTTTTTCTAACGTCCCTTTAATTATATCCGTAGATTATATTTATACGCGTACGCACGTACGACGAAAGGGAGTAAAACTACATTCCACACGTTTAATTTCTTCGTCAATGGGCGGCCTTCGGCCTTCCCGTTCGCCCCGTTTCACCCTGATGAAGTCTAATAAATCGTGTTGCAGGAAGGAACGAGCTCATAGCGAGATACATTAAGCTGAGGACTGGAAAAACACGCACGAGGAAACAAGTCTCCTCCCACATACAGGTGCTGGCGAGGCGGAAACTGCGCGAGATTCAGGCCAAACTCAAAGTGGTGAGTGAACTCTACTAACTCTCTCTTCGAACCCTGACACGAACATAACCACGAGAAGGAATAGTTGTAAACGGTTAAAATCATGTTTGTTACATTAATCGTTACACTAAATAGTCTATTGCTGGTATTGTTTACGACACCTGTTTACGGTACCTGTTTACGACATCATGTAACATTAAAAAATACACGTCCCAATAGAGATTGATATTGACAAGAGTTTTTTTATGAGTATATTTGCCTTGTAAAGTACCAATCGTATTAATGCATAAAATAGATCGCATTTGAACTGAGTAAATATTGCAATAACAAGAGACGAATGAAAACATCTAGGACGGTGGTGTGATGAAAGAAAAGGCGATGCAGTCTATGACCGCTCTGTCGAGCGCGCAGATTGTGGCCGGTTTGCCGCATCCGGCTTACCATCATACGGTACATCTGCGAGTGGCATGCCTTTGTGTTCCTTGGCGGTGGAGAAGGGAGAGGAAAAACTAGAATGCCTATAGTCCGTGTTGCTTACACCCCGTTCGCCGTTACTCGCGATTCGCCGAACCCAATGATTCGAGCCACAGCTCGCATTGCGAACTAGCTTCTACTTTCCTTGGTGCTGACCGGGACTTGAACTGGTTTATATCGCAAAGACGCACTCGTTGAGCCTTACGGAGACAAGTGCTGGTCTTGGAATCATTTCTCCGCTGTCTTTTTTCTGATACTATGAACTAATGGTAGTCAATAACCTCTATTGTGAAAGCCGGCCATAAGTAAACAACGACATAATATGTCGATTCCGTTTTCTTGTCTACTACAATATGATTGTCAATTTACAGTAATTGTCGACTATTCCCCTATGGTTAGCCTTTTGAATATTGTGCGAACACGAGTTCCGATGAACGGATAACAGCAAGGCATGCCGCTGCAAAGCACGCTCAATGCGCGACAGTCAAAAAACATAACAATGATTCAAATCGCTTCACTCACAAAACAACTCGGCGCTCCACCATCAACCGAGTTGTGAATTTGACATTTTATAACCTGCAAATTTTGAGTGTCCATTGACTTGTGTTGATGTTGGTATCATTCTTTTCGCCCAGCCCTAAAGTAACTTAATAAATCTAATTCGTAGATAATTACAATAAAAGCTATTTACGTATCCTAACATACAAAATTCGAACTAAAATGTTTATTAGTGATCAATAACAATTAAAATAAAATAAATCTAACTGAAATCAACTAAATTTCAAGCCTTATTAGGCTTGAAAGTGAGTGCTGAATTTTCATTGTGGCGATTATAAAGCTGTTATATTGTTGTTACAGATTTTTGTAAAAATGTAACGTAATTCGTTTTGTGTTTTTTTCTAAATTGTAAATGCCTGTAAACATTTTGCCTCCTAACACTCTGGGCTAGTCTGATTTCTATCGCTTCGTTGTTTGTGTATATATATACCCGTGTTGCAATTTTATAATGGTAGCGTATGTTTTTTCCAGCAATTTTGGCAGCCCGGTCTACAAGCTGGAACTTCACAAGAGTAAGTAAATACAAAGTTGTTATTGAACAAAAATAAAAAAGTAACAACTTAAGTTTATTTATTTCCACTGCTGAGCAAAGCAGTGCCTCTGTAATACTTAATAATACATAGGGCATAGTCCTCCACGCGTCCTGACTACTTCTGATTGGCAAACTTCACATATGTATCTTAGAAATATTTTTTTTGGTTTCCTCACGATGATTTGCTTTACCGCTTAGCACGCGATATCAAAAGTCAGCACTTAAAACTAACAATAACATTTTAATCGTGCTGGCACCGGGATTTGAGCTCAGTTTGCTCGAGTATAATTAATTAATAGCGGGCATCCAGGCACTGAGCTATCACGGCTTTGTTATTGAATATTGATAACGAATATCATCTTGCATCCCGGTTTTAGGTTCCATTGCTTACCGCATCGCGCTTGATTATTGCGGGAAGTTGACAACGAGAAGACATTTAATGATTAAAGATCACTGCCACACATCGACGTCTGCAGCATCGGTGCACCTGTAGTGACAGTTGTGTTGTCAACTTTTAAGAAATTACCTCACTTACTCGGTGCGATGCAAAAGTATAAACACTTCTACCGCACGTCGGCTACGAGGCTTAAAAAAGTAATGTTTTAGTGGTAGTTGCACGAATGGGCTGGCTCGTCCGGGCAGGTACGAAAACCTAACTTTAAACGTAGTTGGCACCGGTTACCTCACGTCGTAAGTTACACGGGGCCGATACTTGGTAAATGATAAACATACTTAAACCTACTGATTGTTTACAACTCCGGTGTTACATGAAGATATGTCTACTTTGCTAGCGTGCATGTGCGCCGATGATCTTTTAGCATCTGCATGTATGCCACCTCCTTTTTTTTAATAAATAGATGAGACATTTAAACACGATGTGTGGTCCAGCGTATTTGCCCAGCGTAAGTCGCTACCGGTTGCCTTGTGTGGGATTAAAGGCGGTGCGTCCGTTTGCCCAGCGTGAAGCCGTTCCCCGGGGCCGGCTACAAGGGCGTGGGCGGCGTGGGTGTGGGCGTGGGGGTGGGAGTGGGCGTGGGCGGCGCGGCGGACGTGGCGCCGCCGCCGCCGTGGGAGGGGCGCGCGATCGCCACGCACAAGCTTCGCCTCGTCGAGTTCTCCGCGTTCGTCGAGCACCCGAGAGACGCCGACACGGTAAAGTAACATACTATTCAAGTCCCACTGCTGGGAAAAGGCCTCCTCTGCACACAGGGTATTAGGGCACAGTCCACCACGCGACCCCACTGCTGATGCGCGGACTTCACTAATTTCGAAATATTTTTTTTGTTATTATTTCGAGTGTTTTCCTTCACCGCTGAGCACGTGATAATACAGCATCTAAAGTTGACAATTTCATTGGTGCTGGCGCCGGGATTTGAACTCGGGTTACTCTCTTATTAAATGAATTAGATTCAATTTTTGAAAAATTATCAACATGAAATAGGAGCCACCAATGTAAACTTTAAAACTGCCTTTATATAATGTTAATGTACAAATGATCTAGTTATTCACTGATTTAGTTGCCATGCAGTAGTGATGAGCCCTAAGAAATCGGCAACATCTTGTTTTATACGTCCGTTTCTACTTCCACAGTATCCCCCAAGTACAGCGCCGGCGCAACACCTCTTCGTCCACATAGGGGGCACCGTCACGTACGCGGATCCCTTATTAGAAGTGAGTTTCTCATAGCAAAATTTTTTTTATGTGAAAAGTTGCCAAACGAGCAGACGGTTCACCTGATGGTAAGTGAATACCGCCACCCATGGACATCTGCTATACCCGAGGGTTACAGATGCGTTGACAACCTTTTAAAAATTGGGCTCCGGCTACCCCACTTACCAGACGAAACGCGAAAGGATTTTTCATACTTCCACTTTACGCTGGTCTTCTGTGAGGTCGTGGTACTTACCCGGAAGGACCTGCCCATTCGTGCGACAGCCGAGGCTGCTGCGTGGCTCTACCACCATTAACCCATAGCAAATTAATACCACTCATTATCCGCACGTAGAGACGCCAATTAGAAGATAACTACAATTAAATTAATTGTTGATTGAAATTATCAAAGTATAAGTTTGTAAATATATTCTTTGTATGTGTGCGTGCGTCTGTGATGTTCTTTTATTTGTTGCATCTGCCATAAAATTAATGTAGTAAAGTAAATATAATAAATGGAATATTTTATTATTTGGTTTAAAAGCAAACGCAATAAAAATAAAATAAATAAAGGCTGAACTTCACTTAGCCTCTTATAATTTATTCAAATTAAAGTATTATTCAATTAGGCATCTTTAGTTTTATAGACCTAGTCAAAAAAACTTGACACATAATTAATTTGTCTAACAGTTGCCATGTGACTAAAACATCCAATGATAATCACTTAATTCGCGATTTAAGTATTCAGAGTTTATATTTATAATCTAACCTTACTTTGATTTTTCCCTCGCGACTCGGGATTAATCATTGTAGTGTGATAATCAAAAACCCTTTCCCGACTAGTTGGTGATTGGCATTTGCCGTATTTGTAACGTCAGCAAATAAGGCTTTACTATTATTTTCTTAATAAGCTCAATACAGCCGCAGAATCAAACATAGTGACTCATAGTATCCACACATGGTGTTTGTTTGCCAAACATACCAAATACACTTATACGAATAACTATGTCGCGTAAGTAAATAATGCGAAGTAGTAGTAAAAATTATTTTTATCCACACACCAGCTAACACCAGCAAACGTTGTTTTGCCATATAAATTATTTCTAGAACACGAATAAAGTGTTTGACAGGTTACACAGACATATTTGACGGGTTGACAGGTACAATTTGTATGGAAAAATAAAATTGTTGTTATTTCGATTGCTCAATACGATTTCTCATCGTTTAAACCTTCCTGGACTGCCACAAATATTTCAAACCCAAAAGTAGCCAAATCGGTGCAGCCGTTCTCGAGTTTTAGCGAGACGAACGAACAGCAATTCATTTTTAGATATAATACATTGCTTGTCAAACATTGTTACACAAAAAACACTTGAAACATACAGAGGCAAACAACATCGGCATACAGCGATTGTTTCCCAAATATTATAAATGCATATTATATTCTTATATTAATTCCGGTAAATGTAAATAACTTTAACTCCGGGGTAAATCAATTAAAATAAATTTTAAACGATAGATAAAAATCACTAATGAATTTATCAACAAGCAGAATTCGGCGGTCGCTTATAGTTTTCGAAAAAATAAATAATGAAATAGTGTGATTTTTATTATAGAAATCCGCCATTTTTTTGTTGTCAATATGTCAATTCTGCTCGTATTTCTTGGTGGTCATAAAAAAAATAACCTAACCTCGAAGGTTAAGGCGGGAGCTCCGCTCCCGGCTGAACCTTCTAACCTAAACTATCCGAGTCGGATTCGCTCTGTGTCGGTTCTGGGACTCATTAAATAAATAAAAAATCGGACTATCGATACGAGTATGATGTCGCCCGCATCCTATATTTATCATGTTGGCAGAACCGTGCAGTTTTTGAAGTCAAATAAATAAAATGGTGGATTTCTTAGTAAAAATAACAAGATTTAAATATTTTTTTCTCGAAAACTATAAGCGACCGCCGAATTCTGCTTATTGATTAATTCATTAGAGATTTTTCTCTATCGCTTAAAATTTATTTTAATTGAATTACGCCAGAGTTGAAGTTATTTACATTTGCCTTAATTCCAATTAAAGTTCTGGGCCTAAAGTTATTTTATTAATATAACAAACCTGCACACGATACAGAGATAATTCATACCTTAAAAGAGTTTATAAACTAATCAATATGAATAACGATCGGCCTATTTTGCTACGTTTTCAATTAATTTTTAACTATTTTTTTTGTTTGCCATACATGTTAGATGAACAGTTAGGAACAAAATTTGTATCAATACGTATATAAGTTTAATTATTTTTTAGGTTTGATACAATAACGAAAATTATATAAAAACAACCCTAACCCTTGTTTCTTTTCAGTCGGTAGACGTGCAGCAAATAAACGACAAGTTCCCCGAGAAGAAGGGCGGCTTGAAAGAGCTGTACGAGAAGGGGCCAAGGAACGCCTTCTTCCTCGTCAAGTTCTGGGCTGACCTGAACACCAACAACCTTGACGATCCCGGCGCTTTCTACGGCGTCACTAGTGTGTACGTACAACATCTATAGAGGAACTTCTAAATAGAAAAAAAAGTGTAAAGTAACAGCCCATATGTGTCCCACTGCTGGGCAAAGGCCTCCTCCGTACAAAGGGTATCAGGGGATAGTGACATATAGACATATAGACTTCACATATCTTCGAAACATATATATTTTATTGTTATTATTTATATTAGAAAATATGCAGGTTCCCTCAAGATGTTTCGATCATCGCTGGGCATATGATACGTCAATACTTAAAATTAACAATTCCATTGCTGTCGGCTTCGGGGATTGAACTCAGGCCTTATCCTTAAGTAAGGGGGCAATATTTTAGATGGGAATACTACTACTATAGACAGGTCGCAGTGATCGTTGAGACTTTTTTTATGTGAATAGTTGTCAAACGAGCAGCCGGTTCACCTGATGTTAAATGAATAATGATTTTAAATGAATAATGATGTTAAATGGCTATGGACATCTACTGCATTGCCACAGTGCCCCAATACCTTCCACACAAAATACGAGTGATGGGCATTCTACGTGCCGAGGGCTATAGCGATGACGTCACATAACTAACTAATATTGCAATTTGTTTTCATATTTAATTTAGTAATAAGTGAGCCTCGCAATATTTTGTTAATGCTTTTCTATTTATTTTACTAAGCACGCTGTGTTCGCCTTTTAATTAGATGTACATTGATCTGTAACATTAATTAATGTTTCATATAATATTGTCTTCGATGTAACAACTACTGGCGGACCTAATAAATAAATAAACGACCCTCGCGATGACGTCAGAAACATCCGACGCTGTAGCGTGGCCATACCACAGTGCCCAACCCCTTCCACACGAGATACGAGTGTGGGCGGCATCCACGGGCCGACGGCTCCAGCGATGACGTCACACGACTCTAGCGATGACGTCACACGACTCTAGCGATGACGTCACGCGCCCCTAACGCCGACGCCGCTTGCAGGTACGAGAGCAACGAGAACATGACGATAACGTGCAGCACGAAGGTGTGCTCGTTCGGCAAGCAGGTGGTGGAGAAGGTGGAGACGGAGTACGCGAGGTTCGAGGGGGGCCGCTTCGTGTACCGCATCCAGCGCTCGCCCATGTGCGAGTACATGGTCAACTTCATCCACAAGCTGAAGCACCTGCCCGAGAAGTACATGATGAACAGCGTCCTCGAGAACTTCACCATACTGCAGGTGCGTCGCCCTGGCGGGAGTGTTCCTTGTTTTTGTGACGAGACGGCCAGCGAGCTACGTCTACAACGCCTGATGTAGACGTTGTAAGCCAAGCTTTTAATGAAGTGGGCCCCGGTTACTTCTGTGTTGTTTTCTTTGTGGGAAGGTGGTAAAGCTCGCTTGGCGGCTTTTCAATAAAGTGCCCGGCTATCTCATTCACCAGAAGAAACGCGTAAGTATGACACTTCCACTTCGCGCCGGTCTTCTGTGAGGTCGTGGTACTTCTCGGACGGATCTGCCCATTCGCGCAACAACGCAGACCGTTGCGTGATCCTACAACAGTACATGTGTATACAGAGTGCACATGTAGTTTTGTCTGTATATATACGTCCCTAATTCGTTTCGATAATGAATCCTTCGCTATAACCAACACTACAGTACAGTACAGTAATGTTTGCAATATGTACGCTTCGGCTCTTCCATAGTAGAGAAATAAACATTGTATAAATGTTCTAATAATCCTAACAAATTTCTCAGAGTGTTGCGTGATAAGAAGCTTAGTTATTGGATAGATCACTTGTGAAATCAATCGATGCCATTCGTATTATTCGAAATTTCCATTCTAAATACCGATCCTTAGGACATCCATTACTGTATAAAATAGGCAACATTTAACTAGTGTGAGACTCGCTCTCTATTTACATCTTATACAAGTTTCACAACTGTGTAATAACCAAAATGTTTGAAAAGGACAACACGGTTGCTGGATCTAAATCGGCTCGCGCGATTAGTCTCCACATAATCACGCAGGGACGATCATGAGAACAAGATAAACACAACCCTCCTTTGTTTCGCGCAGTCGGGTAGGATACGGGGGAAAGTTTGCACAAAGAAAACACCAGAACTGAACTATTTCCCTCGACAGGTGGTGTCGAACAGAGATACGCAGGAGACGCTTTTGTGCGCGGCGTTCGTTTTCGAAGTGTCGAACAGCGAGCACGGGGCGCAGCACCACATCTACAGGCTCGTCAAAGACTGAATGCAGAGAGCAAGCGGACAAGCAGACAAGCAAACGTGTCGGACAGCATGCACCATCATATGGGACAGTCCCGCCGGTGAAGGATAGTGTGCGGCCAACGAAAGCCGAGCCTAATTCTAAATAGGATACTCAGTTCTCGTTCTCGGTTTTTTAATCGGAAAACTCTTAGTGGACCATTCAGTAGTAAATTTTCAGTCGGCTGCTGAGCGGAACGGAGTGGAGGTCGTGTTCGGAACAGTGATGCGAACGCGGTGGGAGACAATGTGATCTGAAAAAAAAAAATTACGCTACAAGTATTTTTGTAAATGGAAATTTATGTATAGCTCAATTTTTAAAGTATCTGTACCATATAGTACCTACTGTGGACGGAATGTCACCACCCTGAATGTGTTGTCTATGGTAATGACAGTGTACATTCAGACAGTGGAACCTTCAACAGATCACTATTTAGAATTTCACAATCTCACAATCAACCCCCCCTAAGATTGCGTGTAAATTACCAATATAAGAAATTATATAGATTTCAACACACAGTGCCTCTATTAATTATGTTACATTAACATAAATTACTTGAGCATTTTTAATCTTTCCACTGCATCATGCGGCTAACAACCAAATAGAACTGCAGTGGGGAGATTAAACTTAGGTTACTGCGAATCAATACATAAGTTGGTTTAAGTATAGATTTATTAAGATGTTCTAGAAACCTATCGGATTATTTTAAGTGCTCTCGGTACAATTTAAGGTGTTTTTGTTACTGATTTTTTAAGTGCTTTCAATTGCCCGATGATCGAACGTTATCTATGTTCGTTGCGTTATTTCATAACTCCATGTGGCAGCCTTTTACTTTTACGTATTTTCTTTACTACTTCGTATTATCGAGCTTGTCTCCATTCTTTTTAGTTCTCTTATGTCCGCCACATGAGTATTTGCCACTCGATTATACAATATTGTACATATTATTACAGTTAGCAATTCAAGGTTGTTATGATTGTAAAAAATTGTATTATAAAACAAATAAAATTATTGATAAATGTCGCACGTGGAGCACGGAATTTACTTCGCGATCGCGTTGAAGAGACATAGACGCGATTTAATAAAAAAAAAATTCTCATCAAATATTAAATATTAAGACAAGGCTCTAAGAATCATGTTTCTTTTTTGTGTTTTCTTTTTACTTTTTAAATTTATTTAAGGCTAATTAATGTAAATTTGTCATTTCATGCCACTGAACATGATTTCGAGAGCTTTCAACACTCACTTTTTCAGACATAATAGCTTTTAAATTTTTTAATGGCAGCTGTCTTGCGCTTATTGGAAGCTGACTTTTTTGTATATTTAAACAAAATTTTCAATGAAATGCCTAATCACATTAAGGGGCGAGAAAACTCTGTTTCTTTGTCATTTATAACATATCTTTGCAACGATTTTAACTTGTGGTGCTATAGCGTTCTCTTATTCTGTTTCTACAATATATGAACTACACTATCTCCTCTATGTACACGATTTAGTTTAACGATTCACAAACAGATAAATAGTGTTGTCGGTTGTAAAAAATCGAATGTCTTTAAATGGAACATGACAATGGTCATATTTTAATGTACTATTGAGTACTACTAAATAATATATTACTTTCGAGATTTATATGTCTTAAAACAAGTAAATTTACCATATTCTTATGCTATCTTTATCAGAGTTAACAGCAATAATTTGCCGTTTTAGTGTGATTAGGCAATTAGGATTTCCTCTCCTTTATGACTTTCCCACGCTCAGGCCGCTTCTGCTATCTTTCAACTTTCAAAGTACAAAGAGTGACGGCCTGCTGTTTACGCATAAGTTATATTTTTTTAACGTGGCAATGATTTGATCTCTCTTTTAGTCAAATATTTTTAGGGTCCCTCCCATTTAAGTTTACAGCGGTAACCTTATGTGCATTAAATAGTTTAGTTCCAAGACATGCGATAGCAAAATATTATCTTAGATAATAATAAGAGATTTTTTTTGTATTTATTTCATAGATTTTATATTAGGTAAATTGTAAAGTTAATAGGTTTAAGTTTTTTTTTTTAATATGGCGATGGTCGTTCAGCAAAATCGTAGGTAATGTGAAATAATTAGTACTTAAGCGAAATGAACTTAATTTTTAACTGCTGTCCATAAATAGTTCTTTGTTTTTGTCTATCACAACTTACTTAGAATGATGGCGCATTGCAAAATACTAATCTAGGGAAACGAGCGAAAGAGATCTGCTTTATTGTGATTTTTTTTAACTTTTTTTTGTTTAAATATAAAAATTATGTACTCAAAACGAGATTAATCCGACCCCATTCGACTATTTTCCTTGATGTTTCAGACGGTCTTTACACCGGTGGCGACTCGCTCGCTGGACATTCTAGCGGGCTTAGATTATCTGGTACTGTTAGTGCATTTCATTGTAGGCCTTTAAGTGGATTTTGCTTCAACAAACGGTCTTTCATATCGACAATCTGCCATATCAATATGAAAATTAAAGAAAGATTTAGTCGACGGCGTTGGAGAGAGTCGTTTGCTCGACGAAGTAGTTGTCGTACCGATGATCACTTTACTCTTAACGGTATTCTGAGCTGAAGGTGTCAAATGCTGAGCAAATGATTACCTACAAAGCCGGCCGGCATATGTACAGTATTTTAAAGATAATATTATGTTAAAGATTTGTATGAAAATTTAATTATATTGTCTTCATAAATCCATGTGTATGTTATTTTACCTTTAAAAACTTATAAATATATTTGAAAATATCAACTACAACTAATGCTTTTTGAAACTCTGTCTTTTCACAACTCTCATGCTAAATCAAAATATAGAATGACTTCACATTTAAAAATATTTTTCAATATACCGCGTGTCTTTACAATCGCGACAATCAATGAACACACATATAAAGGATAACTTTTTAAAATTGTATTAAAGATTTACATTCTTTAAACATCAATATTTACCGAGTTATCAAATTTTCCAAAACAAAGAATTTTAGAACATCCTTACGTATAAAACTGTAATGTAAAGTTCATTTGTAAAGGTCACAAAGCATATGAATGGGTTGAATGAATTTAAAAGCGACAAAACATACTGTTACAAGGAGAGGCTTGTAATGCGGCGCTGTGGCAACGAATGAAAAAGTCTCTGAATGTATGAATCAGTCAGTTGTAGTTGTATAGGATAGGATGTTACAAATTTTGTTTCTTTTTTACTTAATTGGTTTGTTTGAAAAATTTTTTTTTTATTATGTATTTTTTAACGTTAATATTTTTTAAGATTATTGGCGAGTAGCGTTAGACGTGTGTAAATTTATTGTCGCGGTGGTAAAGACACGCTGTATAATAATACTATCCGACGGACCCTAAAATTGCACTATCGGTTTTCTGGGCTTCTTATTCTTACAGTGGTAACAGCAGCCTTGGCTATTGCACGAATGGGCAGGCTCGTCCGGGTAAGTCACGACCTCACAAACGACCGGCGTCAAGTGGAAGTATAATACTTTCGCGTTTCGTCTGGAGAGTGAGGTAGCCGGAGCCCAATGTTTAAAAGGTTGTCAACGCATCTGCAACCCTCGGGTGTAGCAGATGTCCATGGGCAGCGGTATTCACTTAACATCAGGTGAACCGCCAGCTCGCTTGGCAACTTTTCAGATAAAAAAAATATTATATGTAGTCTTATATGTATTAAGTATTCTACTTCTAATCATGAAATTATATTTAATAATTTAAATATAAATTATATTTAGTTATATTTTATAATAATTCTATCTCGTTGTCAACTTAGATCAAAGCAAACACTTATCAGCCCTCCAACAAATATACCGGAGATATTTTTACAAATCTATCACCATGTCAACAATAACTGAAAAAATTCTGTTAACATTTAGCAGCGTTATGGACTGTGTTTATAACCCTGGGTTCGATGGAAACCTATGTGCAGCTGTGGTTAAAAGTTGTTACTCAGCAATTTTAAGTAATCAGATATCAAGAGTATATCCAAAATAGATTTTTCACCTAAAATTCAATATAGTTTCTTAGGTAGGTATCAAATTTATTTCACATCCATATAAATATATTACGTTACTCCAACATAAACATATGACGTTACTTAAATATGGTCACGGAAACTTTCTCACTAATTCTTCTTTAGCGTACCCTTATCCCAACTTAGTGGGGCAGCACAACGTCAACGTCAATAAAAAAATTTACTAGGTTTCCAGCCGCCTGTCTGACGTCAACCCTCGTCGGGAAGAAACACTTAAATTCGGAACATTTATTTGTGGGACACAAACACTTGTCCCGTGTGAGAACGAACCCACGACCCCGATGCCAAAATAACGTATAAGCAACTTTGCCACCGACTCGTTGAAGTTTTGTTATTAATTGACCTACTAAAATTGTTTTTTACAAATCTTCCTGATATATTGACTACCGTGATGGAACCAAGTAACAGCCCCTTAAAATAGGTTGGATCTTCCGAGTTTGTGACAAGGCCTGACAGTAGAACAATTTAAATTTGTCCATTTATTATTTCCTTCATCTAAAAGGATGGTAACGTAGCGGCAATACAACAACATCTACAATACATGACACCTCATAGTGCTTTGAGTGTCCTCGTTACGTGATGAACTATAACGATTCCTGGGCCGCTTATCTGTTTACTGGCGACCATTTAAAACACTTTACTCTCCAGTTGCTCCTTTCCGGACGACTGGAAAGAAGCCACGGTTATCAGCATTCGCAAGCCGAATAAACCAACCAATCCGCCCTCACGTTATCGTCCCATCAGCCTCCTCAGTTGCTTGGGGAAGCTCTACGAGCGGCTATTATTAAACAGGCTCAAAGAGCACGTATTTTCCAACGGCCTCCTTCCGAACAATTAGGCTTTCGAGCTAGACATTCCTGTCCCGAACAATTATACCGCCTAACGGAACATAACCTGAAAGGCTTAAATCATCCGAAACATATTAGCACGGGGGCTCTTTTCTTCGATGTCGCAAAGGCATTCGACAAGGTATTGGCACGATAGTGGATCTCAACACATACACTGATAGTACCTATTTACTTACATCATACTATCTTATAATATTTTATGTTTATTTAATGTTAGATACGTATATGTTACATAACAGATACAAAATTTTGTTTTGTGTACTTTTAATTTAAATTCAATTAATAATGCATAAATTATGCATATGTTTTTACTTTAAGTTTTTAACACTAAACTTCACTACAGTTAGAAATTTACAGGAAATCAATATCAGGTAAGTAGGGGGCCTACCCAACACGGAAAAACATAGCAAGGGGTCTACGACACAAAAAAGTTTGACGAACTCTGATATAGAGTTTAGTTTTGAAATATTTTCACTAACATATTCCCTTAATCTATGTATACTTAATTATCACAATTTATGTCGTTTAATCGAATCAATATTATTGTCATTGCCACTCGAAGATTATCGGTTGTGATAATGTATTTATAAAATAATATCCATTAATCGCTCAAATATTGATTAAAATAAATATTTGACAAACCACTTTATTAGCCAATGAGATGTGTTAGTGTTAGGATATAGAGCTATTTCGTATTTGATTACAATATGACGACTCATAACTTTAATTTATTATTCTTAATCTTCACTATTCTTGCTTGTAAATTTCCTACTGGCAAATGCGGTACGTATAATTTGTGTATACCATCAATATTTTAGAATCATTTCAATATATTACAAAAAAAATCAATGTATTATAAAAATATACAAAAAAATTATCTCTGACATTGAGCCATTTATTCTGTAAACGTAGATTACAAATTATACGCAATATACAATGAAACACGGATCGAGATGATATATTATCAAAGATCGATTAAAGAGTGGACTTTCTTATTTAATCAATATAGGAGAGAAAGTACACAAGTATTTAATGCACAGATGTAAAAAATAGCCGGTTTGATTCTACCTGCCTGAAAAAGAAACAAATCAGAAAAGTTTTTAATTATTTCAACATGATACTAGCCAATTAAACCCTTGCCGAGGTGTTGAAAAAATTGTGTTCTAAATTTTTCACTGAATTAAATTTTTACAGAAAATCACTCCCAAATTTAATTGTTTACATTTTGGATCGTTAATTTTTGTTTTGTATGGGTAAAACATATTTTTATCTCTGGCCTAAAATGTAAAATCCGACTTCACCGAAGTTCCAGCCGCCTCAACCTTCAACCTATCTCTATTTTCCGCTTTTTTTCTAAACTTACTTGAGACCATGTAAAAATTTGATTGTCTTCTCAATAACTACACATTTTATTTTAAATAAAAACACTTTAATTTTGATTGGTCACCCATATGTTAACACCATAGTTTGCGTGCAAGGCTAGTCTTTTCATTCGATCCTCATGTTTTGTAAAGCCTAGGTACTCCCTACTTTTTTACTATTTTACTCCCTACTTAAAATTTATTTGTTCTAACCATGCCAGGCTTTCAAACAATATTTTACCCATTTGGTTAATGGTAAAGAATAGCATATTATACTTTTAGGTTTACTACTCTTTTTTACCACAGGCATCGAGTCCGCTTCTACTGTACTTCTGTCTGTGCATGATTTGTTAGTATAAGTTAAGAAGTAGTTTGAATAAGTTAAGAAATAATAAACAAATTGAACCTAAAGTAAAATAAGTAAAGTAAATACAGTAAAAAGAAAGACCTCCAGTTAACCCATGTACCAATATAATAAAACATAAAAAATACTTCTACCGTACGCCGATGTTTTGAGTAGTAGTGACAATGTTCTTTGGTAAAAGCATTGAATTAGAATGTTTTAAGCAATCGGGTGCTCTCGGTCGGTTATATTGTAATTATACTTTTCCATCTCGTCCGGATTGAAGTAACTGGAGTAAGTGCCCATGGGCAGGGTAATCGCTTGTCTTTAGATTTCTTTGAAATAAACCTAAATAAATGGTTGAAACTAGAATGGTTCGACTCGACCGATTCAATCACTTATTTCGCAGCGCTTATTACATAGATAAGACATGCATAAAGTGTGGCTTTTCTAAGTGTATCCATTGTTTTTATTAAATTCTAGACATAATTATTGTTATATAAAAATGATGAATATTTAAAATCACTCGTAAGTAATTAATTACATTCATTTGAACTTATCTCAAAAAGTGCGTGATTTATACGCAACTCATTTATTTTACGCGCGATCATTCATAACTAACACGCACACAAGTTCGTGCACAGTAAAATTTAGATATTTATGAATGACTACCACATTGTCAACACGTTCTGTTTTTAGGGAATAGAATGGCATTTTTTTGGAAAAAAATCTTTTGTTTTTTATTTCAATAAACGATTACACTACCGAGTCTGAATCTCCTGTGTAAAGTTGGGCACTTCTCAAAAATCTCCCTGTATAATATATACAGCGTGTCGTTACCATCGCGACAATAAATGAACACACGTCTAACTCCACTTGCCAATAATCATAAAAAATATTAACGTTAAAAAAATCCATAATTAAAAAAAATATTTTCCAAACAAACTAGTAAAAAAGAAACAAAATTTGTAACATCCTATACAACTACAACTGACTGATTCATACATTCAGAGACTTTTTCATTTGTTGCCACAGCGTCGCATTACAAGCCTCTCCTTCTAATAGTATGTTTTGTCTTTTTTAAATTCATTCAACCCATTCATATGCTTTGTGACCTTTACAAATGAACTTTACGTTACAGTTTTATACGTTATTAGTTTGGCTTATTAGTTCGAAGCCTTTTGTCACAACGAGCAAAGTTAAAAAGTATTTTCATTTGTTTCCGGCGTCTTCACATAATCTTTATATCACAACGACCACTCAAACTATTAATTTGAATATATTGTACGTTCCAAAGAACACTTAACTTTCTATTATACATAAATATTCTGATTCATTATCATACTTGAATTGTTTGGTTTTTACGTTGAAATCAGCAAATAGTTATAGAGGCTATTCTTTCATTTTATTTATTAACGATCAAGAGAAAACTTACTTAAGAGTCATAACTTTTGTTTTCATATTTTTTATAGTTATGCTACAGAAAATAAAACAATAGACATAAATGTATACGTCAATATTTTTGCACACAGATTTACCATGCAGAGTTAGGGACGTGGGCATTGAAGGTCGATCGATAGTCTGCGTCTGCGATGCCAACTACTGCGACACCATCACCAGGGAAGCGCCGCCGCGTCAAGTTTTCGTCGCTTACACTAGCAGCAATGTAAGAAATGGTTTTCAGCAGCAAAGCGTGATATTGCATAGGGCCAAGTCCGATATAATTTTGTGCCTCTGTCTAAACCGCTTTTTAAAACTTATACATATATCAACTAAATCACCTCGAAACAGTGTTATCAACAATTAAAATAATTCTAAAACATGATTAGCTGTTGCAAATTACTCCGAAATAATATTAATTACATTGATACTAGATATTAAATTTATGTTATCTTGACTGATATCAAAACTACTAATGTCTTTAAAAAAATGGGGAACGAATTCGTAATTCACATAAACCGTAACGGTTTATATGGCAATTGAAAGATCCGAATACGTCTCTAAAGAATGGTGCGGATGTAATAAGAAGTCTTGGGTCGTACAATTACGAAATCATGTACGATTAACATTTTCCAACTAAGCCATCATATAAGGACAATTCAATAATTGAAAACCATACTTCTAAAAGTAAGTATTATAAATGCACAAATATTAATGGTACCCATAAATACTTTCCAATTAAAAACCTTCCCAATACAGGCTGGCCAACGATTTGAAAAAAGCGTTGGAGTAGTACAACAAGAAACTACAACTGACGACAGTGATTTTGGAAATACACAAGATGAAGGTTAGTTTCCGCTAAAATCCCTATTCTTAGATTTCACTATTACGTTATGAATATTTAGATTATCCGAATACCGTAATCGCTTAGTTCATGTAAGGCAACCTAGAGTTGTGATATCCTTAGATATGAAGTTATGAAGCCCTAATAATTATCGTGTTAAATTTTATATTTCCTAAAAATTACGCCACGGCAACTCAAACCAATGAAACCATATTTCACTTCCAAAGCATGTAGTTTATGGAGATATTGTGTAAGCAATATAAAATCTACAAAAAAGCGAGTACTTGAGACTACAGACAGCCACCAACCCACCTATGTAGGATAAGGAGAAATAAGACGAAGAAATTACTTTAATTTCTTCTTAAAATTCGATCTGGCTAGGTTTCATTTTTAGAAAATGTCCTTTTATTCCTGTTTTCAGGGAATGAAAAATATCATTCGAATATGACGGTAAATTTCGACGAAAAAAATAGCTCGGTTGGTAATCGGGCGTCCCCGAAACAGAAGGCCGCGGTTCGTGTCACGATCATTTACACACTTATTTTTTTAACTTTTTTTTTCTATACCAGATCATATCAAGAAAGCATCTTTATTTTTTTTTTTTTTATTTCCAAAATTCACGATTTACCAAAAAAAAAACGAGCAAAGCTCGTTCCTCCAGGTACTAAGTATTTATTTACGAAAGAAAAGCATACTTAAATATGTTTAGTAGTTACATAGTACAAATAGTATTTACAAGCTTCTTCTTGCTAACGTTGTGTAAAAGTATGTCCTGAAATATTTATTTATTTAAATATTCACTCTTCGTGCTTGCAGTGTTACTCCGTGTCCTGACGTCTTCGCGGAAACAGTTCATCGAAGGTTTCGGTGGATCGGTCACGGACGCTGCCGGCATAAATTGGCGAACGCTCTCCGATGCTGCGCAAAAACGATTTATCGAGTAAGTTAAAATAAAGTTACGACCATCGTCCTCATCATCCTCGTGAAGTTACCCCATCTAGGTGTGATCGGCACAACAAGTAAAGCATTGTTATTAACATTGGATAACGGTCGGTTTCAATATTCTATCTATCTGTAGATTTGGTTACTGGAGATAGAATTTTGACGTAAGTACTATGAAGCTAATGTCAAATACCTTTCGCTAGAAACCCTAACTACAGATAGATACAATATAAAAACCGGCTGTAAGTTGTTATCACCGCTGAATGCCTTACGTAAACCCCAACACTTATAAATCATTTGTCATTTGAACTGCTATAGGCATGGTCATCTTTTCTAATTCAACTAACTTATCAGTTAACAGAGCTATCAAGTTTTAACTCGGCAGCATAGATGAGTATTCTCTAAATAACTATTCAATATGAAGTTACCGAACCTTACCAAACAACCCAATGGAAAACCAAAAATGCTGTTATATTAAAAAAAATTACTAACCTTTCAAGAAACCGCCCAAGATTCGGACTCGTATGAAGGGTTTCGTACCCATTAACCATAAAAACGGCAATAAAACCATGTCCGTTGTATGGGAGCCCCACTTAAATATTTTTTATTCTGTTTTTTTAGTTTTGGTGTTATAGCAGCAACAGAAATATATCATCTATGAAAATTTCAACTGTCTAACTGATTGAAAGGACCCTATTACTGAGTCTTAGTAATAGGGTTCCTTTTTACCCTTTGGGTGAGGAACCCTAAAAACCGGGTATTCGTGTGCTTAATTGTTCTTTCACGATCTAACGTACTACTGTATCGAACTATTGTATCGCTTATTACAAAACTTTTAATGTTTCTTTTGTATTGAAATGGAGTGACAGGTCGTGTCAACTTGAGAGTACCGCTCCACTTTATTTAACAATTTAAAATTAGAAAAAGTGATAAATATTTATTTATTTATTTATTTGTAGCATCACAAAGCAGAATGACAACGTATTTAAATAATAATACAAAGGCAATATTATAACATTCAGTTGACATTCCAAGTATGCGACGACAGCAAGTTATATAAGAAAAAAACAAGTAAATTGATGGTACATACTATAAAAGTAACAAAGAAAGTGATAAATATTTGTGACAAAAGATAATAAAAAACTTATAACTAATAACTATATAGCTAAAATAGAATAATTAAGAACAATATCATGAAGCATTTAAGGCTGCTTTCAATCTCCGTTTAAATGTGAACAGATCATCACCTAAAATATCCAGCTCAGGTTATGTATATAAATATTGATGAATAAGGTGTAATTTTGCTTTGTTTAACTGTGACTGATATGTAAAAGTGTTATCGACAGTAAATAAAAACTGTAACATAATCAATTCTAACTTAAAGTGTAATAGTGTAAACTTGCTTCTATTATAAACAATAATAGTATTTGTGTAATAAAACTTCATTAATCAGTGCTTGTACATCAGCCAAAGTAAAATAAAACAAGAAACATATTTAGAAGTGCAGAAATTTGTGATACAAGATCGTTAAAATTTAAACAGTTGCAAGAGGTAAACAAAGTGTGACGATTGTTACGTATAAACCGCTTTGACCAATAGGATAGGAGTAAATAGCAAAACCTCTACAAACTATCTATGTTTTTCAACTTAAACTTAGCAAGAATATTGGTGTAGTGGTCTATAATATCAGCCTCAGAAACAACGGTCCATGGTTCAAATACCGCAACTGTTAAGGATCTTTTTCTCGATGTTTTTTATCCTGCAAGAAATTTTAAAATATTTAAAAATATTCTATTAAACACTTACTAGATTAGAAAGAAAAGAGAAGGAAAAATCGGAAAGGGAACTAGCCTATTTGCGGACGATATAGTATTATTTGAAGAAAACCCGACGCACCTAAATAAAATGCTAGAATCACTTAATAAAGAGAGTTTAAAAGTAGGCTTATGCATGAACAAAGACAAGACGAAATTACTAACAAACTCTGAACAAGTAACAATAAAAATCGACAACCAACCACTTGAATATGTGCCTGACTACATCTATTTAGGACAGATAATATCTCACAAAGATCAAACCACTAAAGAAATTGAGCGAAGAATAGGAAACGGATGGAAAAAATACTGGTCTTTGAAAGAAGTCTTGAAATCCAAGGAACTAAGTTTGCAAATAAAAAGGAAAGTCTTCAACACATGCATACTTCCAGTCATTACCTATGGATGCGAAACCTGGGCACTCACTGAACACCACCGAGAAAAGTTGAAACGATGCCAGAGAGTCATGGAGAGAAGCTTGACAGGAACAAAGAAACAAGACAAAGTGAGATGTAGCATAATAAGAGCCAAAACCAAAGTTATTGATATATTAACCCAGATAGACCAACAAAAGTGGAGATGGACAGGTCATATGTTACGCGACTCCCAAGAGAAATGGTGTAAAATTGTTACAAACTGGTATCCCAGAGACGGCAGGAGAAGCAGAGGACGCCAGAAAACAAGATGGGAAGATGATCTGAAACTCACGGCTGGACTTCACTGGAGAAGAGTAGCAAGTGACAGGTCCCAATGGAAATTGTTAGAGGAGGCCTATGCCAAGAGGCAAACTGAGCTTCGGGACATATTATAAAAAGAACAAAATATTTCATTCATACTTATGAGAACTTCAGAACAACAAGGCTTATTATTATTATTATTATTATTGTATTGAAATGGTCCTTGACTTCTATTGATTATCAAAATTATATAATCAAATTTTTGGCTTATCTACCTATATCTTTATCGAATTAGCGTAATAATTATTTCAATGCGTAATCTTTTAATTACTTATATTATAGGTATAAAGTTCCGGGGCTTAGAGCTATTTGAATAGATTTGGCTTTAAAAATAAAATGTCAATAAAGGCAATATGAAATCGATACCACCGCATGCATCATAGGTGTGTGTTGAGTGGCCAAGGGCGGATCCAGAGGGGGGGGGGGGGGGGTCATGGGGATCATGATCCCCCCCTGGATCGGGGACCACTAATTAAAACTGTTAAACATAATATTATAATTAATATAATATTTTCGCGCAGATATTTTTCACATCAACAAATTAGGCAACAAATCAATGAGGTGGGACGGCAGTCAAGAGCTAGTCAGTACCATATAAAAAAATATAATAAAAAAGTTGGTTGTCCTTTCAGTACTTACTTTGGTCCAGAAGGGCTCGAGTACAATCTTATAAGAGTGCCCATTGGCGGCGCGGACTTCTCAACGCACCCTTATACATACAACGAATTGCCATGGAACGACGCCGCATTGACAAACTTCTCACTTAGCCCTGAAGACTTTTTATACAAGGTGAGTCGATGAGTAAAAAAAGTAGAAAACGCCATAAAAAAAGAATACCTTACCATAAATTCTACATTTCAAAGAAGCGCTAAAACTGTTTCAGGTTCTATTCTTACTGCCCTTATCTTATGGCTCCATATTCGAAACTTATAACAGTGTATCATTTATAATTAAATATAAATAAAAAACTTCATCACAATTCTGATTGTTCACATAGATTTAAAGGAATGTAGTATTAAATATACAAAATCGGTTCTCATTACCCAGCTTTGATTCATGTTATTCATCAACAGTAAACAACTACATAGTTTAACTACAACTACTTATTTTTATTCCGCATACAAGTCTACGTTAACTGATTTTAAATTTCCATTCAACGGTTTTATGTTCCACCATACCACTACCAAAGATTTTCCAAAAATTACAATATAAGTAATAAAATACGGTTATCATTCCGATTTGACTATTAAATATTGTTTCTAGTTACCTATGATTAAAATGGCCGAAGCGGCAGCGACGAACCGTATTAAGATAACGGCGAGCACTTGGTCGCCTCCGATCTGGATGAAGACTAACGAGAGGATTACGGGTTTCGGGCAAGTTAAGCCCGAGTTCTATCAATCTTACGCCGACTATCACTTACGGTTGGTTTCTTTGCAGATTGATAGTTTAATTTTACAATCGTTACACCGGCGTTCCATTTTCAAGTTTATAATCGTTACACCAAGCACCAATTAATAAAAATCAATTAAAAATTTACAATCGCACTGCCAGCGGTGGATTTAGACTCGGTGGCGCCTAAGTTTAAACATTAGGTTGTGTAGGCAGGATAATTGCTTCTTCTTCTAATACAATCTAAATTGTTCTCACGGCCGATAAAAAACAAAACGAATTTTAAATTTTAGCCATCTATGAAAATTTGGTGCCGTGCCTCGCATACGGCACTACAATTGCATTCGTCATCTTTGAAACTAAAATAAAAAAAGGTAGAATGATAAACAAACATACGGGACCCACATTTATCTCCTACTGATAATTGTCCTAATAAAATACAATATTCTATGCCATTCTATTAATAGTTCTATCGTCAAATTTCAGCTTTCTCGAAGAGTACGACAAGGCTGATGTTAAAGTCTGGCGCCATCACCACAACCAACGAACCACTGAATGGCATCATACCGTTAGTTAGATTCAACTCCCTTGGTTGGCTACCGTCACAATTGGTATGTACTATTTTACTACAATGCGGCAAGACAAGGAACGCACGTACACACACGCACGCACGTACGCACTACACTACCACGTACACGCACATCTTCAAATTCCTACATGTCATCCAAATTATAAAGTCGGTCAATTTTTTTGGTCTCTTTTTTACGAATTCTGTTGTGCAGCTGTCTTCTTAATCGGACACTCTTGGCAGAGTGGTCGTGGCTGTCGATGGGCAGGATTGCGTCTCGTCGTCGCTGTTCGCTTCCAGGGCAGCCGCACGTCTTGCGATGTTCCTCCATCGGAGGCGGCTGTTAGCAATGCGAGCACATTGTACTGAGGTGGCTTTCGTAGTGCTGGTAATGAGGTCAATCCAGCGCGTGGGGGCTTGACCTCGAGGTCTTTTGCCTTCTACACGGCCTTGAATGACAAGTCTCTCCATAGAGTCTTACTTTCTAGATATGTGCCCAAAGAACTTGAGAATTCGTAGTTGGACAGTCGACGAAAGTCTATTTTGTATATGAAGTTCTTTGAGGATGGAAATATTAGTCCGAAACGCTGTCCACGGAATTTTCAACAGTCGTCTCCAACACCACATCTCCAAGGCATCGATTTTCCGGCGATCTTGTAATCTAATCGACCATGTTTCAGCCCCATACAGAAAGATCGGAAATACCAGACATCTCATTAGTCGAACCTTTGTATTCTTGGTTATACGTCTGTCTTTCCAAATCTTCCCTAATCGCTCTACTGCTGACCGTGTGATAGCGCATCAACGCTTGATGTCGTCTTCAGAGCCACCGAGGTTGGATATAGTAGAGCCGAGGTAAATATAGCTCTGAACTACTTCGCAGTTTGCTATACGCGGGACTCCTTGCGTACTGTGCTCAGCCCGGTCTACTATCATGATCTTCGTCTTATCTCTATTTAGAGCAAGACCGAAGTTGGCACTGGTGGACTGAAGTCGAGCCAGCAGCTCTTCCAAGTCTTCTTTTGTTCTTGCCAGAAGCGTAGTATCATCAGCGTATCGTAGGTTATTAATCACTCGTCCTCCAACGTTTTTTTCGTGAAGAGAGATTTGCAATAGTCCTTCCAAACCTTCACTATGTCCTCAATCTCAGTGACGGTTGCGCCTGCGGTATTCTCTATTGCCTCTATTGGGTTTGAACTGGCGTGTTATGAGTCGAACTTTGTCATGAAGATCTTTCGTCTGTAGTCTGTCTGAGTGTCGTTCTAGTTCATCACATATCCTTGCCAATGCGTTATTACGTTCACGTCGACAAGCAGCTTGTATTACTGACGTTTTTGCATTCAATTCAGCAACAATCACACCTTTAGCTTTTAGCTTCCTACGTTCTTCCACTAACTGCCAGGTGTTTGGTGTCATCCAATGTTGTCGTTTGTCGGTGTCGTTCTAGTTTTTTTTGGTTGCGATTCTTTAACTGCATCCTTTACGCATTTCTTAGCAGATATCCACAAGGAGTCACTTCCTTTGTTCCCGATATCTGTCCGCCAGATAGAATGTTTGCTTTCAATAGACGACTTAAAAGAGCTCTGATCAACTACTTGCATTCGGTTCAGTGGCCTCATGGTCCTTACTCTTTGTAGTTTTAATCTTAATTTGCCAACAAGTAGTTCATGATCAGATCCACAATGCAGATGTACGCTTACAGTAATTTTAAAACTGTTTTCACTTACAGGGGCGATGGGTTGCGAACAACTTGGGGCCGACGATAAGAAATTCCCGCTTCAACGACACTTTGATCCTGGCCGTCGACGACCAGCGGTACACCTTGTCATTATGGCTCAAAGGAGTAAATGCTTTTTTCTTTTACTTTGTGTAACCATTTACGCCGGTGCTCTTTGTGGTCCTGGTACTTCCCCCTACGAGCCCCTTCGTGCAACAGCGGAAACCATCACAGTTAAATATCCTCAGAATCGCCAGTTACGTCTACTGATTACCGTACATGACAGTAATGCAAGTTGCAATCGTTCTTGTTTTACATAAATTAGATTGTATGTGTTATTAAATTTGTTATCAAAGCAAGAGCAAAGGCGACATTTCTCGATACATATATTCATCTTTAAATGTGACTTGCGAGTGTTTCACACCGCTAAAACGCAATAAAGAAAGCTGATATAAATGTAGAGGTTTTCACACCGTGAGGTTTTCGTCCGCTTACGTAGTTGGTAAAGTGTCTAGGCGCGTTACACGGAAAACGCAGGTTCGAGTCCCGCAGCGCAAAAAGTTTTTGTCCATTTGTTGACATAAATTCACATTTAAAAATTTTATCACCACTTACGTAGAGATAGCCGAGGAATTGAAGCCACGGGGTTGAACTCCAGTGTGAAGAGTTTTCGATTTAAAATGCACATCCCCTTAGCGTTTGTACAGTAAAGTCGACAGTCTCGTTTGGGACTAAAGCTTGATGACCCGTGGGTACCGTCAGCTTTAATTATATCTCAATTTATGTTACTCTATAATCACGTAGGGTTAGAAGATTTGTAAGACCCCGTAAGACAGCCCATTAAACGTGAAACCTTATTATTCAGTCATTTCATGTCCACCTAAAATATGTTTCGGTGTGATTCGGCGTTCGTAATTAATCCAAACTTTCAATTTCGTCGCTGATAGTTATTACTTCTCCCTTACACTACTAGTTCTTGTAAATAAAAACTTATATATATGCCATTAGTGGGCAGATTTCCTCTGTACAGAGATTATTAAAGTATTAACCACATCAATCGTAAACCACATATTTTCGAAATAACAATTAAAAATATTACTTCCAAGACCTCACCAATCCGGTAAGGTCTTGGAATTCAGTTTATCTGACAAATCTGCTTCGAACAATAATTATGTGAAATAGATTTTCGTTCACTTTAGCATTTCTACAACTATCCAATGTTAGTGAATGCGTTGCGTAGCCGTAATATTGATTTATTTATTTCAGATGGAAAGGGAAGATCCTAAGTCCATCGAATACATCGACGGAATAGCTGTACATTATTACGGAAATTACTTGCCAGGTTCCGTTTTAACTAGAATACAAAATCGGTATCCTGATAAAATCCTGTTATCGACGGAAGCTTGCGAAGGTAATGAATGTTTTGAATAAAACTGAACGACTTTCTGATTGGTTATACAAACAGTTAAACAGAGTATTTAGTATTTTAAATTGAAAATAGAAATCAACACCAATCGTAATAAAATATAAAACAAAAAAAACGTATCAAATAGGTACAATACTTACAGTAGAAAATACCAGAGCAATTGTATTTCGTTGATTGATATTTGGAGTCGCAGTTCGTGATAAATTTACCGCAACCGTAGTCGCTAATACCGTAATAACAACGCGCAATTTTCAATTACATATTTTCAGGTGCCATGCCTTGGGACCTTAACAAAGTGGAGGTCGGCTCATGGAGACGTGCTGCACGATACATTAAAAGTATTTTGGAGGTACTTATAAACACTATTTTACCGTGAGAAAAAACATTATCTACCTTCAAATTGCGTAATACGCTTTGAGTCACACAGGATAGGATAGGCATTTTTATTATTATTTAGAAGTAATTACCCCATCCGATTCTGGAAGATATTAAGGTACCTTTGTCACATTTTTGTATCAAATCTGCACTCTGTCATAATCTCGTATCCAACTGAAAGAGATTTAATATTTGTATTTAAATTGCGGCGATATAGATGGTATATAAATGGAAACCGTGACAAGGAGTTGCCACATAAACTCATCAGTTGTTACCATACCCCATAGGGATCTTTGACCTTTCAACGGGCTCTCAAAATTATTAACCTTTTTCAATGTTGCCACTTATATAATATATGAGTAGTCATGAATATAGTATTTAGTGACTGGTATCGTACATAAGTTTAACTTGCAAACGTTTAAATTTACCGCTTTCCAGGATTTGAATAACCACGTCGTCGGTTGGATCGATTGGAATCTGTGCTTGGACGAAAACGGTGGTCCCAATTGGGCGGACAACTTCGTCGACGCGCCGATCATAGTCTATGGCAATGGCGACGAGTTTATAAAGCAGCCGATGTTCTACGCCATGGGACACTTCTCCAAGTTCATCCCGCGAGGGTCCCGCGTCGTAGAAGTTTCCCGTATGAGCTCTGCGGCCATAGACAACGTCGCCGTCGTGACGCCAGAGGGCAACATTGTTGTGGTACTTCATAACACGTGAGTCATAAGTTCAGTGCGCCCTGTTACAACCCGACTGGCGTGGTGGATCGTGAACCTATATTATACGTCCGAGGGTGTGGGTTTATCCCTACTGTTGCAAAAATGTGTTGTCTCCATATGTTATTTCTCAAAGGTGTTTTTGCCGGAGTGCTATAACTTCCATAATTATATATCAAATTTATTCATCAAACACCACTTTATTGTTAAGGTTGCCCGCTATTGATAAAACGAAAGATAAATAGACTAAAATTAAAGTTTCATAAAAAAAAATCTTTCGTCACTACGTCGCCAACAATTTCGTTTAAAAACTCCTCATAAAGAATGTACCTACGATAATGAAAGATGGTGAAGTAGATTAAACCTTTCATTGTTAAATATTAAACATTTACTAAAATACCACAATTTAACTGACCAAGGTAGCAATAAAATAAAAAAAAGAAATAAAATTGGTAACACCTATATAACTACAACTGACTGATTCATACATTCAGAGACTTTTTCATTGGTTGCCACAGCATCGCATTACAAGCTTCTCCTTCTAACAGTATGTTGTGTCTCTTTTAAACTTATTCAACCCATTCATATGCTTTGTGACCTTTACAAATGAACTTTACGTTACAGTTTTATACGTAAGGATGTTCTAAAATTCTTTGTTTTGGAAAATTTAGTAGCTCGGTAACTATTGATGTTTAAAGAATGTAAATGTTGAATACAATTTTAAAAAGTTATCCTGTATATGAGTGTTCATTTATTGTCGCGATTGTAAAGACACGCTGTATATCTATTCACACATACGCTATAAATACACAAACACATACTTTTATAGCAAAGGGCCGGATTTTCGCGACGGTCAAAATTTTATCCATTTTTTTGCCTACATCTCATTCAGCAAGTGTCAGTTACGTGCGATAAGATTCGTTCCAAAATGCCCTGCTCATTTTTATTATATAGGTACCCAAAATGGATGAGATGGCAACTTGGCGACCATAAGTGGTACACTAGGCCCAAGCGGAAGACAGCGATTTTTATATGCAAAAAATTATGCTTTCCTCTGCTGTTGCTAATTAATCTATTTCGCAAACGTTACCGCGTATCCGTGTCATTCACAAGGCCATCAGCCTTTTATTATTCGAAATTTTTAGGGATATTTCTCAATTTATCTCAATTTTTCATACAATTTTTCAATACATTTATTCACTATTGTTACGTTACAAAACCATAACCACCACATCTTATCTATTAATGCCGTGCATCACGACTTCGTTTAATTAATTTGTTTAACGCAAATTAACCTCAGATTGTCGCGGTCAAAATGAAATAAATTTGTTTTCGATGCTTTACGATATTTTTGTTCTTCTCTTTGCGTTATTTTGCATGTAGCCGGTCGAAATTACTATTTTTACTTTTTTAATTAACCTCTATAATGAAGCCAATTAAATGTGCTATTTTTTATTTCAGGAAATCATACGAACTAAAAGTCCGGATCCGTATAAGCAGCGACAGACGCGTGGATCTAATTGTGGAACCCGAATCTGTAAAAACTGTCGAAATCAATAGAAGCCTTTAATTGCTTCCCAAAATATACATGTATAAGATATAAAAATATTAAAAAATTCAACGAATTTTGTGAATAACGGGACTATATTGAAATTGATTTTATTAGTCGTATATTTTGAACTAGCTAATGCTAACACGTAAATAACATAAGTTTATAAAAACACCATTGTATAACAATTGAATAAAACAAGTGAGTGACGGCCTAAGGAGATCGTTTGACTAATGATCATTTTTTTAATATACATAAATACTAGGTTTTATAATATTTCAGATTGTTAAAAAAATGTATTTAGCTCGATCGGTAATCGGGCGCCCCCGAAACAGAAGGCCGTGGTTCGTGTCAAGATCATTTACATACTTGTTTTTCGATTCCAGATCATTTTTTATTTTTTGTCCATCTAGATGATTTTGTTCTTTTTTCCCTTTTTTTTAAAGTTCTTGTTGAACTGGTGTTTTTACATATTTTCTTATAATTACGTCGGTAAGATCGAAAAATATTATGTATATTTCATTACTCAATAATTTGTATCTAAATGTAATTTTCAAAATACACGATTTACCAAAAAAAAAAACAAACCGAGCAAAGGTCGGTCCTCCAGGTACTTATATACATATATACAGTGTTTAGTTACAATCGTGACTATAAATGAACACACGTGTAACGCTAAATGTTAATAATCATAAAAAAGTTTAAAACGTTAAAAAATCCGTAATTAAAAAAAAATATTTTTCAAACAAACTAATTTAATTAAAAAGAAACAAAATTTGTAACACCTATACAACTACAACTGACTGATTCATACATTCAGAGACTTTTTCATTTATTGCCACAATGCTGCAATACTATCTAAATTAAATTTCTTTAGTATTTATAATAATTCGATGGTCCCTAGGTAAAGTATCAAAATTGCAATTTTTTTTAATTGCTGTTTTGAGATAATAGTAATTTTGTAAAAAGGTTTTCAAAAATTTTAAAAAGTCATTGTGTGTGCGTTTTTTAGAAACGTATAATAACGAAACGTAACAGTCTATCCGGCGTAAAACAACGAATGTTAACTTTCGCGAGATTACGCTGCATCGGCGAGAGTGAAACAAGGACGGAACTACCACCATCGCTAGTTTACGCCGCAGTGATGCGCGCCTAGCGTGCAAAATTCTTATAGCTATTTTGTTAATGGTCTTTTTATTCTCTATTAATAAAATATATTGTGTGATGAGAAAGTTACCCTCCCGCGTAATATATCGAATCGGGTGGATTCGATTGTTTATGACGGGTTGTAATTTCCTAATAGTATCGAAAGTACCGGTTTCGATTACCTACGTGGTTTTTTCATAATATAATTCTATCGAAACTGACGATTTCGATACTTCACGTTGTATTACAAAGTCAAATTTCAATTGGAAGTGCCACTTTCGATTGTTTTGGGTGGATTTTATTTCTTTTTTGTAAAGATTCGATATAGGTAAGTGCTTATATTAAAGTGAAGAAACTTACTTATAATATTTATTTTCTGTGATTCATAAAACTAGACTTTCTTAAATTATATTTTTATTTAATTTACCTATTTACCTTCTACTTTTTTTAGAGTCGATTTCACCGATACCCACCAACTGCGTCTTCAATGATTGGAAAAATATAAAGGATTTTTTGGACGATGAATTGATGGACACAACTTCCCATGCAACTTGGTTATCATCGAAGACAGTGACCAAAGTTCATCAATTTTCATGAATAGCAGGGAAATAACTCTATTACCTTCCCCAGATTTAGAAGTCGGGTCTCCCGTACAAGAAATAGTATTCTATAAATAGGGTTCTTGTTCGTCACTTTGACTTGAGGTAATACTATTATTACCTGAAGTCAAAATGGAGAACAAGAACCCGAGTCTTTAGAGTTAGGTCTTAACAGTTAGGTGAGAATTATGCTAAACCTATAACATAGTTACCAAGTGCAGACTCATACATAACTGTTTCGGAATGTAATTCCGAAACAGTTATGTATGAGAATGTAGCAGTAGGAGTACAGGAAAAGAAAGAAACCCCATTTTTAAAACTAACTCCGGAAAAAAGATCAAGGTATCCCGTAAAAACGAAAGTTCTGGTCAGCAATACCTCAGTCGAAATGGAAATAAAATCATACTAGGTAGGCAATGGGAGTTTATCAATAAGTTCACCCATAAAATTAATAAAACCAAGAAAACAACTTACGTCCCAATTTTTTTTACCAGCACATTTACACCACAACAGGTTTGTGTGTAAACATTTTTAAATGACTTATGTATTCATCCATACTCACGAGACATTGGTTTGTTTTATTATAAGCTTTTTTATTTTACTTTGGTATGTAACTTTCGTTGGCTGTTTTCGATTTAGCTTTTAAAGAAGGTATCAGTACTTCGTATCCTCATGTAGCACATGTGGATAGAAAGTACCGGTAAAAGAGGAGCTAATGAAGTAAGTAGCTGTTTGAAGCATTATTTAAACGGAAATGATAGATCAGGGTGCTAAGAAATTCTTACTTGGTCCGATAATTGTGTGAGCCAGAATAGGAATAGAATCGTATATTCGTTATAAATGCAGTTATCAAGACGATTTGGCGTAGATATTGCTCATCGTTGTTTATAGCAAGGCCATACTTAGATCGAGGGCGATAGTGTACACGTCCTCATAGAGATAATCTAAGAAAAAACTAATTTACGCTCTTAACCGATGATCGTACGCATTAGTACGACGGGCAAAGGCTGAACGGAGACCCGACAACGTTGTAGAAGAAACCAAGAGTGATGTTTACGACTTTAATTTTTATTAGATGACAAAAATTGGAAAAGAGACAATACAAATGAAAATGTGAAATGGAACAGCATTAAAGATGTTAGTGTAAGAAAAGAGGAACCAGATTGTATTTTAAATGTGATTTGAAGTGTTATTTTTGTGTAAATACTACTATAGAAACAAGAAGCCGCAAAAAGAGAATGTGTCGGCCGACGTCGTTTTTTTTTATATAAAAAGTTGCCAAGCGAGTAGACGGTGACCTGATGTTAAATGATTATCGCCGCCTATGGACATTTGCTACACCCAAGGGTTGCAGATGCGTTGACAACCTTTTGAAGATTGGACTCCGGCCACCTCACTCACCAAACGAAACACGAACGTATTATACTTCCACTTTACGCCGGTCTTCTGTAAGGTCGTGGTACTTACCCGGACGAGCCTGCCCATTCGTGCAACAGCCGAGGCTGCTGCGTGGTCCTACCACCTCTTAAAAAATCTTTATTCAGATTCACTACTTTTACCAGTAGCAAAGTATAAAGATTTGCTTTCTTTATGTCGTTGATAAACAATACCCAAAAAATAATGATATTTCATAGGTTTTACGGCAACGGATTTTTCTTTTCATCTGAAATATTGATGAGTCCAATGAGGAATATTCATTTACGAAGATATTTTTCTGTATTCTCTATTTATGATGTAAATACTATAATATTTTTTGTTAAGACAGAAATTCGAGATTAGTTATTCTGATGAATATTTTTTCTGAATTAGTATTACGTATCTACCAATGAAGTCCTACATTTTTGTTTGTTTCCTAAATTTTACCATAGATAAGTTGGTAACAAAGACTGATTTTAAATATTATTTACATCAACAATTTATGCATTTGTTTAATTTGCAACACACTTTAATAAAGATGTTTTACGTCATTTATTTTCTTGTTTTTCTGTTACAAAATAATTGTAAGTGCAAGCAATCTACGAAGTAAATAATCGAATATGGCACTTTCAATAAAATATTCCTAACATAAGCCAACGTAAAATATCGAAATCGGCAGATTCGATACATTTGTGTATATGCGGTTCCCTGTAAATAATCGAAAGTGCCAGTTTCGATTCATAAAGCAAGTTCATTTACACTGTATACTACTTACTTTTCTCGAAAACTATTTATAATTATCAATTTTTGCAATAACGTAATAATTAATAAGCCCAATACAACTGTGAATCCAAATTTTTATGAAGTTCTTATCATAAATGTCAAAGTTATGCAAAAAATAAACTTTAAATCGCTCTCCTGAAAAGTTGCATTTTTCACTTTCGATATTTTACCTAGGGACCATCGAATTGTATTACTACATCACATATTTAGGTTCATAAAAAATTGTAATTGGTGTTTTTGAAATATTTGTATTGAAGCACATACACACGGCCATAAAATTTCACTCATGTTCAGTAAAAGAGTTGATTTTGTTTAAAGGCCAAACTCTACACACTACTCTGCTACGGACGAGACCCAGAGGCACTGGGCCATATAATCTTGAATCTGATGAATTTCTTGAGTTGTCACCTTCCAACCACACATGTCCCTTTGGTACAACTTGACTACGCTTTGGAAAGTATCCCTTTACTTTATCACCTGGCAGCCCAGTAATTCTTTTACATATATTTTGTTTAGGGTTGGATGGACTCTTTGCTATAACAATGTCTCCGCGGCGCAATCTCTTCAACCGCGGAGTAATGTGCTCAGTGAATAATATGTTATTAGATTCTAAAGTTGGCTCCATAGAAGGGCCGGAACACTGGAAATAAATAAAAGATTTATCTTTAAACATTTGTCCTTTTAGTTTCAACTTAACATTACTATATTAACTACATAATGTCAATCGAATACACATTTGGAATAACATACCATCACAAAATCCCCAATATATTCAAAGGTACAGTGAGTAACACAGGCGTATTGAATGAAATAGCCCAAAAATCCACAAGCCTTTCCTATAGTCTTTACTATGGTCATTGTAATAATTATTGAGTAAAATTGATACTTTAAGAAATAATGAATGTGTGTAAAACACAGTATTAAGTAAGATCAGTCATAGCTTTTTACTTAATACGGACATTCAATATTATCATTAGCAACAATTAATGTTATTACTTTATAATGACATAATAACGTAGGTTATCAGAATTTAGATATAAAATAGAAAACTATTGCTCTAATCTGTCAGTCTGGCGAAACTAGGAACAAAAAATGTTTCTATGGACTTTACGCGGCAAATAATGACGGACACTGCTATCACTCTCCCTCAATGCGGTTTCTCTTTCTTGCTACTTGCAATACAAGAAGTGCCATGTTGTTTGTCAAAACTTAATTTAGCACCGCGTATTTTGAATGTAAATGCTTATTTCATTGTAAATTTAAATTGTTTAGAGTAAACTTTCTCACGAAAACTAGTGACAGGTGATCAGAGTTGTACTTTTAATTCAAAATGCCAAAAAGACGGTTTATTACCTGTGAAATTGGTGAAAATCGAGCAAGTCATTCAAACCTTGAAAAAAGGATGTTTATGGCGAGATTTCCCTTAGATGAAGCCCATGTAAGCACTTAAATATGATACTTTGCAGCCATATGTAAGTAGAGCAGGCCAAGAACAAATAAAAAAAATGATGTGGTGTCGTGGGACACTAGGTAGGAACGAAGTTCCTTCGGCTAATGTAGAACCGACACAAATTGCAAAAAAAATCGTGCTCAATTTTATGTAGGTTTTCTTGATTTTTCTCTTAAATTTTGCTGATTAGTTTTTATTTAAATACAAGAAAGTATTTAGGAAATTCAGTATTTTAGGAAATAATAAATTACTTAAAATAAAAAAAACATCGTAATTCAAATTATCAACTGAAATAACAAAATATGTCTCTTTATTTTTGTTTGACAACATAAAATTATGCGACTGTCGCGCCTGCCCACGTCTCATTTAACGGTTTTATTCCACGCCCTTTTTTCCACGGATTTTTTCTTACGGTTTTACTATCACATTTTTTTCAGTTCGGTCGCGCAGCAAAATCCCTATCCCCTCCAAGCCTACCGTACCTAAGGAACTTCGTTCCAATTAACAAATTTATCTCATTTAAATTGTATGCTAGTGATGTACTGCAACTGTAATATCCACATATCGATAACTACGATAATGTTTATCATTGAAAAAAAAATAAGAAATAAAATGTTGCGTGAAAGAGTAGGGGCACAAAGTTTTACATATTTGAATGGTGTGCCTACATAAATGAGCAAGGATCGAAATAGGTGAATTTTGCAGGATTTTGAAACATAATCTCTGTAATATTGATACGTCATATAATTAATTTCGTGCGCTGAGTATGGAAGAAAACTAAAATAATTTTTGGATTTTGATTCTATATTTTTCAATTATTTCCAGACTCGTATACAGCAGGACAACAGCTGTTGGCTGAAGAATCAAGAGACAAGAAATACATTTCATTTCAGTAATAAAATTTTATTTGAATTATCAGAATCCGTTTTTTATCTTATTTCGGGTGCGCATTTCAGCCCAATCTTGTATTAGTACCAAATATCCCCTCATCAACATTGGACATAAATACGGACTCGATACTTACTTAAAATTAATAAAAAAAATATTAAGTGGAAACCTCGCTTTCTACCTAGTATATTTTATCGATATCGATAAGAAGCTAAGCTAGCTTGGTTAAGCACTATTTGTCTCGTTACGTTGGTGCTCCTGTTGTTTGACATCTTTGTGGTATTTTTGTGTTACGGTTGGTATTGGAGTGCCGCGTAAACTGATATTTTTGGCTACTAGGGAAGTGCCGTCTCTTAAACGTAGTGATTACATTCTCTTTGTAATCTGTAGTCTAATAATTTGCTTTGCTAGGTTCAGTGCTACCAACTAAATAAAATATTTGTCCCTTAAAAAAACGTTAAATTCCCCTATATAATAAAATAATATTATTAAAAAAGTATAAAAAATAATGGCAAAAATATTGAATTACATATTAAGCTAATTTATAAATAGCAAGCAAAATATGATTGGTATGAACTAAAGTTACTTTAATCTATACAGTCATTATTTTCATGCTGAAGAGCTGTAGTATTGATGATTTCTAATAGTGAAGAAAAAAAAGACGACAAGCATTATTAATAAATTCTCTACGTGTTAATTATATTTTTACTGTCGTACGTTCGCCTTTTTTTTTGAAAATTGCTACAAAATTTTCAGTATTAATTAATAATTTTTCGTTAAAGCGTCGTTTCTCGAAAATTTTCTAGCAGGACAAACTTTTTTAAGGTTACCTTATTTTATATTTTTCAGATGAATCGTTACTTAATATTGACCAGCGTTTTAATATTATTACTAAAAAATTTTTTTTTTTTCCAAATTATCCATTATATTTCTAAGATGATATATTTTCGACATGTCTCTACTGTATCCAAAATAATCGCCAGAAATTGAGCCCTTTTAATTTATAACAATATTTTTCTCTAACTACGCTAAAGCTCAATTCGACCTGACGTTTGAAGCGTCCTATCGATTTGAATTTCTTATAAGCCGAGCCGACTGTTGAGTCGGTTCGAGTTTGAGTTGCCTCGAGCTAGCGCTCGCGCTAATGCCTAATGTTGCTGCAATTCTCAAAGTCACAGTCGCCTGTAACAATCGCTACTCTTGCTACGTGTTTAATCCGGTATAGATTCCAAAAACTTTAATCAACAGACTTGAAGGTATATTAATTCTTTATAGAGTTTTTCGACGCGTCTTTAACGAAAGAGTTATTATATTTAGATAGCAAGGAACGCTTGTTGCGTCAATAAAAATAAAAGAAATAAGAACTCGACAGGAATGAGACTCTGTCACTTGCTGAGACACAAATGCCAACAATTTTTTTTCCTCTCCTTAATTTATTTTAATTTTCAATAAAACTAACATGACTGAGTATCGATGTTTTCTGCTAAACATTCTTATTTTAACATCGACGAATACCAACATCCCTATCACGCTGTACTTTTACTGTTCTAAAGATGAGAAATTAATCTTAAATATTTTATTTATATTTTTGAATATTCTTATAACATGCTACATATACTTATTAAAATATATTATAACCTTAAAAATCAGATTTTAAATCAAAGGAATTTTCGAACGTAAGTTCTGATTAGTCTTCATATCTTACTGTTTGACATTTGTTGGACAGTTGTGTGCAGCAGACTGTAGACGAATTGTGGTTAAGCAAATTAGGTACTTACCTACCCATATCCAGTACTGATTGAACTTGAATGGTTATACAATTCGTCATTGGTTAAATATTTACGTTCATTTTTTAAGAATTTATTTCATCACGGTTTTATCTAAACGTAAAAATTGAATATGTTTGATGATAGATCACGTTATTGACGAAATTTTCGTGAATAATGATTATCTTTACTTTCACGTGAGGTTTTCTGATATTGATAGTCTTAGTGTTGTTTTAGTAGAGAGTTCAACAAACAAGTGTTTATAGGATTTGTTTTCAATTTACGTAACTTTGTTAAATGTTTACCTTACCAGCTATCGGAGGTATATTATGCTCGTGCTCAGATAAAGTGTTGAATCAATATTGCATTTGGGTATCAATGTGCTACCGTCAAATGAGTGTGCATTATTCGTTTACCTGCTGACCCATGAACTCTTGATGGATGCTGATTGTTCTTGGAATAATAATCAAGACTTATAAGAATTTTGTAAGTACATTTGGCGGTTTTAAATAAGTATTATATTGTGATATTTTAATTAAGTATTGCATTGTGTATTATCATACTGATGTATAATCTCTTAAGATTGCCTATTTTCCTATTTTTCCTTCCTTTTTCCCTTGCCTGATGTTAATAAAAACGTAATAAAAATATTTCAGTATCCATAAACACTATTACTAACAAATAGTGATATTCTAGATGTAACTGGGCATTTGTCTAACTGAACCTTTGTTTTCAAAGTATATTTATGTAATTGATTCATGAGTTACAAATTTGACGAATATATCTATGGAAATCTATAACAAAGGGTTACTGACACTAATACAATTAAGGAAGAACTAATCAGTCATTATAAATGGTATTTTTGAATATCTTTTATTTAAGAATTAAACTTATTATATAAATTGCTATGAACAAGAAGACTTACATATAATTTTTTGTACACTTATGTCCAATTTCTGAAACACTGATCATTGTAGAAATTAAATAATTCTGATCATTAAGAAGAACGTTTTGATCAATTCAGAGAGTTTAATCATCCTTTTGGCAACTCAAATGACATTTGAAAAGCCATTAGACAGCTTAATTTCTATGATCAGGCGTGTATTGTATTTGTGTTGATTTTAATTTTTGCTTAAACTGTCTGGCTTACAAGTATGCAATATATTTTCAAATATTTGTGTGCTAATAACAAATCTATACTAACAAGTTCTTATAAATTTAAATTTGGTAGAAACTATTAAATATTATGAACTCACACAGTTTGCTTAAATTATAATTTTTCAAGTGTTTAATAAATGACAAGTTATTTTTATAATACCTGTATGTAATAAAATTTAAATTTAAACATGAAAATTAAGAGACTGTGGGTTTGTAGAATTACATTTATGTAATAAAAAGTGTACAGTAGGTACATTCATTGTTTTTTAGTAAAAATGTTCATGTAGCTGTAATTGTTTTTAATAAAATTTTATTTGCCTACAGATACAATGGGGAAGTTTGGCGGCAAAAAATGCCGCTTACTCTCAATGTTATGGCTGACTGGCACATTCTTCTTTGTGGAACTGATTGTTGGTTATGTAACCAATTCGATGGCCCTTGTTGCCGATTCCTTCCATATGCTGAGTGATGTTGCTGCTCTAGTCATAGCTTTTCTGTCTGTAAAAGTAAGTATTAAATAACATATAACTTGTATATTGCCATATAAAATTTGCTGTATTATATTTCTGTATGTCACTTCTTCAAGTGGTCTGAACATTAATATGTGAAACAATCATGGAGATATATTGTTGACTGTATTTTTTTTTAAATCGATCTTCCTGTATGATAACATTATCCTGTGTTATAAGGATGTTATACAAACATAAACTTCATGTGGAAAAACTCCCAGATACGAAACAGTTATCTGTGTGTTGCACAGATACTTGTCCCGTGTAGGAATCGAACCAACAACCCCCCACGCCGAAGCCAATGCCTTGGCAACTGCGTCCATGGATTCATAGAAATTGTTATAGGGCAACCATTTTTTGTGATAGCACAGCTTTTTTTTTTTAAACTAAAGGGAGTTGTGAATTTGTAAAAGAGTTGTATTATTTATTGAAAATACTTTAACATTTAAGCTCTTAAGCTTTCATACAATTTAGATTTGTTAATTAGCTTCCTTAAAATTAAAATGCAATTATCCAATTCATTAATAGTATTTTTAACAATTGCAAAGTATTACTTTTTTTACAAGATAAAACTTTTCTAAGTTCTAATTTTCATTAGTCAGTACCATCTAACAAATGAAAATTAGAACTCACTAACGGTACGGCCGTACAACAGACTTGTCTGTAGACCTAATGGGCAGGTCTATCTGGCTAAGTACGACAACCCCAAAGAAGATTGTTGTGAAGTTATACTTCTGTGTTTTGTCTGGTGTGTGAGGTAGCTAGGGGCCACTTTTAATAAAAGGTTGCAACACATCAGCAACCCTACAATTGTTTCAAATGTCAATGAGTGGCGGTTATCACTTAACATCAGGAGAACCACCTACCTGTTTGCCACCTTCTCACATAAAAAAAGCTATCTGAACTAATCATCATAATATTTGTTTAAGTCTCTTTGATCATAATCTCTGCAAATTCAGTAAATTGAAGTATTAATTGACCCAATTTTGAACAATAGCTGCAGTGTTTTAAGTGCTTAAATTAATATGTATTCATTTATAGTGATTTATACCATTATTTATTTTAGTTATCAAATGAAATAATATGGAATAGGTCGTGATTTTTTAGTGATTTGTACAACTAAAGAGTTATATGAATTTTTTTTCTAAAACACATTACAGACTTTTACAAAATCTGCATCTAGTTAATATGTATCTCTCTAAATTGAAACATAGTAATGTGTTGACATGTTAGTGTCCATTCATATGCAAAAAACCTATTGGCCAATACAAACCAACTTTTCACTCCCATTCTGAGTAACAGACTACAGCCTACACGCCTATTACGTAATATCGTATGACGTCATAAAAATCTTTTCAACGTAATTGACAACCGTTCGAAGAATAAGATCAATGAGTCACAAAAACATCCGCCATTAATTATTACTTTAGAATGGGGGTTTCCCAGTGGACACTTTTGCCTTTAGAGTTTTAAAGGCAAAAGTGGCGTTATTCCGTAATCACTCAATGCATTGTGAACTAAACAGTCCCTTTTATAATTATTGTAGTAAACAAGGAACACTTACATGGATTGCATACGGCGAGTTGATAAACGTTCATTAACAATCTGTCGAAAAAATGTATGGGGCGAAAATGATAAAAGTCGTTACAGGGCGCCGCCGTTTTGTTCGATTGGAGTATAGTAGAGAGTAGTAGTAGAGAGAGCCATTCAAAGCTATTGTTAGCATCGTATGCGTATATGATGACTCGGTGGAGCAGTTGCTAGGCCGTTGGTTTCGGCGCCGAAAGAACGGGACCATAATTTGTGTGAACCAAAGTCGTTTCGGATCTAGGTTTGATCCCAAGGTGGGATGACGTCAGACAGGTGGCCAGTCGTAAAAACATAGCTAGCTTAATAATTCACGTCCCTACCTGTCCCGACCCCACTTATCGCGTTTTCAATACCTTTGACATCACGATACAGATGTCGTAAATAACACACATCTAGCAATGACCGCTAATCTCCGCCTACTCCTCTGGAGGCCTCGAGTGGCTTGACTTGTGTTTGTCGGTCTGTTGCGAACTGTAGATCCATTAATCGATTGTGCTCGTTCAGATGTCGCCCAAGAAATGGTCTAAGAACACGTTCGGATGGGCGCGCGCCGAGGTGTTGGGCGCGCTGGTGAACGCCGTGTTCCTAGTGGCCCTCTGCTTCAGCATCACGGTGGAAGCGATGCAGCGCTTCATAAAGATCGAGATCATACACAACGCCAAGCTGCTGGTCGCCGTCGGCACCCTGGGACTGATACTGAACATCGTCGGGCTTTTCCTGTTCCACGGTAATTACCGCCACATAAGTAGAATGCTTATGCCACTGCACTTTATAACGTCCGCATTCGCTTAGTACGTAGAATATTGTCATTACATATGTATAATTATTTATACTTAATGTGATATTTTTTATTATTCGTCTGATATTATTACTTTGTAATTAATAATGTGTATATTGCATAATTATATCCTTAAAAAGGTTGCTATTGACTGCGTTTGAGTATACGGTGGTAGGGCCACGCAGCAGCGTAGGCTGTTGCGCGAATGGGCAGGCTCGTCCGGGTAAGGACCTCAGAAGACCGGCGTAAAGTGGAAGTATTATACTTTCGCGTTTCGTGTGGTGAGTTAGGTGGTCGGAACCCAATTTTCAAAAGTTTGTCAGCGCATTTGGAACCCTCGGGTGTAGCAGATGTCCGTGGGCAGCGGTATTCACTTAACATCAGGTGAACCGTCTGCTTGCTTGGCAATTTTTCACATTAAAAAAAAGTAGAATGCTACTGCATTTTATAACGTCCGCATTTGCTTAGTACGTAGATTATTAATATTACATATTATAATTACGTATACTTGCGCCCCGTTTCTGAAACACTGGTCGTCGTAGATGATAACTCATCAGATTTGAATTCATCATTCTGATCATTAATAAGATCATTGTGGTCAATTCATAGTTTAACCATCCTTTTGGCAACTCAAATTAAATTTGAAAAGCCATTTGACAGCTGGTTAGTTAACATCTACGATGATCAGTATTTCAGAAACCGGGCGTTACTGTAATATTTTTTATATAATATGCATGTATTTAATAATGTTTATATTGCATAATTATACCCTTAAACAAGGTTCCTATTGACGTTTGAGTAGTCATTTGCTTTAGAAACTTTATCCTATTTTGTCCTACGTTATTTTATCGCCTTTTTTACCCATTGTATTCACGTAATGTAGCACGAGGTTCGTTCGGGATACACGTCAATTTTAGTCATATTCTGCAATGAGATTACGATGTTGTACACCTTTTGACGATAAACAACAATAATTTATAATTCTGTACGTGTAATCCTCGTACATAATAATCAGACAATGAACAAGAGGAAAACATTGTGACGTTTCAATGAATCGTCTCCGTTATTGTCGCTTTATTTGTTGTGACTAATCGTTTGTTCGCAAACACATGAGTATCTACTCGTGTTGTATATTTACATAATAATAATCTAACATATTCGCGGGCAAGAACAGTTAGGCGAAAAAAACTGCGAAAATTACAGATTTTATTTGCGACATAAAAAAATATATTATTGTGTTCCACATACAAAAGAAGGCATAAATGCAATTTGTTTCATACCTAATAATATTAAACGAAAGAAAATATACATAGATATCAGTATCACAACGCATTACAATGATGAGGTCATTTGTGTCATCGTTAGTTCATTCGCGACGCGACGCGACGGATCGCTGTTACGTAGTTTTATACTTTCAATCGAGTTAATGATATCTTTGACCTGGGTCATCTACAGTTTTCCGTATCGGTCGTTACACCCCCAAGTTTGGGCCACGTCTTGAATGTTCGACAACTAAATAGAAAGGAAAAACAAAAGGGTTGCACTGGTGTGTACTGGCGCATGCTGGGTACCGGGAATTGTGGACGGGTTTTTGTTGCGCCCCGCATGCGAGTTGTGCGAAATTTGATATACGATTCATTAAAAATTCTTCTTACGTCGTTAAGTTTCTTTTTAACAGCCGTCTGTTAAAAGAGAACGAATGGAAAGATAAACATGTCGACCCGTCGATATTTTAACAATGCCTCGTAAGTCATCACCCATCATAAATTCCTACTATTGAAGATTATTAACGGAATGTTCATGACGTTAGTTTTAACACAATATCACTTTCGTATTAGGCATTATTATTTTCAAGTGTCTTCGTATTTGTTCATCCATTGCCATTTAGACAATACCTCCAAAAGTTAATATTACCGAAAAAAAATTAAATAGCCTGTTTGTTTATTGCATTTTTAAATTTCTTTTTTTAAATAATTTAAAATGACGCTCTTTATGCGTTCGAACGCCTGCATACTGCAGCGCAGGATCATGGCCTAAAAAAGATTCATTCTTTGTGCGTTTGTCATCTATTAGGGATTGTAAGGCATTGCTAAAATAATATAATTTACTATTATTACCCAAAGTAAAAATAGCATATTATATAATACGTAGATATTAAACTGGAAATCGTGGTCAGTTTGTTAATAACTCACTGACTTTATTTAAAAAAAAAATAATGTAATGCTAAACTATAAATTGAAAAACCTAAGTTTTAAAGATATTCAGTAACTTCATTTCCATAAAACCGAATTTATAACAATATTGGCCCCAATGATTAGCTAATTGAGACATTCTCTGATTTTAATTGCCAATTAATTTAAAATGTACACTGTTAAAATACGACATGTTTCGTAACAATCGATTAAGAAGGAGATATAAGATATATTTCGATGTACTTTTATAATTATTTCTGGTACAATTAATTTTATAATCGCTAAAGATAGAACTTGTTTTTATAGTGGGGGTTCGATCCCCACTACTGGAAAAATATTGTGTGATGAACATGGTGTTTTTCTAGTGTCTGGGTGTTTCTATATGTATAATATGTATTTATTTACAAAAGAAAAGTATGTTTAAGTATTTTTATCAGTTTTCTAGTACCCATAGTACAAGCTTTGCTTAGTTTGGGACTAGAAAATGTTGTGTACAAATGTGTCCTAAATATTTATTTATTTATTTATTTATAGTACTCCTTGATCAATGGGTTATTGTGTCTGCTATAATGTTGGAAAATAACTGCAAAAAACTAAAAACATACCTGTACCAATCAAAGGAATAAGCTCCCTTCTTTTTTTTTTTGTTAACGTCGGGGAAATGCCTACGCATACCACCCTCGCGGGGGCGAGAGCGAGTTATGTCGTACTCGCACCGACTAAAACCCCCACGATATTCCACCTAGGCGCATATCAGCAGGGCTAGCCGCCTCAGCGGCCCCCTCCCGGGGAGCAAACCCCTCCTCCAGGCAAGGCGCGCTGGAATAATCAGCACGTCTTCCTAGTCGGCCCCTTTTTCATGACCAACGAACTCCCCCGAGTTCGCTGACCAGGAAAGTCGGAGAGTGGGAGAGTGGGAGCCAGGAGAACCCGTGCCAAAGAACATCAATTCTCCCAGCCCCCTGCGGCGGACCTGATCTGTGACTCCGCCGCTCACCACGTTTCGGCCGCGGAGGGTAGGAGAACGGCGCACCGCAATACCGACACTCCTCTCCCCCCGTGGCCCTACCACCACTGCATCAACGGTGCAACCCCGCCGAGTCGCGGAGGATAGGGTTCGCGGCCAACGCAATACCGACACTCCTCTTCACCCGCGACTCCTCCTCGGTAGCAGAAGACAGGGACAGTGGCTCCACCTCTACCACCCTCGACCTGTCCCCTGCACCCTCCAGCACGCATCCAGAGTGGGCTCAATGAGTTTATTCGGAGCGGCGCTCTCGGGCCGGCCTTACACCCCGGGCCGGCCCAGTGTGGGTTCCTCTTAGCTTCGCCGTGGGTGTCCAAGCCACAGCTACTAAGCCCCTCCGCCACGTCAAGGCGGCAACCTGGTTGGTGGGGGAATAAGCTCTCTCCTACTTTTTTTTTAACTAAAAATCTGTGAGTAATAGAAATGATAATGAAATATCGAAAATAGACATCTAGATCATCTTAACTATGCCTTAACCAAGTTGGAAAAACTTGAATTTTAGGAGGCGTTTACTTTGTCAAATCAGGTCTTTAGAGGTTTTTTGGGTTAGTGGTAACATCAAACACACTGGGAAACATTTACATTTTTAAACATAATTTTTTTTTAAACATTGCCCTTTGGGATAATATTATCTTGTGTTGTAAAACGTTTTTACAAACATAAATTTCACGCGGACAAACACCCAGATGCGGAACAACTATCTGTGGGTCACTCAAATAGTTGTCCCGTGTGGAAATCGAACCGACGACCCCTGACGCCGAAGCCGTAACCTTGGCGACTGCGCCACGTAGTCATCAATATTTACCGAGTTATTAAATTTTACAAAACAAACAATTTTAGAACAACTTTACGTATAAAACTGTAACGTAAAGTACATTTATAAAGGTCACAAAGCATATGAATGGGTCGAATGAATTTAAAAGAGATAAAACATACTGTTAGAAGGAGAGGCTTGTAATGCGACGCTGTGGCGCGAGTTGTATAGGGGGTTACAAAATTTGTTTCTTTTTTACTTAATTAGTTTGTTTGAAATTTTTTTTTTTAAATTATGGATTTTTTAACGTTTTATATTTTTTTATGATTATTGTCACGTAGCGTTAGCCGTGCGTTCATTTACTGTCGCGGTTGTAACGACACGTTGTATACATACATATGGGTGGAGCTAAAGAAGTTTTACTTCAATCGCGTGGGTCTAGCACACTCGTATTTTTTTTAATAACGAGTTTGGACACAATCCATTTTTGAGCGCGTCCTTTCGTGCCGAGACAGCGGTTCGCGTTTCTTAGAGCGGGCGCCGTTTCAGAGCACGGCAGCAGCCACGGGCACACGCACGGCGGGGTGCCGCCGCCGTCCAACGTGCGCCACCTCACTGAGATCGTGAACAGCAACGCGGACATGGCACTTGGCCACCAGGCGACCGACACCGAGGAGACGGACGAGATGGTGCCGCCGCGCGCGGACAAGGTCACCGGCAGCAAGCAGTCCGCCGGCAGGGTGGCCAGCGACCCCGGCCATCTGAACATGAAGGGGGTGTTCCTTCACGTCCTCTCTGACGCCCTGGGTGAGTCTACCTCTCTCTCGCTCACTCTCTGTCTGTCTCCGTCTCCTGTGCAGTGATTATTCCCATCTGATTGTGCGGTCTGCCTTGGTCTTGCACTTGGGTGAGTAAAGAAAGTAACGGCATATACATGTCCCACCGCTGGGCAAAGGCCTCCCCTATACGGAGGGTATCGGGGCATAGTGCACCGCGCGGCTCTCCTGCGTATTGGCGGACTTCAAATATGTTGCGAATATTTTTTGTAATTTTTTCGAAAATATGCCGGTTTCCTCGCTATGTTTTCCTGCACTTAGAACTAACGATTTCATTGGTGCCGGCACCGAGGATCGAACTCAGGTTACTTGAGTATATTGATTTAAAAGCGAGCGCCTGGACAATGAGCTATAACGGTAAAAGGCCTGTATCGCGGGATTTACTCGTACCATTGCTCTGAAAAAGTATTTATGGTTTATGTGCAAGTTTCTCCCGTGAGACCCTTTTCTATTTTGCTGAGGTCCACTTGGTGCCTCTTAAATGTCTTATTACCCAGACATGGAGACTTAAATTGTTATGTTTTTATTTTAGCAAATGGCTCTGTGGTGCCGTTGCTTGCTTCGGCGTCGGGGTCGTGGCATTCGATTCCCACACGGGACATTTTTTGCTTGACCCACAGATAATTGTTCAGGATTTGGGTACTCGTTTCGAAGGACGGTTGAGGTCAGGCAGGCGGACGTAAAAACATAGCGAAAACCGCTTACAACACGATTTACATGTTGCACCGACCCCTCCTAGGTGGGATAAGGGTAGGAAGATGTTGATGATTACACGTATTATAGTAAATAGAGTCGGGCAATTTAAACGGCGGTACTCTAATAAACATTTTAAAGCTTTGTAACTGTTATGAACGAACATTTATCTAATACTTAAATAGCTTTCGGCTGCGATTGAAAATTGTGACTAACTCCCAACTATCGATGCAATGTGAGGTTGTGAAAAATTCTTTCTCTGTAATAATATATATATTTTTATGAATAAACAAAGCGATAATGTGTTCCACTTTACAAATCCACAGCTACTTTTCTTATCATCGTTTTAACTATATTTTGCGTAATTGTGTAAACACAAACACTATTTCGGTCTTGTTTTCGTGGCTTTATTTAATATCTATACTTGACATCCTTTTGCATGGATTTTGCATTTTATGGTTTCTCCTAATATATTTTTCGCAGTGGGCAAATGGTTGGCCGTTGTAATGGAACGACAGAGTCAAAGTATATGTGCGTAAATACACAGGCGAAGAAAATTGTCTCGAAAACTTCGGACTGTGCCCTTGAGGATTCCAATAAGGAAACAATAAAGGCCAGTCTGTGACTAATTCTCTGCTATATTAGAGTTAATGTCAAAAAAAGGTCGTTTTTGCCTTTGACGTGTTCGTTGAGTTGTGCCGTAACACATTGTTGGTCGGCGTGAAATCAAATATAAACACTGGTACAGTGACAGGGTGAACGGTTGAATGGAGCTGCTTAGACTGCTTTTCGGCAGTCTCTTAAATACCTATTTTATTGTTCAATGTTATTAAATATGGGACAGTAACAGTTCACGGAAATGAGACACCACTTGGGGCTTTTGACCTTTTGGACCTAACAACAATGGGTCATCGTTTATCAAAACTTCAATTGTCTCCTTATATCTGTATTAAGTTCGTTTATAAATGTCGAAAACTACCTTCCTTTTTTCGTATTCGGCTAACCTCCGCAATCAAGCCTTTGACAATGCATAAACTGCAACCCTGGAGCCTCCTCTATCGGCCTCTTCTATCACGCCGGATGACGAATCATCGCTTAGCCCATTCGATAAATCCACGATATTTATCGAATGGGATGTAACTGCGATCCCAATCGAACTCGACAAATGATCGAAGGGTTATTGTTATTAATACAAAACAAAACAGTCTTCAAATATCTCTTTACAATTTTCATTTGCTTTAAAGAGATATCTCTGGAGTCCAAGGTCCAATGAAATAATATGGGATTGAACCGAACTCTGTGCCAAAATAATTTTTAAAATGACGGAGTTCCGAGATAATAAACATAAAAATATTACAACTTAAACATAAAAAATATTACAACCTTTGAGAGAGTACTTTTTTGAAGTCTCTTGTAAATCATTATCAGTGTTATGCATTCTCATTAATAGCTTGTAGCCAATTGTAAACATAAAACTTTCACTTTAGTCGACACTGTCTATCTAACCAACAAAACCAAATGATCAAGGTTTTTTTAACCTTCGTATGATCGAGTTTGTTTCATCTCAAGTTTGATCAAGTTATATTAATCATCGTAATAGTTGTCACCGCTCTGTTTGTTTATATGAATCTAGTTGAATTCTTTTTCTTATACAAAGCTGCCTCTTTTAAATATCAGCGTGGCTTTAGCCCCCTGTTTACTATCTAGCCCGTGATCGGTATTAAATTATTTTATTTGTTAATTGGAGTATTTAAGGTATTACGAAGATTAATTGAAATAAGTAACGCTACTATTGTTATGAGATTAGCATTGGAACTTAATTAAAGATTTGACACAACCTTGTTGCGTCATTACTGAGATATCGTATACTTTAATACATCCTGAATTCAAGTATTTCACCGATACTTGAATACTTCAAGTATCTTGCCGATACCAATACATAAATGCATGCCTGTTACGCTCGAATTTCGTCTTACCATTTTTTCTCTCCATTGGAACGTGTATTGGAAAACAAACGGGCAATATACGATAACAATGAACTTCAACGCTTCAGAGATCATTGTTAGCGATGCATAATAAAAGAAAAAACTCCACGTGCGTTACTGTAACAATGTCAAAAGAGGTTGTACTCTGCTTTTTCTTTGTTTTTTTTTATTATTTTTTAATACTAAATGTAATAACTATGTGGTGAAAGCATTGCCGTTGTAGTTTTATGTTTCGTTTGATTCGTTATTTCTTGTTCTAGTTTTGAATTAAGTTGTTTGTATTTTTTTTAACAGGAAACATTGTGCTACTTAAATGCGCACAAATATAAATCCTTAAAGCGTTTGATGTTCGTGTCTAGGTCAGTACCCTTGCGTGGATTTTAGCCTTGTAATAAGTAGAGGCAGATGCAAAATGGCTCAGTGATCGAAAACTCTAATTGTCATTCCATATGCGGCCGTACATTCAAATCTTAAACTAATCTGCATTTTAATGCTGATTAGTTTAATGTACTTTTGGATACCTCTCGAGCAAATATAACAGTCTCAAAATTGTTCATACTTGCAAACCCGTACTAGCCTCTATTAATTCTTTGTACCTCTTACTTAATTTCCCTTGACTTAATTTCCTAATGGCTAAACTACGTCTAGGCGGCGTGTGGGTTAGTTTTTTAATAGACGCCTTCGTTCATGCTCCGAAAAGTTCACTATGGTAAGATCACGCAAGGGTCTTCGATGTTGCACCAATGGGTAGGCCCGGCCGGGTAAGCACCACGACCTCATAAGACGGGCGTGAAAAGGAGGTGTTATACTTCTGCATTTCGTCCAGTGAGTGCGGTAGCCGGGGCCCACTGTTTACAACACGGTAACGCACTTGCAATCCTGCGGGCGTTGCAAATGTTAATGTGCGGCGGTTATCACTTAACGTTAGTAGAACCGTCGACACCATACAGCAGTTATTTAAAACTGAGTTTTGATCTAGCCGAAGAGCTAATTGTGTAAACATTGGTCGGGTCCTTGATTATGTCGCCCGAAACTATTTCGGTGCGGACGCGTGTAGTCGCACCGTTGCAACTTGGCCAACCTTGTGCCACTTTGCGGAACGAGACTTATCAAATCACCTATATGTTTCGTTCTCATTGTCGCCCGCCGGATTCCGTATCTGTTAATAGCACCCGTGTGTCTATCGACGCGATAGGAGCGTTGCGCAATTTGTTTATTTGCCGACGGTACGAATTCCTCGTTCTATACGATATTTACTTGCGAACGGTTTCTGAGTAAACGCCGACGCGTTTCTTCCTCTTAAAACGCTTATGAACGTCAATTTCACCACGTGTTCGCAAATTTTGAACTGTTCAGCAAGAGACTTGAAATTTATGATTTTGATCATCTTTTTTGATGAAATATTTTCATGGGATCAAATAAAATACAATAAAATGGTATTAATACTTCAGAACGAATTTAATGAATTGAGGTATACAGCGTGTCGTTGCCATCGCGACAATAAATGAACACACGTCTAACGCTACTTGCCAATAATCATAAAAAGTATTAACGTTAAACAAAATCCATAATAAAAAAAATATTTTTCAAGCAAACTAATTAAGTAAAAAAGAAACAAAATTTGTAACATCCTATACAACTCGCGCCACAGCGTCACATTACAAGCCTCTCCTTCTAACAGTATGTTTTGTCTCTTTTAAATTCATTCAACCCATTCATATGCTTTGTGATCTTTACAAATGAACTTTACGTTACAGTTTTATATGTAAAATTGTTCTAAAATTCTTTGTTTTGGAAAATTTTATAACTCAGTAAATATTAATTTTTAAAAAATGTAAATGTTTAATACAATTTTAAAAAGTTATCCCCTATATGTGTGTTCATTTATTGTCGCGACTGTAAAGACACGCTGTATAACTATGGTGATGTCCTATTGGGCGGGATTTCGCACTTGCGACGCTTGTAAGTTCGAAACCTAGTGTGGGAAACAAGGTTTTATGATTTTGCTTGAGTAAAAAACCGCTGAAAAGAGACGTGACTCAGTGTCCGGGCGCTCACCTTTAATTCAATATACTCGAGCAACCTGAGTTCGATCCCCGGTGCCGGCACCAATGAAGTTTTTAACTTTAAGTGCAGACTTATCACGTGCTCCATGGTGAAGGAAAACATCGTGAGGAAACCTGCATATTTACGAAATATAACAAAAAAAATATTTTTCGAAGATATGTGAAGGCCGCCAATCCGCAGTGGGGCCGCGTGGTGGACTATGCCCTGATATCCTCTATATAGAGGAGGCCTTTGCCCAGCAGTGGGACATGTATAGGCTGTTACTTTACTTTTTTTTAAAAATCGCTGCCTTAAAATTAATCTGTCACGTATGGGTATTAAATGAATTTGAAATGTCAGTGTCGTATAGTTACGCGAAAGAAACTTTACCTATGCTCATAGTAGAGGTTTAAAAAACGAATATACTTTGTTTATCTGAATAAAAAACAGACATAAATATTGTCCAAATAACAACCAGTGTTAAAATAATTGTAATAGGCTCTGTTTATTATGAATTATTTGTGTTAAAAAATATTAAATAAATAAATACATTAAAAATATGTAGAAAAAATGTTCAGTTTAATGTTCAATCTTAAGTGCAAAGATTAGCACTATAAACAATTTAAATTTCTAAATACATACATTATAATACTTGCAACCATATTCGCCTATGTTGTTTGGAATTAGCATTCTTTATCACCATGTAGTATAATGTTTAATGTTTAATGTCTCTCTTCTAAAGACTCTCACCATACCTTAACATTATTTTATTGAACCCTAAAACAGAACGAAGAAATAAATTTCGATCAATTTCCCAATAATTCGCATATCGCATTAAAAATGAGATAAGATATTAAATGACAATAATTATCGTGAATCTGTTGTGACTGGCCAAAGCAAATATTTTTATTCACCATATCAATTCTACATTCCCATGGGCGTATCAGATTATCAATAAGTTCACGTTCTTTAGCAATTTTGATCGAGTAAACACAAGGTCTTTTTAAATATCGAACTCGAGTTGTAATTTTAAAAAGATAAAGCTGTCAACACTAAACTTTGAACCATAGTATTATTAACTAGGCCTACCTTTTTTGTCTTGGTATTTATTGTTATTTCATGTGGTTCAAATATTGAAAAAATTTCGTTTTCTACCATAAATCTTATCGGTATCTTATCGAAAATTTTCTTTTGACTGCTATAAATTATGAATACGGATCTTTTTGCAATATTATGGTGAATGAACTTCACTACCTAGGGTTGAGGTTAAAATTACAGCAAATAGCTGTAATGAAGAAAGTTAAACTTTTTAATTTCCGATTTTAATTGATGATGATAATATCGAAATGCTATTTACTCGTTTTTCGAAAATACATAATTATTATTTTTTCACTAGCCGGGAATAGCCGAGTATTATGCAAATTATTTGGCTGGCACGTGGGAGCAAGACTTATATCGACGTGATTGTTTGTTGCTCGTTTAGAAAATAAAGTACAATCTTACTTGATCCCACGGCGCTCTGCCCCGCGCGCTCAATTGCTACTCTTTTGACTAATTTAAAAGTAAAAGTAACATCCCATAAGTGTCCCACTGGTCGACAAAGGCCTTCCTCTGTACAGAGGATATTAGGGCATATTCCATCACGCGACCCCACAGCGCGTCTATTGGCAGTGGGGTCCGACTTCACATATATTCGAATTGTTTTTTATTGCGAAGATATGTAGGGTTCCGATCGTGATGTTTTCCTTCACCGTCGAGCACGTGGTAAGCACAAAATTAACAATTTCATTGGTGCCGACACCGGGTTTGAACTCAGGTTGCTCGAGTATGTTGAATTGAATTAAGTCAAAGTCAAAGTCAAATATCTTTATTCAATATAGAAGCATTCACTTACTTATTTGATAGTCAATAAACTCTACCACCGGCTCGGAAGGTAAGCCACTGACCTGAGAAGAATCGGCGTAAGAAACTCAGCGGGACATTATTTTTTTTTAGCGATGAAAGAGCCTGGAGCGATCAATTCATTTCCAGAGTGTGTTATCATTCATATAATCACTAATACTATAATAGCCATTAACACACAAACGTTCCTTTACAAGTTTTTTGAATTTAGCAACAGATTCATTTTGAACGTTTTCTGGGATTTTGTTGTAAAAGCGTATACATTGTCCCATAAAAGATTTACTTATTCTACGTAATCTAGTTGAGGGTAGAACTAATTTATGCTTGTTCCTAGTATTTACATCATGCACATTACTAAATCTTGAAAAGTCATTCTTATTTTTGTGGAAATACATAACATTAGCAAGTATGTACTGAGAAGCTACAGTCAATATTTTTATTTCTTTAAACAGGTTTCTTAGTCTTTGGGGCCCAGGTTATAAACCGCTCGAATAGCTCTCTTTTGCAGGATGAAAATAGTATTTATGTCGGCTGCATTTACCCAAAGTAGAATGTCATAAGACATTATACTGTGGAAATAGCTAAAATATACCAGACGAGCCGTATCCACATCAGTCAATTGTCTAATTTTTTTGACTGCAAAGACTGCTGAGCTAAGTCTACTCGACAGTTTATTAATATGGGGGCCCCACTGCAATTTGGCATCTACGGTTATGCCAAGAAATACAGTCTAGTCAATGAGGTCTAACGCTTCCCCATGTAAAAGTACATCAGTTTTTACACTTTTTACGTTGGGAGTTGTAAATTTAATACATTTCGTTTTTTTTTACTATTCAACATTAAGTTATTAGCACTAAACCAATGCACTACAGTGGAGAGAGTATTGTTAACGTCGTCAAAATTTGAAGAATGTCGTTTAACTTTAAAAATTAAAGAAGTATCATCAGCAAACAATACTATCTCATGATCATTATTTACAAGATAGTGCAGGTCATTTATGTAGATGAGGAAGAGAAAAAGGCCCCAGAAGAGATCCCTGTGGAACCCCCATACTTACCAGGGCCCCGGAAGATCTCTTGCCATTCACGTCAACTCTCTGAACACGATAGCTCAAGTACGATGTCAGAAGATTGAGTGCGGCATCTCTTATACCATAGTGGTGTAGTTTCCTGACCAGAGTGTCATGCTGTACACAATCAAATGCTTTGGTTAAGTCACAGAATATACCTAAGGCATCCTGTGACTCTTCCCAGGCTTCAAAAATATTCTTCACAAGCTGGATACCCGCATCTGTTGTTGAGCGACCCCTAGTAAATCCATATTGCTTGTTATGCAGCAATTTATGTGTACTAAAATGGAGTAACATTTGATTCAAAATAATTTTTTCAAAAATTTTACTAAGAGTTGGTAGTACTGAAATAGGTCTAAAATTCCTGGGGTCAGAAGTACTACCAGATTTGAACACCGGAATAATCTTACTATGTTTCATAAGGTCAGGAAACTCGCCACTTTGAATACAAATATTAAAAATAGTTGCTAAGTAAGGTGAGACTACATCAATTATAGAACTGATCACCTTGACAGAGATCCCCCATAGATCGGCAATTCTTTTAATATCTAGAGATTTGAATGTTTTTATGATATCGTTCTTATTAACAGTAGTAAACTTACTTAAAGTTTTCTTTACATTCCATAACATTTTTCTTAAGCAATGATTCGGCAATTGTCTTCGGCAGTTCTTCGAGCGATGTGGCCTGCCCACTGCCACTTCAAGTTGCAGATTCGGAGAGCTATGTCGGTGACTCCGGTTCTTCGGCGAATTTCCTCGTTCCAGATTTTGTCGCGCAAAGAAACTCCGAGCATAGCTCTCTCCATAGCTCTTTGTGTAACTTTGAGCTTCTCCAATAGGCTTTTAGGGACCACGTCTCAGTGCCATACGTCATCGCTGGCAACACACAACAAAGGGCTATGTAATAATAATCGATAATGGCAAAAGTATAAGTACTCCTTTACGCCGGTCTTCTGTAAGGTCGTGGTAGTTACCCGGACGGACCTGTCCATTCGCGAAGCAGCGAAGACTTAAGCAAGGCCCTACCAAAGTCAACAACACTTTTGTTTTAGGTTCTTTAATTGTGGTTGGCTCCGCGCTCGTCGTATGGTTGACGGACTGGCAGTACAAGTACTACATCGACCCGGCGCTCAGTATAGTCTTGGTCATACTGATCCTCGCCTCCGTTTGGCCCCTTCTCAGGGAGTCGGCCCTCATTCTGCTGCAGACCGTACCCACGCACATACAGGTGAGTTGATTGATGAGTATTTTTTTTGAGAAGTTTCCTACCGGCCAATTGTTTTTGTTTATTATCATTTTTAAAAGAAAACAATTGCCCAGGCTGGTTTTATTTCTTATACATATTTACGAGTACTTAGAACCTTGTTTTTTTAATAGACAAGGATTCAGCGCTGTGTCCAATATAGTGGATAAACATATATATTTTAAATAACATTTTAATAATTAACATAATAAGCTTATTTCAATCTTATCTGTATATCGCAATTAAATTGAATGATTGCTCTGAACCTTTATGATAAGTTAAGTTTCTTTGAGTATCCGATATATATCGTTTACATTTGCAATGTTTATTTATACCCTAAATAAATTAACAATGAATACATCACCACCAATTTTAGTTTCCACAAAACTAACACACAATGTCATATTGTTGCGCCATAAAGTTACATGCTAAATCGCAAACAAATCATCTGATTTCTTCTCAACGGCTAGTGCTCAGAATCATCGATAGTACTGTTTCGGTACTAATGAAAGGAAGAGAGACAAAAATATGAATATAGGCAGAGGCACGGAGGGGAGGAGGTCTGTCTGTCTGTCCGTTTGTCCGTCTGTCCAGTCTGTATCTCATGAACCGTGATAGTTAGACAGTTGAAATTTTCACAGATGATGTATTTCTCTTGCCACTATAGCAAAAAATACAGTAAAAAACAGAATAAAATAGTATATTTCATTACGAGTGCGGAAAGCCTGTCATTGCAAAGAGTTCCGACAAATGTCTACCCGAAGCAGGCGAGGCGCAGGCGAAGGTGAGGGTTGACAGTCGGAACAAGTTGCAATGACGGTTCCGCACGTGTACTACTTTTAATACAGTTGCGAAAAAATGAAGCAAATTTTCTTTTATTGATATAAAATGAAAATGAGATGTAATGACAAGAAATGAAATGTAACCTAACCTAACTCATTTAATCAAATCATTAAATCTGATATTGAAACAAATTAGTAGCTTCTTCTTAGAAATATTTGCTTGAATCATAAATACTTCTGTGAATTTTTTTTTTGTAATAATTTCGTGGTTTTTTTTTTTTTTAATAGACATTATTTTGATAGTTTTTTTTATGTGAAAAGTTGCCAAACGAGCAGACGGTTCACCTAATGTTAAGTGAATACCGCCGCCCATGGACATCTGCTACACTACACCCGAGGGTTGGCAGATGCGTTAACAACCTTTTGGGAAATTGGGCTCTGGCCACCTCACTCACCAGACGAAACGCGAAAGAGTTATATACTTCCACTTTACGCCGGTCTTCTGTGAGGTCGTGGTACTTACCTGGACGAGCCTGCCCATTCGTGCAACAGCCGAGGCTGCTGCGTGGCCCTACCACCGTTTAACAGCTGAGAAAGAGAACGCACGAGTTCGGAAAAGGTAAAGAAAAAGCTCTAGTATGTAATACCCCACATCCCGAACGCTATACTCCCTGCAATACGCCACTTTTTGAGCAACTGTATTAAAAACATATTTAAGTGGAGCTTCCATACAACAGACATTATTGTTTTTATGCCGTATTTATAGATTGATACTATAATTATATAAGCGGGAATAGGCTGAAGGCGTAACATTCAGACAGAAGGACCCATATACATAAAAATATGTATATAAATTATAGCCTGTGTTATTCCGAGTATAAGCTATAGTATCGTAAAGTTTCGTTTAAAATCCATTCAGAATTATTTGTGTGAAAGGGTAACAAACATCCATCCATACATACAAACTTTCGCCTTTATAATATTAGTGTGGATTAGTAGTAGTGGATGATACAGAACACTTCGTGCCCGAGTCCGAATAGCACTTGGTATGTTATTGGCAAAACAGTGTATCCGAGAAATTAATCGTCTGTGCATATTGGCGGTCGTTTTGTTTGGTCCGGACCGAGTCTCGGCACGTGCGCGCACAATGTGGGCCGCTCATCGTCCGCCGGATGTTTGCCGAATGTTTGTCGAGCGTTCGCCGAATGTTTGCCCAGGTGGACGCGATCCAGAGGCGGCTGCTGGAGAAGGTGGACGGGGTCCTGGCCGTCCACGAGTTCCACGTGTGGCAGTTGGCCGGCGACAGGATCATCGCCAGCGCGCACATAAGGTAAACACTAAACGTCCTATGACCGTTGTCACCGTCGATCCCTAAATTTAAGGGACGCCTAAAAAAAATTTAAGTGCTTGTTTCGTTTTCGCCGCTGCTTAAGAATTTAGGTGGACTTTAGGTTTAACATTTTGTTGTATAAAATCAATTAAACGGATTTTATTACTTTATTTTTAATTCCCGACGCCTCAAACCTTACAAATATTCGTGGTCACGTCCTAATGTTATATGCCCGGTTTCTATATTTAACGAGCGGCTGTTAGTTACAAAACTTCGTAACTTTCATAACAACTTGTAGATAAAAGGCGTGTACGCTCTGTTTCTATATTAACAAAACGAGGCGTTTTCCTTACGAGCCGTGGCATTAGCTACGGAAAGTGAGTTACTAGCGTTCCTTTAATCTACAAGTCGTTATAAAAGTTACTAAGCTATGTAACTAACGGCCGTTCGTTGAATATATCAACTGGGCAATAGTTAACTCTGACTTCCACTAACTTATATTAATTTTGTAGTTTCATAATATTTAAGCCTAAAATAATTTTTGCATTTTATTTGCTTGCAATTTAAATAAAATTTTCAATGGTGCGAATAATTTTCAGTATCCGTATTACAAATGTTATTTTTTGTACCACTATGAAATAATACAAATGGTTATTCTATAATCGGAGCCAGCATTCGTGTGATTACAAGAAATCATTAATATAATGTATTTCTTAATTATATACGGCTCACGAATAAACATATCGGTTCGTGATTAAAAAAATAAAATTCGTTGACAGGCAATTTTATCGATATCCATTAATCACGTTAAGCAATTTACGTTTAAAGGAACGACGCTCTTTGCTTCCTAAGAAAAGCACACCAACCTTGCCTTGTTACAAGCGGTCATTATCATACATTTTTGTATCTGTGGTCGTTGTCATTCCATCCTTATCTTATTTGCTAATTCACCAACCACCGATTTGAATTCGAAATAGTGTTGTTGGCACCTATAAAATGTTTATTTATTTAGGCAGTTTTGTGTCTATTTATTGCTTCCGATAAACAGAATACGGGATTTTGTGTCAGTCAGTATGTTTATCAAGTTCTTTTTCTATATTATAGAACTAAGCCGATATTTAAGACAGTATTTATAAGTGGTCATATTGCTTATTGACAGATTTTCCAATATCAAACATAAGTCGTTTTCAAGCACTCGGTGATGGAAATGTAATAGGAGTTATATTTTATAAGCGTTGATATCACAAAGTGACGTGTCGATAAGGAAAGCCTTTTAATGCGTCCCCGATAGCGAGGTGTGTTTTTGCAACTTATCTATCTGGCGACCAACAAAGCGGCGTTTGTGATTTCGTGCGGATGTAGGGCTCGAAGTGTACGGCAGATATAATAAGATATTTATCGTTACAATTCGGGCCACGTAAATATGGAACCCATAAATCTATTTTAATTGTTAGCAATCGATTCAAATAATAATCAATATAAGTTACAAATGTTACGTTTTTGCGGTATTACCGAAGAATGCTGCAACCTTTAGGGCATGTATTAAAGTTATTTTAAATGAAATGTCAAATTAAAAAAAAAAACTTCTCTTTCAAATAAAATAAACAAAAAAATATTATATTTTCACCAATTATTTCTTAGGATTGAAAAATTAACATTTAGAATAAAGCGTTTTTATGACAGGGTGATTACTTACTGGATATTCATTTCAGCCATCGGCTTTATATAGTAGAAATTAAAAGTTATAAGTAAAAAAAAAATATATCCTTATAAAAACTATTTTAATTTGCAAATAAAAACGGCACATTAGATTTATAATTTGGCATCTACGTTTACAAAGCGCTTATTCCGAAAAATCATTTTGGAATTAATTTACTTGGCAGAATCCCAAAGCGGTCTTTATCCCGAAACCAATGTCAGTGAACTGTCGGCATCCCGCGCTTTTGTTTCGCGTTTTAATTTTGTTTTGGTGATAAATGAGATTCCTTAAAAAAAGGAACTATTTGAGACGACGGCACATATCGAATCTTTTTAAAGTTAAATGATGCAATAAAATCTTTGCTGACTGTGGCTTTTAACTTTGCCATAATTTAATGCAAATTCACTTTTTTATTTTACCTATGTACTAAAGTATTTCAAATTTGCTAAGATACGTCACAAAAATAATTTTATTTATCCAAAATCTCTATGCATACTAGCGTACAATGGCGAACTTAAAACACCATTAGGTGTTCTTTACCAGTCAACCGTCAAATAAACTTCGTCGAGAGTTATCTTTAACGGTTAATTTTATTACATATCCTAAAGAAATTAAATAACTTCAGAGCTTATTTCTTTATATCTCACTACTTCCTGAAATTATATTTTTAATATCAAAATCCAAATTTCCATTTCCATATGAACATAAGCTAAAAAATTGTTCATATATCGAATTTACACAGAACGAAATGAACCACATCGCTACTGCAAATAAAGTGATCAAACGTTCTATTTTTCGCAGACGTCCCTAGTTTTCAATTTTAGCACGGAGAATCTCTACACTATTTTTACTCGCTTTTTTGTTTTTTTGGTACATGACCGAATAAAAACTCCTTTGGTCCATTTCTACTTACGTAATATAAAAATATAATAATTACAAAAGTCTATTAAACAATTTAAATAAAGAAATGACTAAAATTATTTTTAGACGATTTAATTTTGACAAATAATCCAACTTTCTTTCGTCCACCACGTTTGAAATCATTGTAAAGCTTCTTGTTTGTAATATTTTAAACTAGCTGCTGCCCGTGACTACGTCTGCGTAGAAGGCTGAAGGCGTAACATTCAGACAGAAAGACAGATATACATCAAAATCTGTATATAAATTATAGATTTTATTCTGATGCATAAGTTACATTATTGTAAAGTTTCATTAAAATCCATTCAGTAGTATTTGCGTGAAAGAGTAGCAAACATCCATCCATACATACAAACTTTCGCCTTTATAATATTAGTAAGGAAGTAAGGATGATTAGGATATCTGAATGTAGAGTAAAAAGAGATAATTGGTTTATTATATGTACATCAATGAGTCCATAATACGGAAGAGTTTAGATGCGCAGGATATACTAAGTGCGCAAATGCAGGCGCACGCGCTCCTCCTTCCACTCCTCGATTCAGTTGAACGGAGAACCGCTACGACTGAAAGAGAGGTCAGTTGATGTCTCTGTTGGACGTTACTATACGCCCTCTAACGTCGCCCCTGGCCTTCCAAATTACTTTGTCCCAAACCCGTGGGTTCTGGCTAGACCACCGGTTCTGTGTCAGATGAAGCTTTAATAGTCTCGGGACTGAAAGCAAAACCATCAGTTAATACAAGATACAAGATTACTTTGTTGGCTTGCCTGCTACATATCTGCGGTGGGACGATTTTATCATCGAAACAGAATTCATGCGCTATGCAGAAGGTATTATTATAAATCTATTCTCATATCTACTGAATATAAATATAAAATTCCATCAAAATCGGTCAAGCCGTTTCGGAGGAGTATAAAACTGTGACACAATAATTTTATACATTAGATGTATGTATAAATATTATGTAATATATCCAATGAATATCGTAAATTTTTATTACTACCTAATACTGGTGAGTTCGTTCTTTAAATGCGATTTATTATTAGGAAAATTTAACATTGGTTCTCTGTTTAGATTTACTTAAAACCTGCACAAGTCCCCGAGTGCGCTATTACATGGTTCATTAAAAATATTCAACGTGTTTTTGCTGTTGATGTCTCATTATCATCATCATTTCAGCCTGTTTGAGTCCACTGCTGAACATAGGCCTCCCCCATAGACTGCCACGAAGTACCATTCTCAGCCACGTGCATCCATCGGCTTCCCGCTCCTTTATTATGTATATATCGCTATAATAATATTTGTAGAAAAAGTTATATATTGAGCACCGATACTATGGTGAAGAAGTGACCGTGCCGCGTAGAAGCATCAGCTAAATGTCCATTTGACATTGTTCTTACGAGCAAAAGACGCCACTGTGACACAACGTTACGACATTTCGTCAAACATTCAGCAAATATGCCGCACATCATTTGAGACGAGTAGTTGTTAATATAACAGTGATTCATATCATAACACGCTCTTTGTTCAAGTGATATATTTAGGGCTCTCCTTAATCGTGTACGAGGACGTTAGTGGGTACTTTGTTTTAAAAACTCCATTTGCTTTGAGTTCGTTCGAGGTATTTGAGTAAATTATAACCTACCAGCATAATTAAATACTGTATCGTGACGGGGGGACGTTTATTTATTATTAAGATTAATTATACGATTTTTAACTGCAAACTTTCTAAACATTAGATTAATTCAAAACTTTATAAAGATACTACTAGAATATAGGGTTGACGAACTGAAGAAAAAAGACGCTAACAAAAAACTGTGTGAAAAAAACACACCTGCTAAATTTCATCGTAATTTCGCAATACACATATACAAATATTATGTTTCTTGACACGATACAGTCAAATTATATGAAACAGGTCAATAACAATTAACCAATCACTGCAGCCCGCAAAAAGGGAAGCAACGTCAAGAATGTGACGAAAATCCTTACGTCGCCTAGACTGAATCTCGCAATATATCCTTTCCATTCACAGGTGTAGAAACCTATCGGAGTACATGAAGATAGCCGAGAAAGTGAAGGAGTTCTTTCACAACGAGGGCATCCATTCGACGACCATCCAGCCAGAGTTCATCGAGCTCCCTTTGGACGGAAACGAGGTATTTCTTTGGCGGACCACACGAGAAATTAAAATAGGCGAAGTGTAAGGCGTTTCTCTGCCTTCTCCGTTATTTCGTTCCGGTAACTCAAATGTATTTTTCGTCGAATACAGCCCCAATCAGCCTGAACAAAATAAAAACGACAACAAAGTTAACATAAGAAACTTTGAGAATGTAAAAGTAACAGAAATTGCGTAAATCGTAATACCGAAGTATCTTCTAAACTCATTTTAATTAAAAAGCACTAATCGGGTCTGATTAAGGATAAGGAAGTTAAAGGAGGATTTTTTTAATTAACTGCAATCTGCATCTTTGATGATGAACTAAACTTGCTGTCTGCAGAAATTTATGCATGTTTTGTTTCAATTGATATGTGACCACTATCCCATTAAGTTCTACCGTCGGGAATTTGATAAAGATACTCTTCTACATTGACTGTTTTAGTGACTATGTTGACTAGTTGATGAAAGGGAGCATTCATAAATAAATAGTTAATCGTAAATGTATAATAATTATGTTTGTAACGGCTAGTGTTACAAACATAATTATTATACATACTTTAAGAGGTATGTTACAAAGCGTGGTGGACAGATGCCAAGAATTTATCCATATTAAATTCACCTATAGATAAGTGATATAACTACCATTTTTGATTAGGAAACAAATAGTTATTTGTTTCCTGTTTCCTGTATAATTAAGTTTAATCGGTGATTGCTTTAATAGATAAATCGCTGTTGTGAACTTTATTAACGGTGATCGTTAACTCTGTACTTGTTTACCTTATTATTTATGTACATTATTTCTCAAAATTATTTATAATAATGTGAAATCCTTTAAAAACAGTTTCATTTAGTATTCCGTAGTAGCGTAAATACAAGAAATTATCATATTATTTGTCTTTCAAAATAATACTAAATAGAAAATAAAACATGAAATAGTCTTCCGGATTCGCGCCCAGACGCTTTAACCACTAAGCTAAATGCCTGATTGCCACACCGAAGAATTATAATTGTTTTGTCTTAAGTGCTGTGAATAGCACTAAAAAATTTAAAATAGCAATCGCAACATATCTCGTTCGAATTATCGTTGTAAAAAGATATTCGAAATTTATTGTATGCTGTAAAAAGGATATAACAATAAAATTTTACACAAAGGGTTTCACGTTTAAAAAAATATTACAAGGTTCAAATACTGCGAAACGGTAAATAATTATTCCACGCATTCATGTATTTTGGGTGGCAAAAAAACGTTCTATCAAAAGTAATACTTACTAGCTTTGTTTTTTATGCAACTTTAACTATTTATTACTGTGGGATGTATTTATTCATCTTGTGCTGTAAAGGTATAAACACGAATTATATAACGACAGATGAAGCATTAAAATTTTGAACAATAATCGCACCAACGACCCTTGGCGGAGAAGTCTGGTGCTTAGCGACTGTGCCAACGGAGTCATATAATCTTAATTACTTCTTTCATAGCAATATTATATTACGTTCATCTCGTCAAACCCACTTTAGAGGTCCGGTAGACAACTACCGGACCTCAAAAGTGGCTTTCAATAAAATTATTGTCGAAATATTATGACGTTTTTAAATCACTTAAAAAGGTTATATTTAATTAACTTACAGTTTTAAATGTGAATTGATATTATTTACTACGTGATACCTACCGTCAACAATTGTGTATGCTTTCTATTTCTAACACAAACGATTCCTACTAATTTTTGTTCTCGATTTGTTTTATTTTTATTAATGTTTTTTTCGAGAACATTTCACTGTGGTAGGGGCATGTAGCAGCTTTCACTGTTGCACGAATTGACAGGCTCGTCCGGGGAAGTACCGCGTCATAACAGAAGACCGACATAAAGTGAAAGTATTACGATTTTGCCGTTCATCTGGTGGGTGAGGTAACCGGGGGACCCTGTTTTCGAAGGTTGCTAGCATCTGCGAGTCCGAGGGGGAGGCTTATGCTTAGCACTGGGCTCAAACAGGCCGAAATGAAGATGATGATATTTTTAAAACTTTATTTCCCGACGTTCCGAGCCCTATTCCGCGTTCCTGGTCTGTCACGTGACCATGAACGCAAGAAAGGGTTCGAAACTATCTGCTTCGCGAAAATTCCATAAAATTAGTGTCATTAAGAAGCTTCTTTTTGACGACTCTATGACGCAGTTGCCAAGGTATTGGCTTCGGCGTCGGGGGTCGTGGGTTCGATTCCCACACGGGACAGCTATTTGTGCGACCCGCAGATAGTTGTTTCGCATCTGGGTGTTTTATGTTTGTAAAACGTCCTTCCAACACAGGATAACGTTATCCTACAGTAAGGGCAATGATTTAAAAAAAAAAAACTACCGCCACGCGGACCTATCGAATCGAATCGGTAGCTGTACACTTAAATTTTCCCTTTCCAGGTAATAAGTGGCGTTTCGGCGGACGCGCCATGCGCCCTCCACTGTCCTGCCAACGATCTGTGTCACAACGCGACATGCTGTGGCCCCAATCAGCAGGTGAACTTGATTCGAATGTCGTTGCTCTTTCTCCTTTATCTCTTATCTCTTTCCATTTCTATTTGTGTCCTTATCAAATCGGCTATTGTTCAACGATTCGGTGTGCCTCGATTAAGTATTGTCAACGTATTATCCGAACGAAACCGGAGCGCATTAGGTTTTCCATATAAATCGTTGCGAAAAAACTGTTTTGTTTTACAGCACTTTTGGGCTATTGTTTAACGGGATAGTGTATTTTGATCCGAAAATAAATTTAAATCAAGTAGCCCATTTTCTTATTATTTATTGTTTTGTTCGGGTCCATAAGTTGTTAATTTAGTATTAGTAATACAAAGTATTATTAAAGAAAATATTACCCGTCGAGATTTTTTTAATGCTTTCGCTTCCCTCTGTTCAGTAGATTCTTAGATCTGTTTATTTCAATTGCAGTTTTACAGTTTAGAAACGATAACCGTAAGGTAATATTTTTCAAGGACGTCGCCATCGGACCTTGAGGATTCCTAAGGACACGCTTCGCCGTAGAGGGGATTTACAGTGTTTTGGAAATCAGTGTTTTATATTATGTTTAAAATCGGATGATTTTCTTTACGAGTTGTATGAAACCCAAATTAGGAATACACGTTTTAGTGATAATTATATTCTTGAACTGTACTTAGTTAGGTGTTTTTTATATGTAGTTTTGTTTATATGTTTAACATTATACTTGCGCTCTTCCATTGGTTTTTTATTTTGTATATTATACTATGAAGCATTTTGTACACCGATACTTAAAATTTCATCAGCAAAATAATAGTACCCTGTCCATAAAATGTTTAGTAAAGTGCAACACTGTTTAAGAGCTTACACTGAACACAGGGACATAATTTTGCATTAACAAATTTCAGAAACTCGGCACGTAGCTGAATTTACACATTTACACGTATACACAAGACGATAAGATAAAACTTACATTGCGCGAATGATAAAATTATTAATTGTTTACACACCAACGAGTTTGCATATAAATGCATACTTTAATTTTTCTTTAAATGCTTACTGTATAAAAAAAAAATATAGAAAGAATTTATTCATTAAACTGTATTAATATTTTCGTTGAAGTTGCAAAGCTGTGTTATTTACCAACACGCTATTACATGTTGCTTGCTATACTTACGTTATGCGGTCGGTAATTACCTTTAATTTTCGGTAACACTGACTTTAACGCATTAAATTTTGCAGTTTGTTTAGGCAATTTTCACAGTATTTTTTTTTTCTACAAATTTTAAAATTTTTACAGTACTTTCTGTCACCGAATGGTAACTTGGTTCCCTTATATTTAAACTTCTTTATAACAAATATAAAAATGAGTTTTTTAATAAAGTATTATAGAACTTCTGGCTTATATAAAAAACAAATAGAGATGAGACATTATATTGCCACAAGATACGTTCTGAAATCCAAATGAAAAACCCTGATGGATACGCGATTCACTTCTGTATATACCATACGTCCCGGCTTCGCACGGGTGCAATGTATTATATACATACATATAAACGTTCCTCTTGAGTCAACTTTATCTAGTGAAAGAACCGCATCAAGATCCGTCGCGTGGTTTTAAAGATCTTAACATACATAGGGACAGACAGACAGCAGGACGACTTTGTTTTATAGGTACTATATACCATAAGTGCCTGACCTTTATGAGCTATGAAAATTGCATGTCGTGGAAGAACTTTGCCGACCTTAGCCTGATCAATGAGGTAAAAAGGTTATTTTCGAGGTCGGATTTTCATATATGTAATGACCATATTAGAATAGTCGTAACTCCTCTTTGATAGTCTTAATGGTAGTGTTGTTTGGTTTTATATTTTTGATCATTTTTATAATGTTCAGGGTACATTGTGTGGTTCAATCGCAATGTTTCTTTCATAGACAGTTGTGTCAAATTATATATTCATTTAACAATATACAACGTGTTTTTATTGAGTTCCCAAAGCTTAAAAATAAATTGCAGTGTAGTGAATTAAATCGGTTAAGTTAGACAACTTTTCTACCGTAAACAGTTCGCCCACTTCGTAAAAGTAAGGATTCATCATACTGTAGATTTTTATGCACAAACTAATCGAAAATAAGTGTTATCTTCAAAAGTATTTTTATGATAAATGTTCCATAGACACTTTTTCTCATTTATAGTATTAGAACATACCCTTAAAGTTGTGGGAATACAAAATGAACACAATGTATATATAGCTTTTAAATAGTTGAAAATAAGAACCCCCATGATCAATCGTTCCATCACTTCAAATAAACATGTTTTCTATACATAAGTTTTCATCAATCCATTGTGAATTTTGCCGTGCAATTCGAAATGTCGACTCATTAGAAATGTATGCCAATGTTGAAATATGTTTTGCAGGAGCGCACAACGCCATCACCCTCTGTGACACCATATCTTTGTCGGCAGCGCAACATGGGATCTAGGACAGAGTCAATGAACTCCAATATGGCGGCGGCAGGGCAAAGTGGGGCCACCACGAGGAACCTGGATGCCCTAGAATGCGGGTAACTGTTTAAAATTATTGTCGATATCCCGCTCGAATCACCAGAATATTTTTATTAAACCCAATACCTCACTAGAACGGTCTCCACCGCTCTGTTTTTAGTAGGTAATCTCCAAATTTCATCCATATCTGTTTAACCATTGTGACACGAGGTGTGAACAAAGTTGCGTCGAAAAACACTTACTTTCGAATACCACATTAGATATCCGACGCGAACGATCTGGATGGTGTTAAAAATGCTTTTGTAAACACATTTCTTTCTTTGAAACGAACATATCAAAGATTAAAAAAATACCAGATATTTCGTTTCATAAAAGTAACTGAATCCAATCTATCTTTAGTCGATTTAAAACTCTAACTTTGAATTTTCCGTATTTGTGTAAAAATATACATAGAAAATCGAAGTTGAAATTGCCATTTGTGTATTCCAGGTCTTTGTTGCCCTCTCCAATGGTGGTGGATGGGAGGCTTTCAGCTTGACAGACGGTCGGGCTCAACACGGTCACAGGCTAACTGCGAACTTTCACAATATATTAGCTGTGAAATTCTATTCTCACCGAGTTATTTTAATGAATACAATATAATTTTTTACACGTTCCTTCAATAAAGTGGCCACGGGTTTAAGTTTTTTACAGTCATTGAAAGTATAATCCGTTCGCGGGTATGAAATGCAGAAGCGTGTTTATTAATAAAAATAATGACAGATATGAGAGTTTACGATGTGTTTTTCTTATTACACGGACGCAAAAAACTCGCGCAAACGCGTCGATAGCCGTCCAAGCGACTAGCGTAAATATCGATGCGTTCATTGAAAAAGTCCTAAATAAATATTTAAAAAAGAATCCGTGTTCTAAATTCGAAAACTTAATGAAAAATTCGTCCAGTCATTTCCCCTTTCAGAGTATAGAAAATAATTAATTAAATCGGCAACTGCTGCTGTCAAACTTTTAACTATAAAATTTTAAGGATAAAGTTTAATTGTTAAAAGGAAACAATCGAATTATAGCGAGTCGCGAAATGTGTTCGTGTTACTCATAGTTTATTCTAGTAACTATGAAACAAATCGAGCCAGTTTGAAGCAACGGCTTTGATAGTATCTTGATGATTTAGCGGATTTTATAAGCATTTTTTTATACTGTCACAATGTTTGTTAGATTTATAACGTTTTATTTTTAATCTCGTCCTTTATTACTTTATATGACGATTGTTTAATCTTTTTTAAAAGTTTTTGAAAACCAAAAGACAATCCATCATCTCTCATTTCTTTTAATTCAATTGGATAAAATCGCATATGTGCGCAAGTAATTGGGCAGTATGACGTTTATTGTTTTAAAATGTTTTGTAGGATTTTTGTTTTTTGTTAATCTTACAATTATTTTGTTTATCATTCACACCTAATATGTTTGTGAAAGTTGGTTTTATACCAAAACACAGTTGTTACGATTTTGATGTAAAACAAATGTTTGAATAGCGAAAATGTGTTAAACGTGATTGTTATTGTCTCCAAGACGTATATATTACATAATAAGTTATATTTATTAGCTGTGTACTGTGAGACTACTGTCAGAAAGATTATCGAATATCAATGTTCTAAAGCATTTTTCACCTATTATATAAATTTTGGAGTTTCTTCTGCTTTCAAATGAAATACCATTTTATTTAATAGAAAATTGGTATTTTAATGAAGCTCCTATAATTGAGTAGGTAATGGCAGTAAAGTACAATCGATTTCAAGTAACATATAATTTTTTTATAGGATTTGCAACAACTAAAATAGTAATCCGTAGATTTGGTAAATTTAAAAATTATAAAAGCTGCAAAATTGACTAAAATATTTATTTTTTCATTTTTTAGAATTTACTGTACTCTTTTACAGCAATCGACCCATTTTTTTTAATATCTACATTAAGAAAATTTAGGTCCAGTAATGCAAAAGTTTACAGTAAATTGTATCACGGCAATTCATCAGTCTGTGCTGTAAACTTTGTTTCAATATCCTATGTCCAAATCACTATATGGGGAAGATCGCTTACACATTCTTGCATACGAAAATATATTATTTATTGTTTCTATTTTATTGAAATGCCTTTGGAACATGTATTGGTAGAATTTGTTTTTTGTTTTCCCTCGTATCCTCCGTTTGTTTGTTATACTTAAAAATTGTGATCATAATTCGTAGTTTTAAGTAGAGAAATGCCAAGAAACGGCTAGCATTTTATAGCGTACGACAAATAAAACTTTAGAAATGTGCGGGTAAAATGTTGCAATAATCTTTAAGATAAATAGGTTGGACAGTTTAGTGAAATGTTGGTGCACCAAACATCCTTCGCGTGTCTGCGTTATTATACGCTTGTGCATTAGCAATCTGTAGTTATTAGATTTTAGGTTTTCTCTTAGTATCAGAATCACCATACTAAAATCCGAAAATTTCCTAAAAAGTTCTTTTTAGGTTGTTTTCTGTTGCTTACCTTCCTTATTGCAAATTGTAACATCTGTAATTATAATATCTTTCTCTTTATGCTTAAATAAGGTTATTTTTACCCGACGATTTCTTAAGCTTCATAAACTAGCTATTGTAATCAAATAAGGATTTTTTACTATATTTTAAATACTAAAAACACCGTAATTATGAGTAGAATTTTGTTTAATCATATTAAATTTTTATATAGAAAAAGTATACGGTAATTTTTTTACCTCATGCGAAACTGTAACTAACACCAATGCTACATTGTTAACTTTAATACATTAAATAGTTCGGAAAGGTTAGGTATCGTAATAAACTTTGAGCATATGTTTAATTCTATTTAATAATATCGCTGCTCAATTATACCTTTATAAAATCGTATTACTAATTATTATTGAATAATGTCAACTGTTGTAAACTATGACGAACTTTATAGGCACGCTCCATCAACATCATAATTATGTGTAATTGTTTTAGAAAAGCAATGATAAACTTTTTTTTTATTTTCTTGTTTGTTCTGAAATATAATAATTTCTTGTATTTACGCGATTACACATTATAAATGAAACTAATTTTACGGATTTATCGCGTTTATTTTTAATTTTAGTTCCCGACGTTTCGAACCCTTTACAGCGTTCATGGTCACGGGACAGACTGAGGTGTTAGACGTCTGATTGTCAAAGTTAACCCGGGCTACCGTCAGTTTTTGTATTATTGATTTTGTGTCCGATCTATGCAGAGGGAGCTAATTGTATCTTGTCTTGCAGTAGTGGTTCTTTTGGGCTTAGATTTAATTTTATTGATGATAGGATCCCAAGCTGATGGTAGTACCCAACCCTCTTCTCTATTGAAATTAGGGTGTTTTTTAATTTCAATAGCCTCGCGAATCATCCTCGGGAGGAATCGGTGTTCTTTTGCAAGGATCTGTGGTCTATCAAACCTGATGTAGTGGTTGGGCCGATTTACAATGTGCTCACAAGTCTGCAGTTTGTGGGTTAACTTTGACAATCAGACGTCTAACACCTCAGTCTGTCCCGTGACCATGAACGCTGTAAAGGGTTCGAAACGTCGGGAACTAAAATTAAAAATAAACGCGATAAATCCGTAAAATTAGTTTCATTTTGTTCTGAAATATATCACAAAATGTCTTTTACTTTTGTCACAGGTTAACTGTGAGCTGTGGATATATATTGTTGATTGGTGTTCACTATTAGAATTTAAGGATTGTGAAAATATATTTCACAGTTATTAAAAATTAATAAAAGAACCCGAGTTTTATTTCGTTACTTTATTACCTGTGATACTTTGCCTGGTTATACAAGAATTTAATCAATAATTTTTACGTGTATGTATCTATCATATACACTACTAAACTATGTGAATCGTATATTATGTGAATATGGTATTATTTATTGGTTAAAAAATTTATCGATACAGGAATGCCGAAGGCGTGCGAACTGGTATAAGCCTGGTCCCGTTAGCGGCATCAACTACCCAGTATTCCCTTCCGTTTATGGTTTTCCTAAGGGTTCGTTCGGTGATTTTATATCGTGATTTCCCACCAAAAAGAGAGTCATACGGTGGTGGTCTGCTGTCGTCGTAGCGGTGGTCGTTGAACCTGACCTTTGATTTTTTCTTGTTTTGCTTTTTATCTATCTGCCCCTCGTGCGGCTTTGTTTTCACAAATACCGATCGCTTGATAAGTACCTGAAAGTGCAATGATCGGTTATATCGGACAAAAGTAGCAAGATACTCGACAAAAAAAAAAGCGATAACAGATATATTTCACATGTGATTTTTATATACGTACAGAGACAGTATGATATTTGGATTTTGTCATCGAATTATTTTCTTCAAAGAATATCGCAGAGACGTGAATTGAGCAACCTGGGCTCATATCCCGGTGTCGACATTAATGAAATTAAAACATGTAGAAAAAGTTCGAAAAGATTGTCGCCGCTGTGGGAATCGAACCCAAATCTTCGGCATTCGCGGCCTGACCACTAAGCTAAACGGCTGATTGCCACACCGACGAAAATCTTAACGTGTTTTATCTACATTATTTTACTTAATGAAATTGTTTATTCTAAATTCAGACTTATCACCAGCTCAGCGAAAGGAAAACGGTCGTAAAGAAACCTGCATAGTATCGGAATAATAACAAAAAAAAATTCGAAGACATGTAAAGCCCGCCTATCCGCAGATGGGTCCCGTGGTGGACTACGTTCTAATGGCTTCTGTATAGAGGAGACCTTTGCCCAGCAGTGGGACAAATATAGGCTGTTATTTTACTTTACTATATCGCTCCCAATAATGCTGAAATATAATTATACAACCGTGTGTATGTATGTTTTGTTACTGGTCTCGGTTTTATCAATCGCACAACTGATCATTAAAATAGAATTGCGGATGTGGTTTTATGCGTTCTAAAGTGTACCTGTTATACATTTCCGGCTCATTTTTAACATGTCTACTAAATTAGACGAAAATAGAAAGTAATTCAAGTCTTTCAAGTTTTTTTTAACTTTGAGTGTACAGAGAAATCCTATCCGATCTCTGAACATTCGGGGAAACTATCTTATTTACCGTGAAGTCTTGCGGTTAATAATTGTGAGTCATGTAAGGATCAAATTCGTGTATAAAAGAAACAAATTTTAAGAGCAGAAATCAAAAAAATACTTTTAATACGTATCCTTTCCCGTATCCGTTCTAACGTATTGAAGGTAATAAACGTTATTAACAGATTAAAATTTCAAGTTTAAATGCAGTCGCTATGTATCGACTTAGTCATTGGGCGTGGAGTGATTTTAACATTTCAAAAAATTTATTGCATTTAAAAATTTTTTGGTTTTTTTTAATGTCAGAAGGTGGCAAACGAGCTGGCGGTTCACCAGATGTTAAGTGACCGTCGCCCATTGACATTTGCAACACTCGTAGCGTTGCAGATGCATTGTCACCTTTTAATAAAGTGGGCCCCGGCTACCTCACTCACCAGAAGAAACACAAAATTAACTATAATAACACTTCCACTTCACGCCGGTCTCCTTAAACTAACTAATTATTCTTAGGTTAATTAGTAACCATAGATAATGTCATATACTTCTCCAATAAATGTGGCTGCGGCAGCGGCTAGCCCGACGCCCATAATTATATACGTCATCAGAAGATCACTGTTTCGAAGCTGTCGGTCTTTTGACTGGAGGTCCAAGGGGCAAATCTTTGTAGTGGGTAGATCACGGTGTTCCAAGTAGTCCACGATACCAGCTTGCAGTAGGTTCGTTATCCTATATATGGTATAAATAATTTGTACACTATTTTTACTTTCCTTGTGTAGGTGTAATGGCTAGAGTCTGGGATTTGCGATCTAAGGTCTTCTAGGTACTTATTATGAGTTCTCCGCTATTCGAATTTCGTACATCCAATAACCGCGCCGGTTATACAGCAACTGGTGAAACGTGATAGCATTTGACATCTCTGTCTTCCCTTTAGCGCTTATAGTCGGTAATCTTTTTTAAATAATTAAACTTGTACGATCTGCGTACACACCACAACTAAATTAATATAATTTCATAGTTCACTATAATAGACATTTTGTGTTAAGGCATAGCCTTCGCCGGGGCGATAATAGCATGCAAGTTCTTTTTTTTTTTGTGAAAATACTTACACAGCATCAAATAGGAATTTTATCTTGGTGTTCGTCGGATATGCGAAAGCTCTTTGTTTCTTCATAAACGCCGTGGGTGCGACCACGTACGTGCACCTGTCCGCTTCGGCGACACCTTCTCTCGCTTTCTTCAAGTAGTCGCCGTACATCAGATGGTCAATCGCAGTTTGCTCCTTCACCAGCACCGCACCGCCCTCCACAATCGGGAGGTAGTCCTGGTCTCTTGTCACTGAGCGGAACTGGGCCCTACCGTTAGCGACCATCTTGTTCAGGTAATAGAGGTCTTCGTCGGGCTGTCGATTTTTTAACAATTTTAAATAATTGTGCCATAGAACACACAACGGAGTGGTCACAGAATTAACTGTGGTAGGGCCACGCAACAATTTTCACTGTTGGGCGGGTCCGTTCGGGTAATTCCGTCCGTTCGATCCTACTGACGACCTAATTGGCGTGGGGAGTAGTACCCTGCCTCTTGCGGCGGAGGGCGTGGGTTCGATCCCCACTACTGGAAAAATATTGTGTGATGAACGTAGTGTTTTTCCAGTGTCTGGGTGGTTTCATATGAATAATATGTATTTATTTACAAAAGAAAAGTATGTTTACGTATGTTTATCAGTTTTCTAGTAGGTACCCATAGTACAAGCGTTTAAAGGTGGCAACGCATTTGCAACCCTACAGGTGCTGCAAATGTCCATGGGGGTTATGATGTGTTATTACTTCAACCTCGGTGAACCGCCAGTTCGTTTGCCACTTTTTCACATAAAAAAAAAGATAACCGTCCTACGCTCGAACGGCATTTAATGTTATGTTAATTATTATAAACGTTATGTTAATTACCTAATGTTACATGTTACAAGTCTGTTACATAAAAAACAATCTTTTGTTTTAAGGTGTAAGCGAGCGATGTTATAGTGAATATAGAATATAAGAATAGAGAATATTTAATTACGGTACATTTCTTATAGTGTACTGCACAGCTCCACCTTCCATTGCCACCCAGCGATAGTTCTTCTTGTAGAGATCTTGGGGGCTCTCTATGTCCAGAGTGAATTTGGATAGGGTCAGGAACGCGGTTAGGTTGGCTGTGTAGAACGCCGACAGGAGTATTATGAAAATCCACCACGTCGCAAACAGAACACGCGTAGTGTCTGAAAGAACGTACTATTCAAATCACCAGAATTAAAATAATTACAAATTTTAGGTTATAGAAGCTTTAGATGAAAATTATAATTACCAATTTAGTACGTAACGTAATACTTTGACATATTGTCCTACGTTATAACCGTCACGTCTAAAATCGTGTTTATTTAGGCCGTAACCATCTGGATTAATGTCACTTTTGATATTTAATGATCCACCCTAATAATTATTGATACCGAAAACTAGTACAGAACAACGAGTGCTCTGATGGGGGAGGCGTAATAACGGAGAAAATTTTAGAATTCATGTAAAAATAATCGTTACTTTCACATTGACATAATATACCAGAAAATACGTGGGGCGTGAAACTAGAATGATTTACGACGGTCGCTATTAGTCGCGATAGCATCGAAACAGAAAAAGTAAATTTCAATAAAAGCCTATTAGTTATTTCGTTTAATGATTTTGTCAAGGTCAAGATCTTTTCGGTGTAGTTGTTAAATTTAAATTCAATGAAATAGGTACGTAGTGGACGGCAAGTCAATTTATATAAAATATAAGAGGGTTTTTGTTCTTGTTTAATTTTTACTGCCTGTTAGGGGGCGAAGTGATATGTCTGCTAAAACTGAAACGAGTAAACGATCTTGCCGAGAATCTAATTCGTCGCAGCATAACGTATTGTCAATTAATTTTTAAGTGTAATTTAATTTATTATCTTAAATTTTATTAAAGTGAAAACAAAGAGAACACATCAAAAAGACACCGGTGCACATTATTATATAATATATTATATAAAGTTATTAAAGAAATGCTAAAACACCGGTTATAAAACCAATCTACGTATATGTAAATAATGAAAATGATTTCATTCAAGATATCCTTTTGTACAACTGATGTTATGCTTTCAGCCCTTAAACTATTAAAGCTTCATCGAACACAGAACCGGTGGCCTAGCCAGAACCCACGGGTTTGAGTAAAGATATCTGTAAATGTCTTTCTAAATCATTTACAATATTTAATTTTTTTACAGATTATAGCGGCACAAATAACAATTGATATGTACCTAACATTAATTTAAATATTTCAAATAACACATGCACGTGACTGCACTTACTGGCATCCGGAGCGAGGTTAGTCCCTTGCTTGATGAAGGACCCATACACGAACCAAATGCTCGGCGACAGCTGAATAGGACTTTCCTTATCCTGAACCAGCTTTGAACGCATGCGGGTAAGGAACGTTATGCATGGTCCGTAACATACTACTGCCGCTAATATAAGGTACCTAATTGATTTGATAACAAAAATACGTTACATCAATAAATAGCAAATCAAATTATTCGTAATAAATGCAAACCACTGTTCTAGTATAAAATGAAGTTAACGATTTCTTATATTTGAAGGTTCCCTGGAAGAAATTGCTAACTTAGCAATAAGACCGCCTATATGCACATATTTCCTGTATTTTCCTTTTATGTATTTCCTTGTGTGCCATAAAATATATTCTATTTAGGCGAATACTACTCAGTCGAGCGAATGCTTGCCGTGTTTCCTTATGTTAGAGGACTCACGGACAAGATTGTTCGAATTGAGAAAATTTTGTGTTTCATTTTTCTATTCACCACCTATGAAGTCCTCGGCAAATGATCTAGAATTGTACAAGCTTTACTGTAAATGTGGTTTCTCCTATAAAAGGCAAACAAAACTTAACTAATAAAAACCGATGATTGAAAAACCCTGCTATTTGTGATTATATTTTAAACTGTCCCATCCCTTACAATAAACCAATGATAACTCTTGCCTTACATAAGGATCTACCAAGATGATTGGCTTTTATTAACTCCTTGGGACCTTGTAATTTATAAAATTAAATCCAATCATCACAGAGTATATTTGTATATAGGAGAAATATTCCAATCACACAAGAAAGTGAAAAACCTCAAAGTACGCAAAAATAAAGATATTATACTTACTAATAATATAAAGGCGAAAGTTTGTATGTATGGATGGATGTTTGATACACTTTCACGCAAATACTATAGAATGGATTTTAATAAAAGTACAATACCTAATATAGCTTATACTTCAGAATAACACAAAGGCTATAATTTATATACATATTTTTATGTCTTTCTGTCTGAGTGTTACGCCTTCAGCCTATTTTACGCAGACGTAGTCGCGAGCTACGTAGCAGCTAGTATAATAGTAAACTACAATAGACCAGTGCATTAATTATTATCTAAGGAATCCTTATTGAATTTTCGTTTTGATCTTTACTATAATGAAAATGACAAATTTCGAACAGCTTTAACAAAATTTATGTTTCAAACTGTTAGTTTTTGTTTGTATCTATAATACAAAATATTATGACCTGCTTTCTAAAGCCAAATAAGCATTGATCTGTTGCAACCAATGGTATTATACACAAATTATATTTTAAACCATCATGCAATGGTTGCAACCGTAAATAAAATTAATTTGAACTTCACTCACCACACATACGTGTCAAAAGGCGCCAACAAGCCCGAACCGGCGGCGGATTCTTTCGGCCGTTTCAACATCATCATCCACACGCCTTCGTCTAGATCGTTCGAGAACGCCACCATCTTGTTGAACCTAGTCAGTTTAGGTAGAAACGCCGCAGCCATGTCCACTATCTAGTAACCAATGGGTGATATCGCTTATTAAAATATTTTACGAGTAGGTATTATGCTCGTGTGAATGTTGAATGATTTTACATCGTAAAGGTATATTTTCTTAATTTAAGGCGAAAATCACTGATCTTGGAGCTTTTGATACGATTACGGTATTTGTTGAATTTATTTTTTAAATAAATCATTTCCTTGTTGTAAGTAATAAATTGTCACTCTCAACACCTGTTTTAATTTTATGTAGGTATGTTAACAAACTAGAAAATAGACACCGTGTAACCAAAATACTCACACTATTGTTAACGAGACTGATCAATGAGTTTTCAGGCTTCCCGAAACCGATTTCAAAGTTCCTCTCAGGCACAATTACTTCAAAAGTAAAGTTGAATTTTCGCCGCAGTATATCCACTATCATAAAAGCGACGCCATGTCCTGTGATTGTGCCATTACTTTCTTTCTCCGTCCAGCTAAGCGGATAGTTCTGAAATATTTTTGTTTTTACATAGACGAAGGAAGATCTCTCAATATCAATTACAAAAATTGGGAATAATCAATTATACATAAGTTCGAACGAATATTTATTCATGGATTCTAATACATTTTAAATTACCTACGAGAATGAATTGTATTAATATTAATCTACGTCCATTTTTTGACCTCGGTGAAGCAACTATTGCTGCAGCAGGATATTTCTCTGTAGTAGCGGCCATATAGGCTAAAATTGCCCCTTCCCCTTATATGAGGTAACTAAAAGGAGTTAGTAACTTCGATTTTATGAGCGAATATGTTGCCACCCTGGGCCGCTGGAGTAAATCTGGACGCGACGGCTATACCGAGTGGTCCTCCGTCGCTGTTATGGGGCGAGGGGTGTCGAAGGCCTTGCTTATCCTTGGATCTCTCTTCTGATGGAAAGAGATTGGTTCGAAGAGAAAAAAGGGCAAAAGTCCCATATGACCTTAACTTCCCCAAGAGTGACGCTAGAGAAGCAGCATGCTGATATGCAGGGTGTGTGTAGAAATAGAAGAGACTTTTTTATCAAAGTAAGTTTAGTCTTTACCAGTGCATATTAATTACGACTTTTTATGTCTACATTCATTATTTCTTATTTAATTACAATGGTGTATCGTTAAATTTGATATATCTGGATTGTCAAGTAAATGCTGGTATTAACTGGCTTTACGGGGAAATCCAGTTTAAACAGCAGGGTTGGATAAAAGGGGAATTAGTAACGATTAAAATGGTTACCATTACCGTTAAATACTTTGTACGTTCTCTAAACTGTTTATGTTGATTGAATTATTCTAAAATATTTAAGAGTATTATAGTTTCTTATATTAACGCGATTACAGATTATAACGCTGTAAAAATAAACGCGATAAATCCGTAAAATTAGTTTCATTTATTTTAGGATAGATTAGTGGGATGGATAGGATGTATCTGATAGCAAATTATTCACAAAATAAGTTGTGAACAATTGCGACCTATAAAGATTGTACACGGTGATGTGTAATGACGTGAAAAAACCCAGTGCAAATTGTATTTACTTACATTGTAAGTTCCAATTCTCAAATGTTTTCCATTCAGATTGCTTGCCATACTAAGCATTTCATTCTGCTTGTTTGTCAATCCCGAATCTAGCGAAACAGATCAGTTTGTGAAACAACATCACATATATATAACGCAAAAAAAATGGCAAAGACAAGCAACTAAACAAGAAAGTCATGTCTCACTATTTTCAGGTATAATCAGTGTCGATTACCTAAGTTAGGGTTATCATAAACGGCTTCACAAAAGCTGGAGTTGCATATTGTGGAGAGTATGAGCTCCACGCCTGATGCCATCGCATTATACCCAAGGTTAGGCCTTACGTAGGTACGTCCAATATACGCCTAGCTACCTGGTGGCTTTTCAAGCCTCGACTGAGTGAGGATGCGCCAGGCGCCTTGACACAACACACGACTCGTCACCGTCACGCCTGTGTTATGATTAATGCACGTTAGAATAATATGGACACCCCTAATATAGACCCCTATTATGATCATCATAAACTATCATGTCCCTGATCTAATGCTTTTTACTACATACTGTTTCATTAAATTATGTGTCTTTTTTTCACACGAAGCTGTCTCGCAAGAGTTTTAAAACCATAAATATTGTTCTTTTATTAGATTAAATAAAATCTTGGCTTTTGTCTGTTTTGGTATATTTTTATTACTTTAAATCTCCTTCGGACATAGTCAAGATCGTGTAACAGAGAATTTCTGAATGGTATTTCACTGAACACTGCGTAAGTGGAATAATTGTGTCATATCCATAATTTTATTTTCTCATTAATATTCTTTATTGCGGTGACAGCGCGGTAGCTAAGGTAAAATATTGTCATAGTTCATATCATCGGTAACACTTATGGTTATGTAAAAATAGCCAATCCCATTAACGGAGCAATCATAGGGCAATAACGAATATTGCAGTTCAATTTTTCAATAATACAGTTTGCCTATTTCAAACGATTCTGTGTTACTTCAGTAATAGTAAACAGCGGTTCGATATTTCAGAGTAAACCAATTTAACATGTTGAGTCGAATGATTGAGGGTTTATAGAATTCATAAGAATTCTACTTTCATTTATCATTAGTATTTGAAATAATCAGTATTGTTTTTAATATAAGATAATTCTCATTATATATTTTATATATTCGGAAAGAATGGCTAGCTACCTACATAACATTGTTTTACAGAGCAGTAATAATAATATTTTTATGGGGGTTAAAATTTACATGTTGTCCCAGCTAGTTTTAGACTACCACCGTATGGCATTGGTAAAAACAAATGTATATCCCATCGACTATTTTCTGTTCTGAAATTTGTTAAATTGGAAATTTATAATGTTAGTAATATAGTAATTAATCGTCAGAAACTACTTGCTGTTCCGCAAAGAGCTAAGACAGATACGACAATATAAGTTTTCTCTTCGACTCACCTTCCAATGAATGTATCTAAATATGAATAGTATACGTAAAAAATTAGATTCCAATTGGTTTTGGTGGTAACAAATTCCGATCCCAATGCCGTGAACTTGAAGAGAATCAGTCAGTTCAGACTCAAGCCAGGCTCTCGGTGTCCTCAAGGCTACTTACAAGCGTACCAGGAATAAGATAATTCATTTCCACCATTTACTTGGTTGCTATCACCTATTGGTTTTGTTGTTTTCATTTCTTGCATTTGAATTATAAATCATTAAGTTATTAATTACATAGCGAAGATATATAATAAATGACTTAATGAAACATAACCATTATCCTAGTTTGCTTTTTTAAATTATGTACTACCCTTAGATCTTGTAATTATAAATCTAGATCATTGGCGCCTGGTTGTACATAGAGTAAGTGTAACATACAAACAAAGGCATAGGTAGTTGTTGCTTGAAATCAAATCTTTAAAGCCAGGGATAGATCTTATTATCATATTGTGTGCTCCGTCAGTGATCCATACTCGTAATTGAATATAGATATAAAGAAAAGAAGTAATTCATTAGTTTTATAACTTTCTATAAATCGGCTGAAAAATGTATATCTTAAGAATGTAAAAATTGTGAATTCCCAAATGTCTGAAAGCATGAATGTCGACATTACAGTATTGAGTATTTAAAAAATGGATTAACGCAGATGTGAACAAAGAAATTATTGCCTGTGTTTATCTTGGAAAAAAAATTTCAAACGTAGCTATGAAGCCATCTAGACTCCAGAAGCATTTAAATAAAATACATGCTGACAAAAAGAAGAAAGATTTATCCTATTTTTAAGGACTTAAAGAAATAATGAAAACAACCAATTACATAATAGAATCTTTTTGCATCGTGTTTTAAACAAGATGATGATTTAGGAGAGTCATATAAAATTTTATTTATAATCGCAAAAGCGGGAAAACCACACACAATTGATGATGAATTAAGTATGCCGGCAGTCAAAGAGGTAAACGAAACTGTTCTTCATCATAAGACGCCATCAGATATCATAAATAAAAATCCTTTGATTATTAATACAGTGCAAAGAAAAATAGTCCGTAAGTAGTGATTTCACTGACTTTTTTTGTTTACTTAACCAGTAAGATTCTTCTAGAATCCCAAAATACTGGCCATGAGTTTTCCGGCGGAACCTTCAAACTCCTTTGGTGGGTCTGTCCCTTTTTTATGCCACTCCATGGACTTGTGCTTGCTCTCAGGATCATAGTGGTGAACCCACGTTTCAACACCAGTAACAATTCGGTTGAAAATACTTTGCGGTATTATTAATACAGTGCAAAGAAAAATAGTCCGTAAGTAGTGATTTCACTGACTTTTTTTGTTTACTTAACCAGTAAGATTCTTCTAGAATCCCAAAATACTGGCCATGAGTTTTCCGGCGGAACCTTCAAACTCCTTTGGTGGGTCTGTCCCTTTTTTATGCCACTCCATGGACTTGTGCTTGCTCTCAGGATCATAGTGGTGAACCCACGTTTCAACACCAGTAACAATTCGGTTGAAAATACTTTGCGGTTTATTTACTTGGAGGGGAGGGGGTGTCTTAATAAAATACCCACTAACACTAAAACCCCGCCGGTGGCTACATTCATACGGCAGCACGTCAGTAGTTTGTGTTGGCCCAGACTTCCACGCAGGGTTTGCGTGGAGTGTTGATCCTCTCCATGGTGGTTTCAATACGTCTTCGGTTCGCGTCCAATTCTATTAAGGTACTCACCTAAGCACCCATGGCCGGTGAGTACTTGCATCAGCCGATAGGCGACGTGTGCATAGCTCGACGCATTTAGCCAGGCTACGAATTTCGGCAGGAGTGAACTGACAACTCGCTAGTGCAAGTTCAGTGGCTCTTCCAGCCGCTTGCGCTAAACCTCCAGCACCCGTGTGCACTCCTGCTTCTGCACCTCACCCGCATCCAGGGGTGCAGCATCACTCGTGAAGAACGGAGGCGAGTATAACCTCACGCATCTATCTCTACTAGGATGTCCAGTGGAAGAAACCGAGCTAAGATAGTTGCTACTTCCTTTGATATATTTGATATATACGATATCCTCGTGCGAACCTGATGGCGATTCTTCGATGTAGGCTATAAATCTTAACTCTGCAGCATCTGAAGCACATTAGTCTATGAGACCATACGGGTGCGCCATAGAGGGCCATCTATCGGACGACCGCTGCATAAAGGCGGCAGAATCCTCCCTGGGGCCCCGAATGCGAACCGAGCAGCTAAGTAGATCCCTTCTTCTTGGAAGTTTGTGGAACCAGAGGCCCTTTGTGCTCCCTTGCATTACGAGTATGCCTTCTGCTAGCCAGAGGGACACCCGAAGAAACGCTATTCCGATAAATTTTTGGCTACCGTTTGCTATCAGTAGATTAGCTAATACCCTACATGAGAAGGTTATCTAAAAAAGCACCCTAATCCCTGAGTGAATACGAGGTCCCCAAGGTATTTAATGAATAGTGTACCCCTAGTGTGGCCCTACCACCGTGAATACGGTGGTAGGGTCACGCTAAATCTTCGACCTCACAAAAGACCAGCGTAAAGTAGAAGTGTTACACTTCTGCATTTCGTCTGATGAGTGAGGTAGCCGAAGCCCACTTTATCTAAAGATGGCAACGCATTTGGTGTTGCAAATGTCCATGGGCGGCGACTATCACTTAACACCCGCCATCTCGTTTGCCACCTTCTCACATAAAAAAAAGAAACAAAATGCAAATGAAATGTAAAAATCACTCCACACCTAATGTACAAAGTCGCTACAGACTGCTTTTAAACTTGGAATTTTAGTTCGTTAATAACGTTTATTACCTTTAATACGTTAGGGAAACGTTACGTATTAAAAGTATTTTTTTGATTTCTGCTCTTAAAATTTGTTTCTTTCACAATTACTATAAGACTTCATGGTAAATAAGATAGTTCCCCGAATGTTCAGTGATCGGAATAGGATTTCTTTGTATACTCAAAGTTAAAAAAAAAAACTTGAAAGACTTCAATTATTTTATACGTCTAATTTAGACCTGTTAAAAATGAGCCGAAAATGTATAACAGGTACATTTTAGACCGCATAAAACCCACATCCGCAAAAATTATCAGTTGTACCGATTGATTTTATTTTATTGGGGATAATAAACAGCTACAATATATGATATGAACAGATCTGTTGCGTTGATGTAGTAATAATATTGTAGCCCACTACATTAACCACGTATTAAACATATGATATTATTTTAATGGAAGCTAGATACGTTACAATAAAAGAAATACAAATAATAAACAAACCAGCTTACAATAATTAATAAAAGTCGTAACATGATACAAAAAATGTGAATAATAATGTTATTCAAAATTGAAAAAATGTGGCCACTCTGGTCAGGCTGAAGAACTCAGGATTCATGTTCAATAAATTAAAAAAAAAAACTTTGACATTGACAAAATTAGTCAAACTAAAAATAAAAACAATTTTGTAACCTAAAAACAACCTATTTTTTTTAATTGCTGAAAAAAGGTTGCAAAAATGAGAGAAGTGTCTTTGTCAAATTGTGAAAAAGATTTTTTACAAAAAGTCGTTACTGAGGGCCGTGTAAGTGTAAATTTTTTAACAATGTGGAGTAAATAATTTATATTTATCATTATCTTGATTTTCATTACAGCGTCTAGACGGTAGAAATTACAATGAAAGTCGGAAACTTGATATTTCTTTCGGCTCAGAGTATGGAAGTTGTATTGTTTCTTTAGGAGAAACAAAGTATGTGTATTGTTTCCTAAGATATATTTTATTATTTTGTATGAATGGTTTGTAATAAAACTTTTATTTCAGAGTTTTGGCTCAGGTATCATGTGAGGTTGTACAGCCTAAACAGATAAGACCAAACGAAGGTATTCTGTATATAAATGTGGAAATAAGCCCTATGGCTGCTCCACAATTTGAAATAAATCGCCCAACAGATCTTACAGTTTATTTAAATCGGCTCTTAGAAAAGTGTTATAAGGATTCAAAATGTATTGATCTTGAGTCTCTTTGTATTGTAGTAGAAGAAAAGGTATGTTTGTTTAAAAATTATATAAATGTCTATAATTTTAAAAATTCATGAATTTCTATTTTTAACAGGTGTCAAAAGGAGGTTATCAATTCAACTGCATATTTTTTATGTTTGTTACCTCATAACTGACTGAGTGAACTAATTTTGATGATTCTTTATTTATTTGAAAGCCGGTACTTCCCATGTATAGTGGTGCCTGAGCCGTGATAGCTCAGTGTCCGGGCACTCGCCTTTAATTCAATATACTCGAGCAACCTGAGTTCGATCCCCGGTGCCGGCACCAATGAAGTTTTTAACTTTAAGTGCTGACTTATCACGTGCTCCGCGGTGAAGGAAAACATCGTGAGGAAACCTGCATATTTTTGAAATAAGAACAAAAAATATATATATTTCGAAGATATGTGAAGTCCGCCAATCCGCAGTGGGGCCGCATGGTGGACTATGCCCTGATACCCTCTGTATAGAGGAGGCCTTTGCCCAGCAGTGGGACATGTATAGGCTGTTACTTTACTTTACTACTTTTTACTTCCCATGTATAATGTTCCCTATATTAACTTCATTTGTATTGGATCTTGGGCCCGGGAGATACTTAGGGAACTCCTGAAAATCATTTATAAAATTAATACAGAGCGAGATATTTCAAGTTGGTTTTGTTTTTCATTAGTAAAAAAAAAGAATGCAGTAGTGTTATGAATATGAAATTTCTGATCTGGATATTGATAATTATGTGTTGATGTTGGTTATAAAATTACTTCATATTATTCAACAGTTTGGGATACTTTTGGTTACAGATACTAAATGTTTAAAAAAGTACTAATAGCTGAAAGATTATTGTCATAAATTAAAATAAATTACTTCTTTCTATTTAATGACTGATTCTATTTATTTTAGTTTTACTACACTTAAATCTCTTAAATTATTTATTTTTTGATGGAGTTTCTTTTCCCTGTTTCTTCTCTGTTAGAGGAACCTCATTACGAAATAGTGGTACATTTACAAAATGACTATCGATAGAAATATATATTTATAATATAAATGTATATTTCTTATTTCGATGAATAAATGATTTGATTTGACAAAATGAATTTTGAAATATTTTAGGTATGGTCCTTAAGAGTGGATATTAAAATACTTAACCATGCAGGAAACTTGATTGAATGTGCAAGTATAGCTACTTTGACTTCCTTAGCCCATTTCAAAAGGCCAGATGTAACACGTAGTGGTGATAAAGTTATTATACACACCTTAGCAGAAAAAGATCCTATCCCAACTGTACTTTATCATTATCCAGTGTGCTTAACTTTTGCAATTTTCGGGAATGAGTAAGTAGATTTTAATCTTTATTTACACTAAGGTCACTATAATATTTTTTAAAATAATTAAGTGTAATGTAAATATTTTTTACATTGTCATGGTTGCACTTGAACTTCAAATAACATTTCACTAGAGTAACCTAAATTTTTGTGCCAAGTATTTTCAAGTTTTTACACTGAATTTCACAAGTGAATGAGTCAATTTTTTCTTACATGAAATTGTAATTCTTTTCTATTCAGCATCCTCTTACTGGACCCAAATTTTATTGAGGAGTCTGTATGTACAAGTAGTACAGAAGAAGGAGGAAATAGGGGAGGCATACTTGTTGTTGGAATGAATCAGTATAAAGAGTTATGTCTGCTGAATCTAACTGGGGCTGCCATATATAACTCAAACATTGTGCATAAAGCATTACTAAGTGCTTCAGAACGATGTAAAGAAGTTGTGGATATAGTAAAAAAAATTATATTTGAGGATGACAATTTGAGGTGAGCATTTTAATTATTTTTATTTAGTAATAGTAAGCAGGATTTATAATTTTAATTATTAAAATACAATGATGTTTACTTGTACACATACATTTAGTCTTTTAGTTGTGATGATGTTATAACAACTTCAAACTAATTATTTATCTACCATCAATTGTAAAATCCTAGTAATATTTGCAACAAAATTCTTCTGTAATCCTTTACTATGTAAAATATTTAGCATGTTACTATATATTTTTTAGTTTTTTTTTTAGCTCAAATGCTAATTTATCTCCAATTTTGAATAGCAGACCATAGTTCTCACCTGATTTATTGTATATGTTTAATTTACATGCAATTTATTTTTAGGCAAAAGAGGATAAAGAAAAATTTCTCTAACATTATAACTACAGACCATATTCTGTCATTAACTAAAAGGGATTTAAGTATTTGTCTCAAAAATTATAGTGTGGATGATATTAAAAATCAAGAAGATGAAGAAATGGAAAATGACGAAGATGTTAAACCTGAACCAAGCAAATATGATGGTAATTTTATTCATTTGATAAATTTTAAATTGTGTGACATTAAACATGAATGGTGATAAATATTGATTATGAAGAACGTGAAAGTTATGAATGAATAGCATAACTTACCCTTTGGAATATGTTGATTAAATGACCTTTTTGATTAATTACTAATGTTATGATACTATTACACTGCTTTCAAAAATTTGTCTGAAAAAGTTGTAAAATGAGTCAAGATAGTTAGTTTTTGACTGAAGTTTTTTATTTCCCTCAATTTTTGTTTTAAAACCAAAAGTCATTAATATGATTACTGAGTATATTTTATTTTGTATCTATTTTATGGTAGCTTATATTCCTATGAGTTAACAGATTCTTTGGTTTCATTTACATTATTTTATATTTCAGTTGTGCCTTCTCTACCACAAACAGCAGAAATTGTTGCTCAACAAGGTGCCTCATCCTGGATAGACATCTCTTCTGGTTCAGATGAAGACTGATAAAAGTGATACACATATATTCATTTAAAATGTAATTAAAATTACATTTATCAGTTTAATGTTATTAAATAATATAATATCTTAATACTACCTAAAATAATTATTTATCATTAGCATTGCATTACCCTCATCTAATTACAATCATAACATTTTTTTTTATGAACATTGATGAATCTCATTAACTCACTGCACACTATGAAAATTAAAAACCACAACACTAAGAAGTCCATTAAAATCCTTTGAATATGGAAAAAGTGTAAAAGTACAGTTAATTACAATAACATTTCATATTAATGTATTTTTTATAAAGTAACATTACATAACTTTCATTTCAAAAATGTTGACTGAAAATTTAGGCAAATACAACATATAAACTAAAGTAAAATAATATCTCTAACAAACAATTATTTACACAGAGTCAGAGTTCATTCCATTTTTCTGGTCTAGTTTATTGCCATTTGTTTTCACCATGTAAATAAAGTAAGTCATAATTTCCTTTTCATTTACAGGAAGTGACTTAAAATGTTTTTGAATAGCCTGTAAAAGAGGAAAAAGATATACACATTATGTTTGTTAAATTGATGTAATAATTATGTAGAAAAAGATACAAGATTAACAATGAGAAACATTTGTAACAACAAGAAAAAGTGCTTACATCTGCTAATTGGGCTTTGTTAAGCCCTGGCCTTGTTGGCACCTTATAATGTCTTTTATATCGCCTCAAAGTATTAACTTGTAGTTGATACCAGTCAATTTCAGGGCAATCCATCTCGGCTTCATTACTGTCATCCTCAGAATCTTTAGGCCTCCGTTGTTTTGTTCTTGCACATTGTATCATATTTTTATGAAAATCACAGATGTATGTATGCCTTGCCTAGAAACCGAAAATGAATTTGTTAAAAAATGAATTTGCAAAATATCGAAGATTTGAAGCTTGAAACTTGTTGATAGCATATTAGGAAATTTCATGAAATACTAACTTGATGATCAATATTGAGTTTGAGCCTCCTTTGAGCCACTGTCTTTTGCACACGTTTGCTGTATGAGGCGTTGCCAGCGGGTCGCCTACAGCGATCGCCGTCATCCACAAGGCAACATATTTGATCTGAGTTACCTCTAGAATCTTCTTCTCCTGTACTAAACCCGTTGTTCATTTGATACTCGCGTTGAATCATATATGACAGATAGATAATACCTTTTCACCAGACTTCACACTTGGCGACGACAAACAGATCAACGTATTCACAAAGCCCCGCAATAATTGAGGTTATGAGATGTAAATACAATAAACATTTTTATAAATTAAATAACGATAACTGCAGTTAAAAGCGTCTTGCTGTTAATATTCACACACTGTTCATTATATGAAGTTAAAACATCAAATCATTGCACGTAACAATTAAAATGTCCATTGATACTTCACAATAAATCACAAATGACAGTATTTTCTAATAGCTTGCCTGTTTTTTCTTTCACTCCAACGATAAATCAGAAAATGGCAATTTAATTAACACACGACATACTTAAATAAAGTCCGTATTACTTGCGTGGATTAATATAAATATTTTTTACCGATCGCCATTCGAGTAGACGTCCCGTCACCTTACTCAACGCACTAGTAGTATAAAACGCACACATGGAAGCAACGTATACAAACAGTAGTCTTGAAGTATGCTTTCGTAAAAACAGTCCATGTTGTGAATGACTGTGTGCGTGTTCAGGGATGCAATGTGTATGACAGCATCGTAGCTATAGTTAAGTATAAACAAAAAATAAAGCGATCACGAAGTAGCTGATTGGTCACAGTCTGGCGGCACATTCGATTTAAGCCAATCCGAAAAACTAACCACTGACATCGTCTACTCTTGTATTCATTACGATTACGACGAACAAACGCGTTCCCTACGTAATAAGCGCTGAAATCGTGTGCTCGATCACTATAAATATATGCTCGGTGAGTTTCATTCTTCCCTCTAATTATGTCGCAGAGTAATTTTGTATAAATAATAAAGTGCAAAGATGGGTGAGATGTAACAGTATAAGTGTTATGATAAAAGCAATATAGTTTTACAATCTAATTTTGTAAGCAAATGGCTGCCGAGTTTCGAAGCAAAGTGACATTATATATAACGCAAAACAGTAGTAGGTGAGTAGTATGACTAGTATACTTCCTAATCGTAGATATGCATAGATTAGAGGATGTTGAAATTACGTACTTACATTATTTTTAGTCAATGGCAAAAACTTGTGTATTTTAGTAATATAACCAAACATAATTATAGGTACAAGGGTTTCTGATATCATTATTGGAAAACTTTTGTGATTAAAATCATTTTGGCACATTTGCAGCAGACTTGTTTCAATTTGACCTTAATGGTGTTAATTTAAGGTTTGTTTACGATGTCTGTTGTTATTGTTAGACTTAAGTATGACTTTGTCCATTATATCGGAATAGTGTAATTGTGAGTAGAAAAAGAAATATAATTAATTTGTAACTGTTTTATAGTACTTTAAGAATGATACACCTTATTTTTCTTTGATTTTAAAAATAAGAAATACCATATATTTTTTTCACTTTTGTGTTCCTGCGTTAGAAGTCTAGTTCTTGCTGATCAAATTACTACTTAAAAATATATTTACCCGAGCCTTTTCCCGCCGTTACGTCCTCGTGCTTCTTTCAGAAATAAAATATTTTTTTTTCTAATTTAACATGTATCCCATCCGTTTATTTAATGTATTTTAAATTCCGTTCTGCCATTTCGCGACCAAACAATTGACAAAACTTTGTTATATAAAATATTAGTGTGAACTTACTAGTTGCTAAGTTTTAATTATAGAATTCAGTACTATATTAGTACATTCAAATAAAATGAATTGGTACAAAAAAATTTGTTATTAAAAAATTGAAAAATATCAAATGGCAGGAAAACGATATAAGTAATACATAACAGCGATCTAAAATCTCTCTTTAATCTTTGACTATTTTTATTAATATTATATTAAGCATAACGCGAAGCAACGAAGAACTAACTTCAATATACATATAGTTATACATATTATGGCATAACGCCCGGGAGGAACTGCACTAATTTTAAATCTGACACTGGCAGGGATGCAATTTTAAGTGCTGATTTTATTCGAAATCGGTAGTAATGAAAAAAAAAGAGGAATCCTGCATTTTTAATAAACAAATTTGTAAAATATTTTTATCGCCAGACCATGCTTGAATTTCTTAACACCCATTTGTGAAGACGAGACTTGAGCAGTTAGTGCTTTGTATACTTATGGGCTGTAATTTACAGACCTTGTGTCACATTTTTATATTATCGTTTCACGACCTGAATTCGCTTTCATAAGAAGAATTTTTATTTAATGAGTGGCAGGAATGTTCTCCATGATCTCTTTAGAATACAACAAGGTTAATTTTTTTACAGTACCGATCTTCGGTCTCTGGTGAACCTCCTTCATTCATTCTAAAAGTATATAATATCTACATATGAAAGGCACAAAAAATGTTCTAATTCTACGGTTTGCAGGTTTTGCCATAACCTTTTCTTCATCGGCTAGCACATAGTAAATCAGATCTTAAATAATTAAAAGATCATACGCAATTATAAGTAATTTGTTAGTTAGGTCTTGATGAATTCATAGGGAAACAGGCAGTTTACCAATACAAATAAAAATTCAAATATTCTGTTGCAATCCTAGCATACATACGTATTACAAAATATTATGATGTTTTAGGTTATATATTGTGATAAATTAAATCTTTAATTAAACAAATATTGATTAATCTTCATTTGATTTGAATGTAGTAATTGGTTATACGAAAAGTTATTGTTTTCTTTATGTTGTAGGTTTTGGATTTTGGTTTATATTTTCCCGCGCGTGATGACCACAATACAAAGCGTTTTCCCGTTGCAAACTTAGAATTGCATAAGGCATGTCTTCGGTAAGTTTGTGTTTTTTATGGACTTCCGAATTGTGGGTTACTAACAAATTCATTTGCATCCTGATTTCTTCATTACTATGAGTATTACGGGAGGCTTTTGCTTGTGTTTCATAATTCATTCTTGTCTTAGATAATAATAAATATAAACGCAGATCGTACACGATTATGCTTATCGCATTCCTTACTTTTCTAGTTTTGTCTTTATTCATCAATTACACAAAACACACTTGAAAGTGAAATATGCTATTCCGATATGTTAATTAAATTTCAATTATTATTTTATTTATTAATACCCAATTTTGTCTAAAAAATATGTCCTTGCATAAGACACTAAACCGTGATTTTTAGAATATTTTTGAAAATACCAAATTACTATTAAACTTTGAAATGCATAAAAACTTACTGATTGTTGTTTTATCTATAAAATGAAACATGTCCTAAGTTTTTTTTTTTTACTTTTATGTTACTTTTTTATATTACCAATACTAAGAAAAACAGATAAGTAACAAATATTTTAAAAACTAAAATGCCATTTTATTTTGTCTGTACTAACGTCAAAAAGTTGTGCTCTGAAGCTTTATGGCATTTATTATCCATGCAAGTGTGTTATAATATGGATTCCAGTATCACCAACTATTACAACTATTAAACTAATGATAGATTTTGATATACAACATATATCCTCCAAAAATGTTTATACATATTGTAGTAATTAATAACCGATAAAACCTAAAAAATAAATTCTATTTTGTCGCTCTGTGTGTGTTTTGGTTATTTTAACAGAGCGCGAAAAAGACAATGAGCGTTTTTTCGGGAATTATTATTGAAAGTGTTTGTATGTTTATTAGTCAATTCCGCCAATCCGTTAGTCGTAAGTGCCGTCACCTACATACCCCTACCGCTAGGCAAGCTCCGTCGTAAATGGCGTAGACCACGACACATCCGATTTCTCTGACGTTGAGACGACTATCGCCATCGACAGGATAAAACATTTACGCAAATACACCAGATCACACCGCACTCGCCGCCGAGTGCGGCTACCATATACTTATGACAAACATAAACGTATGTGTACCTGGCTGGTTTTCCCCCGTTAATGATAGAAGCGTTGCTGGAGTTTGTTCCGCCACTTCTTCTCCAGACGCTAACGCTTTCCGAATTGGTAGTAATATTAGATCTAAAAATTGTTCCAGTCAGATAATAGCTACCGATCGAACCAAGGACCTCGATTACGATTTGCCCGAGAGGGGCACCCTCGAAACTATATGGGTATTGAGTGACAGTCCAAGCCGAAGTCTCCTCTCGAAGGCCCTTGAGCATAGTCACTCCATGGAGCGTCCACCAAAGCGCCTTCCACAATAGTCTTTAATTCCTCATTTTCCATTTTGGTCTCCGGCCGTCCACGGGGCTGGTTCCGAAAGTCGAAATTTCCGGAACGAAAACGTTGAAACCAAAAACGTACCGTGCTTTCTTTTGCGACACCAGCGCCGTACACATCATTAATCCTTCGAGTTGTTTCTGCAGCACTGGTGCCACGGTAACTCGTACTCAACTAACTAAAGAATAAAATAATTAAGAATACACAATGAATAACTGTTTTCTAAACTCAAATGTACCAGCTAAATGATAAATTTGAATTTGGAATTCTTAACCAAAGAGGAGATATTTCACATCAAAGTGGTCAGTACGACAAAACGCAAATTTTATATGTAAGGACCTAATAATAGCGTGACGCCCCGAGCCGAGGCTCCCTCGGGAGCCCTCGAGCTTAGTCACCATAGCGCGTAACCGAGGTTCAGGCTAGGTGCCCCGAGCGCCTATATATCTATAAAAACGACAAAAAATCGTGTCTGTTAAATGGGAACCGAAATATTTTTTTCTCTGTTTTTTTAGTATTTGTTGTTATAGCGGCAACAGAAATACATCATCAGTGAAAACTATCACGGTAAGCGGTGGTGACAGACGGACAGAACGAACAGACAGACAGCGGAGTCTTAGTAATAGGGTCCCGTTCTACCCTTAGGGTGCGAAACCCTAAGAAATACTACCCTTATAGAATGTGCCTTAAAATGTCTTTCGTTATTTTTTATGTTACTATTACGTTATCGTAACGTAATAGCTTTGATTATATACTTGTCTAGATGGAGCAATGTTTAACAAACGAGGCGCTAAAACTATCTCCGATTGCGTGATATGTGTGAGTACCGTTCGTGTACTTATTGTAAACAAAATGTCAAGGTAAGCGTTTTTTAAGGATTCCTGCTCCAAATTATTAACTTAAGTTTATAATTTGGAGCAGGAATCCTTTCCCACTATTTAATAACTCTTCTTCCTCGTTCCCTCAATGCTGAGAATCGTGACCACGAACAATATATCGTCAACCAGTGCGATCATGCGACTCATGGACAGCCTGATACATGCTACCGCCCACTGTCATTCGCAGCCTAAGACCATCTTGCAGCCGCCCTGCCCCGAGCACGTTTGCCATCTATTTGGCCTAAGATAATGAGCCTCTCCAGATCATGTCGCGAAGAACGCATAATGTGACCGAAAAAGCTGAGGCCACGTTCTTGGCATCTGCGTGAGAGTCGTTAACTGACTTTAACGATGAGTTCTTTAACGATGGAATTGTTTGTTCTCATGATAGCCCATGTTATCCGCAGCATTCTCCGCCAACATCACATCTCAAAAGCATCGATTCTGCTGCTATCTCGACTTTTCACGCACCATGCTTCGGCGCCGTACAAAAATATCGAGAAAACTAAGGCTCGAACCAAATGCACCTTAATCACCCGACGAACACTTCCACTTCTGTAAATAAAATAGGTTGAATAACGTAATTATTTTGTAGATTAGTAGTATATTTTATTAACAACAAAAGTTACAATGAAAAAAACCTGCTATATAAACGCTCACCAGCGATTTGCAAGTACGGAATTCGGAGGAAATCTTAAACCTAAAACAAAAGAAAGAACTTACAAAAATACTATTTAGACTTTATGGGTTTCATTTATTTTGTGTAGGTACATTATCGTTTGCTGATGTAATGATATTTGTATTTTGTCTTCCATTGTTTCCTCAGAACTTACTACTAATAAACTGACAACACCGGCTAACCAGACTATGGTTTCTTATGTAGGACTATGGAATTAAAAAATATATATAGGGGTTAAATAAAAAAAAATATCTATGAAAAGTGATCTTGGTATTATTTTACGATTTTCCCACAATTGCGACACGATTTGATAGAACAAACCGGCATAATTAATTATCTTACGTGAGCAAGTTATCGAATAAGCTATCGAGTAAGCGAATTAAATGACTCTAACGTAAGTGAAACGGGGGTCTACCAATTTTAGTAATCATTTTTGCGGCGTCCAGTACTTTATTATATATGTATTTAATCAAAGGCCCCCTATAATAATTTTTCTCAAATATCTTTCTATGTACAGACAGCGATCAGTTACATTTTTATGATACAGAATATGGACCAATGAAACTACCAAACATTTAATATACAACATACAAAAATTAGTCACAAAAAAGAACTTCCAACACGGTAGTTCTTTTTTATATGATTTAATTAGAGAACCTACGTTATACTGAAATGGTTATTGTATTTGAAGCATTCATTTAGTTAAAACATAAACAAAAGAATTTCGGTATGAACGCGGATTGCCCTAGCTGCGCTAATCGTCTTATTGACCGGTTGCCGGACGAGAATGTTGCCACTTCGTGCATATTCGGGCTACGCTCGTGTACATTACGAAGGTTTCACCGCCAGCCGCTGCGCGTTGAGGGCGCCACCGCGCACTTGTTTAGCGTCTCGATGTGCGGCGTTGCCAACTGTATTGACTTAAGCACGGACGAAGACAAAACGTACGCGCGTGGTGTGTTGAACTTGCAGCCGGCAGCTTTTTCATAAAACAAAACATAATCGTTGTGAATTTGTAGTTTAAATCGACTTGATTAAAATCGAAAATGTTACGGCAACCATAATCATATGGAGTCTTTGTGATCATATATCAGTTTGTGCCATGGTGTAACTATTTTATGTGAAAACATTATCCGTTATTAATGTAACATTAATCGATTTTGTGTTGAGGAGAAAGGGATATGAATTTAATAAGTGTTGCTCAAGCTATAATATAGAGTAGTTGAAGTGGCATAAAGAAAACTGGTTAGCCGAAAGCGGTGATTGTGATATGGGGGAACGGGGCACGACGGGGGGCGCTTGGGGTGCGCGCGACGATGCCTCGTGGTGGCCGGGTGGCTCAGGTGAACTACAGCACCAACAACAATTAAATGAGGAGATTGCAAGGAGTACAGCCGCCGCGACACACCAGCTTTATACGTATAAAATGACCAGTGGCTTTTCAAATAACACTGGGGATAATTCTTCACCTAGCTTTGATTACCGTTTGATGACGAACTCGAATGCCAGAGACGAGTCTCCGCAACAGCCCTGGTGGTATGCTTCAGGATCGGTGGATGCACAACAAACTTCTTCTTCGGTGGGTTTTTAGTAAAATAAAATGAGTGAATTATTTTAGGTATGAACAAGAAAATATTCATGATGTATTGTTAAAAACAAAAAATTCAATCAAACGTAGAATCAATAACGAAACGTTTCATATAATTTATATTCAATTCGTTTCATAAACTTTTCGTTTCAATCGTGAGTCACATTTGAAACATAAAAACACGTTTTGTCCATGAGTTTCTGGCCTCTTGATCTTTTTTATATATCTAAAACTACTAATTGCCACAAGATTCACTTTTAAATGTATACTTTTCATAAATTTTATTGACTGCGTGCACAAAAGCAAGCAAGCTAATTATTGACAATTTAAAAGACAGAGGTTATTGTTTGGCGTGTCAAAATTTATACACTTGAAGAAAGGTTTAAAACTGCTATTGTTATAAATGGACATATTACGGAGAATATAAAAAAACTAGGTATTAGTTGATACGCTACAAACCTTTTATTTTATGAATATTATATTTATTAATTCTATTTTTACCCTAGTAGTTCTAGGGATTAACTTCCAAAAATTCTGGATAGTATAAAAGTTACATTAATTCAAGCTTGCATTTACTTCCATGTTTGTTTATAAGCTATCGGAAAAATACCACAGACTGCCATGAAAATGAGTCATAAAGATAAAATAGTGTTATTACCCTTAAGGCATTGATAAAACTTTAAGGTGAAAATTTTAAAAGATCTCGCTACACAATAAAATACATTAAAACGCTTATTTAACAATCAAACACACATGGAAACATCGCTTAAGGTTTCTATAAATTAAGACAAATAAAAAAAGAAGAAAAAATAGCGAAGTGACGCCATCTTACAAATTTCTTTTACAGAAAAGCTTGTAGACGTTATATACCTATAACGCAATGTAATTAGGTTTAAATTCCTATTTACATTTCTGTAACCGCAATCTTTCCGTGGATATTTGACTTCTAGCATTGTGTTCCAACACAATAAGTTTAAACGTAGCTCGAAAAGTAATATAGAAAAGTTATGTATTGATTAAAACCTCTTTGAAAAAACAAATACAAATCAAGATGAATTTATTAAATTATTCTTTAAAAAAAAAAAGGATGTTTTTGTGATAAGTATGTGAGTAGACAATAGTCGTAACAGAAATACGTTTGCTACAAATATCGTTTTTTTAAGAATCGATTATAGCCCAACTACTGTTAATAATTTATGCACTGAATCATACCAAAAAATTACGTAAACTATTACTTTGAAAATAGTTTTACCCCGTAAAGATTTGTCTTTTTTTTTCATTTATATATTTGTCAATTATTAATATGAAACTTATAAAATTTAATGTGGATATCAATTGAACATTCGTTCTAATATAAATTTAACATTAAGAGTTAATTCACTGAAGATTTTTAAGATGAAAATAGAGAAAGGAAGCGAAGCTCATTTTAAAAGTGACGCTAACGTCGATGCTACTCGTACGTGGTACTTCTAAATTCCAATTTATAAGGTTTAACAATATGAAGGTTGAAAGTAAAACCGGTATCGTATGGAGGCACAAACGTAAAAAAAGAACACCTGTATGAATGGACGACAACCCTAGTTTAATCAAAATTGTCTACTTTACGCAGAAAAATTTTGGTATAATCTTGAATAAATGTTATAAACGCGAAAGTAACTCTGTCTGTCTATCTGTCTCGCTTTCACGCCAAAACTACTGAACCGATTTAAATGCAATTTGGTACATAGATAGTCTAGAGCCTGAGAAAGGACATAGGCTATTTTTAATTGGAAAAAGTGTTGTAAAGGGTTAAAAATATCTTAATAAATACTGGTTTGTTATAAAATCCCTTGAACTTCGAAGAAAATTTTTTGAATTTCTAATAACGATGACAAGCCTAATAATGATTTCTTGTATTTAGGCGAACACTACAGATTTTTACATTTATTTTTATATTCTTAGATTTGACATAGGGCTGCAATCAAGGACGTAATTTCTTGAATAATGTTTTACAAAGCCTTCTGCGTTTGTAATATATGGTGAAATCGCCTCTTACTATCAGGTGGGATTGTGATCAATATCTGGCCACTTATGAAAAAAAGCAACATTTTATCGCTGACGAGAGAATTAACAGGATGCGCATTATCGACAGTGAGGCATCGTGCGTGCTATGCTGAGGCATGTGAGCGATTTGTGGGTTACCAACCATATGTATGAAAATTTGCCTATATATTTTTAGATATTTTACCAGTTTAATCATTTATTATTATAATACAACTATCATGTGCTCAGCGGTGAAGGAAAACATCGTGAGGAAACCTGCATATTTTAGGAATAATAAAAACAAAATTCGAAGATATGCGAAGTCCAACAATCCGCAGTGGGGTGCGTGGTGGACTATACCCTGATGCCCTCTGTAAAGAGGAGGCCCTTGCCCAGCAGTGGGACATGTATAAGCTGATACTTTACTTTTTTTTATAATACAACAGTACAAGAAGTCTAATAACATTATTTAATTATATGTTAAGTATTTACATTACATGAATGATAAGATAAAGTTCAGCATGGTACAAATTTTTAGTATTTGACTTTGTGGAAATAGAAAAATGTTTCTTATTAACTTGCTCTTTTAGGAACACACATCTCGTGGTATACAAATCGCTGCCATCAAAACGCTTGTTATGGATGGAATTCAGCGGTCTTTACTTCCGCAGTTTCATATAATTTCAACCCTACATTACACCTATTACACGATTGATTTGCTGTAGGAAACCTAAAAAAATAATCAATACTTGCAAATAATTGTTAAATAAAATTAAATCCACAATTTGTAACTCGGTAAAATTTACCCATTTATTTCCTGGCAAATATGTATTATACATCTATTAAGGTTTTGTTTTGTTTTTTCTAATCTGTGCGTGGTCTTATTAATTAATAATGAATTGAATTGGCTGTCTATTTGTCCCCTGACAACGTCTGTGTGCTGAAGTCTCAAAAGAAAAATTTTATTTTAATAAAACACAAACGTAAATGAAACTATCATTTTTAACAACACTATAGTTTTCGTTCTTGACTCAGGGATGCCAACTTAGCAATTTTCTTCCTAAATTTAGGAAGAAGAAATGTACAATGGAAGTTTTTTAGGCGGTAAATTTTTTTGGTAATATTTTTAGTAGTAAAATTTTATTTACATCCTTAAAAAAAAAAACAACACAGGACTACTTATTTGAACAAAAAATTAAATTTAAAAGTGTTGGCTGCATTGGTGGAAGTCAGGCCAAGGCCTATGTGTTAATATTTTAAATTCTTTGGCACTAAACTATAAAAGTGAATATTTAATGTCTTAGTCAAGATATAAAAAAATTGTAATTGAGGATTAAAATATATTAAAGTCATTAGTAACCATACTTATTGCATATTTTTTATATTTTATTAAGAAATATGAAATGCTAAAGGATGATAAAACTGTTGTCGGATATGTTTACAATATAACTGGTTATTTTAGTTTATGTATTCTAATGATTAGTATTTAATTTTTTTTTAAATATTTTATTGTTAACATGTTCCTTTCTAAAGTAATATAAAAAAATAAATATAATATTTAGCTTTCTTGATATATAATATATCTTTAATGAAATAGTTAATTCAATCAAATTATTATTTTACCTTAATAATACTTAAAAAGGGTGATTTTACATTTAGGAAGATTTTTTTGAATTTGGTCAGTTTTAGGGAATTGTTTTAGCAGTATTTTTTTGAAAAGTTGGTAACACTGTCTATCACGACATAATAACTGAAAAGGTGGTAAATGTTGGACATTATCGCCCGGTTTCTGAAACACTGATCATCGTAGATGTCACCTAATCAGCTGTCAAATGGATTTCAAATTACAATTTACGTACCAAAAGGATGGTTAAACTCTCTGAATTCACCAGAATGATCTTCTTTATGATCAGAATGATCAATTCAAAGAGTTTAAACATGCTTTTGGCAACTAAAATGAAATTTGCAATTCATTTGACAGCTGATTAATTGACATCTACGTTGATCAGTGTTTCAGAAACCGGGCGTAAGACTAATAATTATTATACTGAAAAATAATATCATGTCATTTTACACGAGAACTAATTGAAAAGCTACGAGGTTATTAGTTTACGAACGAAAACTACGGCATTAATATTTATTTCCGTGCTTGTCCTTGGTTTAGCTTTGGGGTAGATGAAATAAGGTAGGTTAGTACAAATTCACAACGATTCACGTTTCATTCTACATAATGTAGCGTTTTCTTTTAAGGTAACTGAAACTTTTCTTGGAAGATACATGACTTACTAATGGTTAAATGTGTAACTGTTAACTTAATTTATTCATGTGCATTTGTTACTTAACGCTTATGTTATGAAGTTTTCGAGTAGCCAAAATTGTGGTATTTCTTTTTCGATCAAATATTAGTTGATGTTTAAAACTCACAAGCGTACTAAAATACGATACGTGTTTGTGTATATTAGTAACCATTACACTAATAATACTCATAGTGTGACAACACCATGTAATATAGATATAATTAATAGCAAGGTTTATAAATGTGTTTTGGACCACATAAGACGGATTTCTTAACATCACTTATATCTTGCTTTCGTTTTGTATTTCTCCGCAGACAAATGTACATTTCCCTCACGTTATTTCTATTCTATTTCGCTACTGTCGTGTGATAATTTCATCGAACCAGAATCTTCCGGTTTAGCACCATTTCCTATTGTGAATAAATGAGTTTCACTTTTTTCATTAACATGGTACTCAAATCGGTACCCTTGGCGGGGAAATGGAAATTAAACGCACATTAATACATAAATTGTAATGGAGATTACTTCTACCTATTTATTAACTATTAATCAAAATGTTTTTTTGTTTTAGCCCCAAAATCACTCTAGTCCGGACCCAGAACAGGGTAACCAACAGGCTAACGGCTTACAGCAAAACCATCAGACATTACAACAACAACAACAGCAGCAACAGCAACAACAACAGCAGCAGCAGCAACAACAGCAGCAGCAACAGCAACGCCAGGAGCAAAATCAAGCTATTCAACAACAAAATCAACTGCAGCAGCAGCAGCAGCAGCAACAACAAACCTTGCAGCAGGTACTGCAACAACAAAGTCAGACGTTGCAGCAGACCTTGCAACAAAGTCAGCAACATACGCTGCAACAAATGCTGCAAGAGCAGCAACAACAACAGCAACATCAAAACATTCAACACACACAAGAACAACAGAATGCGCAACAGGCCTTGCAACAGCTACACGTGAACCAAGCACACGTAAACGCACTCGCGCAAGCCCAGGCAGCATTACAACAGCAAGTTGTTCAGTCCTTTCAACAGCAGCAACAGAATCTGCATGATCACTTGCAAGCCGTACAGCAACAACAGATCCAAGCTGCCCTGCAACGACAGTCTGCCACGTTGCAGGTATGTAACTTTGATGTTTTGTTTTTATTCACTTTTTTTAAAGGAAACAGTACAGGAAAATGTGACATGGACTTCAAAAGTAAGAAAATTACAATTAAATTCTTCCTTTAATGTTCCTTCAGGTAGCAACAATAACAAGTCAGTCTTTTACCGTGCGGTAGAGCACTGTGATTGGCAGTAAAGATTCGTAAAGAAACAGGAGTCTGTCTCTTACCTATATTCTTGCTAATTTTATCCTGTTTTTTGGATAAAAATCTTGCGATGTTCTTTTTTTTTTTTCAAGATTATTTTTTCCAAAGTATCAAATTATTAACTCACGTAGATAGAACAATATTGCTAATATCACTAAAAATTGACAACCCTAAAATCTATCTAACTATACCCTAAAGTAAAAAAAGGATGTCGGTTGCCCTTACTTTAGGACAACATTATCCTGTGTTTTAAGGACGTTCCACAAACATAAACTTCGCGTTAACAATTATCTGCGGGTCACACAAATAGTTGTGCCGTGTGGGAATCGAACCCACGACCCCCGGCGGTAGAGCCAATACCTAGATAATTGCGCCACGGAGTCATCAAATGATTAACAAGTCGCGCGTAATTATGTCTCGGAATCGAGTCCTCGCACCGCGGTACTAAGCGCATCATCCGTCACGGAGTCGTCAAGTTATTAACAAGCCGTGCAAATGTCTCAGAATCGTTTATCAACAGCGGGTCGAAGTAAGCCTCACCGCTTGTACGTACATCAATTCCTCGCGCACACATTTACGCCCTAGTAAGCAGCACTGTCGGAGACCTCGCACTTCGCACCAAAGTTCGTACCAAGCGCATCGTAAGGAACGCCGCGCGAGTAATATTATATTTCTTCAACGCCTCCAGGAGTTGCAACAGCAAGCCCAGCACCAGCAAGCGCTCAACCAGGCCAAGGGGAGGATGCCACGTGCGCGCGCGTACAACAAGCCGCGCGGCCGCATGACCGCGTACGCCTTCTTCGTGCAGACCTGCCGCGAGGAGCACAAGAAGAAGCACCCGGACGAGAACGTCATATTCGCCGCCTTCTCCAAGAAATGCGCCGAGAGGTGGAACGTGAGTATAAAGTAAAGTAGGCCTATTAATGTCCCACTGCTGGGCAAAGGCCTCCTCCGTACACCACGTGGGGCACTGCGTGTTGGCGGACTTCACGTATCTTCGAAATATTTTTTTTGTTACCATTTCGAAATATATGCAGGTCTCATCACGATGTTTTCGCTGAGCACGTGGTAAGTGAGCACTTAAAATTAATAATTTCATTGGTGCCGGCACCGGGGATCACGGCTATTACTTATATATCATCAAACACTCACGTAATTAAGTCAAATAAAAGCGTGCGTTACGTGTAGTTCGCTGTTAGCTCGGTGGCTTTGACAGCTTCGGCGGAAGAGGGTAAAAGATAAAATTTATTCCATCCACCAATAATGACGCAACGCGATAATGTGAAATTTCAGAATTGTTGCTTATATCTCTGAGCAGCGATAATCCCTTGAATTCATATTAACTGCTGACCAAGACGGAGGCACATTAGCCACCGTCTTGGTCAGCAGTTCATCTTTTTTTTCTCCAGATGAAAAGAGCAGCTTTTCATCTGGGGAAAAAAATAAACATATTTGGCCTAATATACATATATGCAAGTCTTATATGTAAGTAAAGCGAGTTTTGGTATTCCTAATTTTTCCGGGACATTAAGAAAGAAATAATTTGTTTGAATGTGACAATTGTTAAAGTAACGAAAATATTTAATAATGTCAATGAAAAAAATGATACGTGTCCGTATACACAACACTCCTAGATGTAATATAATGATGAATGTCATCATTTAGACTGTAGGTGTCGTGATAATTATCAACTTATGGCAAGTTACCTTATGACATCTACTTTGTTTCGAATTTACACCATTTACGCAAAATCATGAATTTGACTTCTCTATATTTTACTATGTGAAAGAATATGGTCAAATTGATGCTTTTAAACATAGTTACAATCGAATTTCATTATCCCATTTCCATGTTAATAAGAATAATTTTTCCTATTTCCTTTTTTTTATAGACTATGTCGAAAAAGGAGAAACAGAGGTTCCACGACATGGCGGAGCAGGACAAGCAGCGCTACGACCTGGAGATGCAGAACTACGTGCCGCCTAAGGACGTGAAAGTCCGCGGCCGCAAACGCCACCAAGTCAAAGATCCAAATGCGCCTAAAAGATCGCTGTGAGTTACGGTCTCGAAATTTTCTATCAATTATACTAAACTATATTTAAGGTACAATTAATGAGGCAATTGATATGTATGTAGCTATAATTAATAAGCTATAGTTCAAATAGAATCATCAGCTTTTGATACAATAGCTAGGTTGTACCCGCGACTTTTACAGTGTGGATTACTTAACGGTAATAACAATTTCCCAAATTTTTCCAAATGTATGTATATATATATAATATATATATATCAATTTACGGTTTTGCTGTTCAAGCAATATGAAATTAATATTAAAAACTTTAATATAATAATATTTTGAACAGAAAGACAACATTTTAATCTCTATAATTACATTATTATCTTACCTTGTTTACCTACATTGCAATTATTCATTTAAAGAGTGGGTTATCATACACACCAGTCGAAACAAAATAGTATAAAATTTCCATTTTACTTCCCCATCAAGCCTATTCTTTGTTCTTGTTCTAGCAGAATATTGTCTCAATCAAGTCTCTCAAATAATGTAATTTCTTGTTAAATGGGCAATATTTTAATAGTAATAGTAGTAAATAGTGAGAGATAAACAATTTCTGCAACAGATAACACATTTTCCAGTGCTGGAGCTATAAACTACAACTTATGTAGTAGGTTACAATGTTAAATGTTTTTTATTTTATAAGAAATATTGTAGCTTGAATATTTGAGAACAGATAAAAGGTAGATTTTATATGTTACCTGTCAAAGAGAATCTTCTCATTTATCCACAGTTCTGCCTTCTTCTGGTTTTGCAATGACGAACGCTCCAAAGTGAAGGCTAATAACCCTGAATACACAATGGGTGACATTGCCAAGGAACTGGGCAGGCGTTGGGCTGCCGCCGAGCCGGAAACAAAGTCCAAATATGAATCTCTCTCGGAGCAAGATAAGGCCAGATACGATAGGGTAAGTTTAATCAATTGATTCTGTTTGGGTTAAAGTTAATAATTACTGAAATGTACATGGCGGTCATAAACTTTTAAGAACTGGCTATGTATAGTGTTGTTCTTATTCGGAATTCTTAATAAATTGCATCATATTGTAACCATATAATGTGATTTTAATAAAATAAATAAATACTATGTTGTACTTGATCAACTTTGCCTATTATATAAAGTCGCATAATTACCTAAAAATTTTGTTTACAACAAAAATGTAGAATAAGTTCTTATGACTTGTAGACTTCACATGTCTATTTTTATGGCATAAATTTTGTGTTGAGATAAATTGTTTTGAAATAAAAAAAAATGTGAAGTAATTATTGGGTTGGTATGTAATAGTGCTGAGGATTGAAACTGTTTACCTTAATCAATGTATGAAGTTGCTCTGGCCACCTTTAGATTCCTAAATGAAAGATAAGATTCCTAAATTCCCATTCCTAAATCATAAACTATTCCTAAGATACATTAAATGTCGTAGTGGTAACATTGATGAAGTACTGCTTTCATTAAGAGTAGAATTTTCTCTATGATCAATGCAAATTGTATAATTAATTATTCAATTGTTACTCATAGGAGATGACAGCATATAAAAAGGCATTGGAACAACAACAGTCACAGTCAGAGGTGCATGAAGAGGTTGAAGAATATGAAGGAGAGGAAGATTTTAAGTGTTAATATGACTAGACAAAATTGAAGAAGTTTCACTATTATCAAAAACACTGTTTAATTTGTTAAGTCACCATCTAGAATGGATGTTATTGGTCAATAGTAAAAATGGTTATACTCAAGTTGTTACATACTGAAGTTTGGATACTAAAATTTTACATTGTACCCTAAAATTTTTGGAAATGATTTTTATATTACCATATCTTCATTGTATTTTAACTATTGAGTTATTTCAACCAGTAATCAACAACGACAATACAGAAAGCTTTGCATTGCAACACTGTTAAAAAAACTGTTTATATTTTTAAACAGTGTGATTCATGATCAATCAAAGATCTGAGTTTTATAGTAAATGTTACTAAAATATTGATGTGTTTTTGTAACAAAATGTTAATCTAAAACAATTGTTTACAATCAAACTGGGTACATTTCGTTTACATCCATTGGCAAAAAATGCAGCCACGCAAACTACTTCTATTAATGCTACTTAATAAGTTAAGATCTCATTGAATTGAAGTATTGTGTAGTGTTTTATGCATTTATTCAATTTTATTTCATCCTTATGGAATCTGGTGTTAATGGTAAACGAAAGAAACCTAAATATTAATATGACAGAAGAACAATGAATATGTTGATGTTATCAAAGACCTAGTTCAGTCAATTACATGCTAAGTAATTAATTCTTAAGAATTTTGACATATTTTAAATTGATGCGTAACTCAGCACAAGCTTGCCAGGCAAAACAATTTTGTTATGCACATGGCACAAGAATTTGTATAGTAAATGTTTTGTATGAAATTACACCAAACACTCCTTTGACCGAAATTTCTTGGTGAAATTTTTTTTTTTAATTTTAGTAAGTATATTACAAAAAATTGTAGTTTGTGTTATTTTTAAAATTTGTAATTATAACTATAAAATCTGTTGAAATTATTATTATACTTCAGTTTTTTCAGTTGCTCTTTACTGATTTTTTAACATTACATTTTCCCATTCATGTTCAATATTTTACTATTTTTGTCTTATTTACGTATCGAGAGTAACTAAAAGAAATTGGAACTTGTATTCTTGTAGATTAATTATGTATTCGTTGGAAAATGTTATACTTGGGCTAATTAACAACTGCTAAAAGAGAGAAATATTTGTTTGGTTGTTGAGCTTTTTGTTGAAATTATATGTACCTCAAAAAAAACCCTTCAGATGTAAGATATTGTTGTTAGAAATAAGATCTCTTTTATGTTTTAATTGTTTTTTGTTGTAGCACTTTGGGGACCTTTACATTATTTTAGATCGAGATGCGATCATTGTTCCTTTACACATAATTTAAGGTCGAATTGAAAGGTGTGGCCTTATTTTTTCAAGTATCATTTGGCAATATAATAGGTTAACGATAGTCAGGAACAAGCATTAGAGTTAAATGTAAGTCAATCAACAAAAAAGTTGACATAATTATGTATCTTAAGCTAGTGCTATAGGCTAAATATGGAAGATGACGTATGAATGATATTTTATTACATGTGTCCAAAAAATGTACATAGTTACCTAGTTAAAATATATTTTTTTTTACATTAACAAAGTTTTTCTTGTAAATTACAATCAATTTTCACATGAATTGAAAAATTGGCGAAGTATTGACTTGGCCTTTTTGACAGAGTTTTAAGGAATGTGGAGATGTTTAATGGAAATTTTATTTTGTCTTAGTGTAAGAGAACAAAGAAACATTTACCTATACCGAAAGGACTGCAAACGTGATAGTACTTAAAGTTCTAAGTAATAGCCACTAAGTATTTTGTGTACACCTTTTCTAGGCGATTAAGGGTCCCTGGAACATTTATTTGACGTTTGGCCACATACAAACCTGACAGTTGACCAGCAAAGGAAATACAAATTTTCTTAGTGACCGGTATCTGTATATGTGAATGATAACGAATGCGAACTGAGACCAATTCATTCATTTATAACATTAAATAGTTACTTACGCTAGACTATCATTGTATGTTCCATGTAACGTTATTTTCCGTCGGTTTATAACAATTGTTTTGGTTTTATGATACACATGTAGAATCGAGTGACACGATAAAATCCAGGAACTTCCGTGTTTAAAGGAAACAAATTAGCGAGAGGGTTGAATGAGAAATATTTTTAAGGAGTGCGTGTAATCGGGACGATATTGTTTTGAAAGAGGACTGTGCAAAACAATATAGTGAATCTTTTACACTAAATTTTTATTGTTTTATTCTCCCTTACCCTTTACTTTTATTATAATATCTAATATATACTTTTATTATAATATCATTATAATAATTATCAGAGATGTGCAAAGTTTGGCCGTATAATTACCGAATATTTGAATGGAAATATTTTATGATTTACCTATGTTAAAAAAAACCCTTAATCAGAGAACCGTGCCTACATGTTTTCAGATGAAATAAAAAAAGAATTTATTCGCAAAATTAAAAATGTATAATTCATATTTTTTTATAACTAAATGTTTGTCATTGTCGTTTTACAAACGACACATTTCACCATTTTGTTTGTCTTATACCCAAGATTTATTTCCAACTAGCTGCGCCGTGAAATTTAAAAATATATAAAATTCCTAAAATAAAAGTAGCCTAAGTTATTTCTCATTACATCAGCTATCTGCCAGTGCAAATCCCAAACCAAAAGAATTCAGAGATTAGCCGGAACAAACAGACAGACAAAAATTGTAATAAATTGTAATAATAAATGTTATTTTGGTATATGTACATACCTTGTGTATATCCATATGCATTTAGCAAAAAGCGGTTATTTGAATATTACAAACAGACACTCAAATTTTATTTATCTGTATAGATTAACGTTCGTTAAATAATCTTTAACAGAATGTAGCTGGAATCAATAAGTTTATAAAGTATTAAGCTTAATATAAAAGTCGTCGCTTTTTTAAATCAAATAAACTTACAAAAATCTGAAAATATTAAATAATCGTCTGGTGAGTTGGGATTGTTTCGATCCGATACTCAATTGATTAGTTTTCATATTGCTTCTATGAATGTTATATAAGTGTCGATACTTCGTCATTTCGACCTTTAATCGAACTTCGTATTCGAAATCCATCAATAGAACCACCATGATGCAAAAAACTAAAGAACAATTTAGATTAATTAACCATGACTTGCACTGCTGTAAAGTGTACACTTCGTACCAAGTAGAAAACTACAACTCAGACCAAAGCAACATGGGCAGCAAGGTTTGAGGCCATAGAAACAACGAAAATTACACATACAAGCGTAGTCCATTGAAATGTTACAGTTTAAGGACCTAATATTGCATAAGAGGACGCAATTTTATTTAGGGATATTTTTTTATGTGTTGGGATAATTTTTGGTGTTGCCGCCCTTGTCACCCGGCCGCCATCTTGGAAAAAGGGTGCAAACACCTTTTTCGCGATATCTCGGAAACTATGCGGTAAAAAAACGTCAATTGAGTATCGTAAGAATTTGTGCTTCGTAGAGACCTAAAACGAATATGTACTACACAATCAAATAGGTTTGTTACCATGTCGATCGAGCAAAATCAGTGTGGTCTCTCTAGGCGCCCAGGGGAGTCTCGAGCCAAAGTGCCAATTGCCAAACGCAAAATTTTTTTTGCCCGCATTTAACAAAATTTTATGCCTATAAAAATAGTATTATCTAGTACTTCAATGGTAATTATTATGTGTAATGTATATATAATTTCCTAAGTGTTCGTTGTTCTGTTTTGGTACTGGTGTCTATGAAACCGCCAAGCTGAGATTTAAGCTTTCAAAGGTATCATTTAGAGTATCCTTACGGCTCTTTCCGAAAAGAAAGTGTTTATTTTTGCTGTGAAAAGAAATTTCTAGGTTTTGGTGGTATTGAATTCTACAAGATTGGCATCGTCCCAATTGGAAGGCTCTGAAGTTATTCCATCAACGACAACTCGAAGAGAACAACCATTCAGAAAGATATTCATTCAACCGATAAGGCCGTACGCTGGAAGCTTACTTACAAGGCTATGGAGCCAAACCCTGTCGAAGTCCTTCGAGACATAAAGTGCAACCACAAGTGGTTGTCTATTGTTCTGGAAGGCCTATATGTCCAGAGGCGAGTGGCATACACTAAAGGATCGCCAGTTGACCGATTTATGCGAAGTCTGTACTGTCAGTCGCTATGATCGTTTTGCTCTAACTTTAGGTATGCTATTTGCCGGAAATTCAATATACCATAGTTCAATAGTCTAATAAAGTACGAAGGTACGTATATTTTTTTAAAGTTAATTAGTGGTTGGTGCGGTCAAAATTCAATAATAAAGAAGCTGACGGTAGCTCGTATTAGTTATATACAGATATATAACATTAACATGTAGGTATTTAGTTTAGTTTGTTCTGTAAGTATTAATGAAAATAAAATTTAAAGTAAACGCGATAAAATCCTTCATTTTTTTAATTTATACAAAGTGAATATCTGCGGAAACCTTTATTATAAGGAAAAAAAAGGTATTTGTGAAGACACGGATTAAAGAACTAACAAAATTTTTAATAATCTCATAACATTAAGGCAATCATCACCAACATAAGATCAATACATATGTTTAATATAAACACAGTCCCGGGTGGCTTTTCTAAGTGTATCCATTTTTTTTATTAAATTCTAGACAAATAATGTTAAATATTTAAACTCTCTTGTAAGTAATTGATTACATTCATTTGAAGTTATCGCAAAAAGTGCGTGATTTATACGCAACTCATTTATTTTACGCGGGATCTTTCATAACTAACACGCACTCGCATTCGCAAGTTTTTGCTCTTAAACTGCCTCTACTACAACCAATTGGCACTTATAAGATAACATAGTACATGTATTTCAAGAAAACAGAAATAAATTATCCAATATTCCGTAAAAGATACAATAAAATAGTTTGCTATTTAATAGTTTGAAAAAAATTGACGTGGATAATTTTTTACTAGGTAGACTAGTAGACACAGTTACTTCCGAAAAATGGACATATCTAGCACATAGACTGGGTTTTGAATAGAATTTTCAGAATCAGAATATAGAATTTGTTTATTATCTTTATAATCTTAATATTATTTTCAAGTAGTTACCTATTTAATATCAATAGCCTAGTAGGTACTAAGATTGCCTAACGATGGTAATATTAGACGTTTCTTGTGATCTAATATAATTTTAATACATTGGGGTTCACGAGTCACACAAGCAAATTAATCTCGTTTATGGGATTGTACTTTTTGTTTGTTCATTATTACCATGTTTATGCATGTGTTTATAACTAAACTATATAACAAAAACGTCATTATTTTTGAAAATCATATTTAAGTAAAGTAATTAAAAGTAAAGTGACAGCTTATACATGTCACACTGCTGGGCAACGGCCACCTCTATACAGAGGGTATCAGGGCATAGTCCACCACGCGGCCCCACTGCGGATTGGCGGACTTCACATGTCTTCGAAAAATATTTTTTTTTGTTATTATTTCCAAAATATGCAGGTTTCCTCACGACACGTGCTCCCCGTGAAGGAAACTTCACCGCGGAGCACGTGATAAGTCTGCACTTAAAGATTAGAACTTGATCGGTGGCGGCACCGGGGATCGAACTCAGGTTGCTCGATTACATTGAATTAAAGGCGAGCGCCCTGATACTGAGCTATCACATTAAAATCATATTTATCCCTACTTATTTAAGAAATGTATCCTTATTTACGAAATGTATGTAATGATGAAAAAACGTAGTAAGGGATAAGATAATAATAAAACAAATTGTAGATAAATTTGAAACTTCTATTTATTTTATAAAAATAAATGTTTTGACGACAAATAGTTTATTACATTCGGGGTCCTTACGAATTCATCAACTTCTATATGAGATCCCATAAGAAATGCTTCAAGACGTTGTAAAAAATTCAGTTTTTACAAAAGTTATTCTTCATTTTTATCTTAAAACATTAACAACATTACACTTTCACGTCTACATCTAATAACGGTCGATCACTTTTATTTTTTTACATAATATAACATTGGCGTTTACGAAAATAACCATTTATGACACATATAATGACTTGAAATCGATTGTTATATTAATATCGATTAGGCCCAGTAATGACATTATATTATTATCGCTTAAAACGAATATGTCGTACACGACACGAAATATCTAATACAAGTTCACCTAGAACGTTTTAAGTAAAAAAAATATACAAAAAAACAAACACTTAATATTTTAAAAAGCATCTATCAATTTTTGTTTAATGCCACAGTATTGACAGCTAGGACTCAAAAGAAATAATTTATAAATGTATTTCAATATTATTTCATGCATACGATGATTTCTTAAACTATAGTTTGCCATGAGAGTACATATGTCAATTTTCAAAGACTGTTTTAGCGTTTTATATAATTATAAAGGGCAAGATATGAACATAAATATATTAACGAAAACACACACATTACAAACATTAGTACAGTTTTTTATCATTTATGTTTATGTTTAATGGGCAGAGAGGGGCATATTTCATTATAAGATCTATAGTTTCTCCCTACATTATTGATCATAACATTATTGATAGTGTATTATATTTAAGTTGTCAAGATCTTACGCGGAGGAGAAAACATTGTCCGCTATAGTAGATAAATTATTACTAATATTTGTAGCCCATAATTTGTGTTATATATAAATTAACCAGTTAGGTTAGAAATGATCAGTAAGCTTTTATATAATTCTTTTTCGACTGTTGCGTTGCTCTACACACCTAGCTATAGTTATTATTAACAAATATGAGAAAACTAAAAATGCATTTATATGAAAAACTAAAGCAAAGATGCCTTCAGCGCTATATATATAAATACAAATGTTTATTATTAACACCATTGTACGAAACACGAGAGGTTTAGTACAAATTTAGGTTATAAAAGGCATATACATAAATGGAGCCGATTGATTATAATAACTCTATTGTTATAAATACAAGTCCGTATACCACGCTAATGACGAAAGCTCGTTCCAACGTATTCTACAATTTCAATAATACGAATATGAATAATACGTAAATTAATATCACGAACGTCGTATGCAAATTAAACCTAAACGCCTAAATGTTTTAGTTTCTAAAACCTACGAGGGTTTTCTTGAAAAGGAGGAAGTATCAAATATACAACAAATTCATAAATTATTAAAAGCATTTAATATATTCTACTGATTACAGCTTCATGTGACGGAAAGCGCGGTTAGGGTGTAGTTAAACCAAAACAATAACCAATGTAATGTAGTGATAGGTCAGAGGGCTTTGTCAAAATATGCACCGCACAATAAGTAAGTAACAAAATAGTTTTAAAGGATTTAAGTATATTTAATAAAACATATAAAAGTAACAAATACCTGATCTTAAAATGCACAATTTCTTCTTCGATCTTCAAACTCAATTTGAAATAACAAAAATCATTCAATGCATTCAGCATTGTGCAGGATAATTTTGGATGGTTATTTTAAGTTCTGCACAGGAAGAATAGAAGACAAATATTAGGACTCCGAAATTTCTTGTCCAAGCACCCTGCATTAAGTAAAATTGAAGGGGCTTTTAGAAAAGCTATCACGTATAACTGTTACAAGTCACATTACCATTAAAATAATGTATTCTTAAATATTAGAGGTCGAATAAAATTATTCTCGATGTTGTGCACTGATAATAAATGAATTACAGTTAGTTCAAATATCAAGTCGCGCTTTCCGTATATAAGATTATTTAAAAATTTATCTATGCTCAATTGTTATAATCTCATCTTCATTTTAACACAATTCCCTACTACAGAGACACACATAAAGACATTGTATATTATTTACTGCATAAAGCTAAAATTGTACCGGAACCTAAAAAAACAAATTGAAGGGTACCCTGACGATAGCAACATATTACGCATTCAAAATACTTACAAAACAGTACTGGCCGAGTTGTTGGTGTTTGAGAAATACGTATTTCTAGGCAAATGGTATGTACAACGTATATCAGCAGATGATTTAATGCAGATGGAATTTCATTTGTTTCCTCATATATTATTTCTAATGAAACAACTATCTTCTTACGAATACATGACAAAAAATATATGACAAAAACATGTTCTAAATAAATCCCAAAATGAAAAGAAAATGAAAATCAGTTTTATTACGACGTGCGTTGGACACATCTGACGTACACCGTATAATAAGGTCCGTAATGATTGAGAAGAAATTTTAGAATGGGTTTATGCAAATATGAATATACAAATAATTACTGTAAGCTTGCAAAATAACATAGGGTTCAACAACCATTAATTGTTCTTGCTAAAACTCGAGGATTCCTAAATCGAAAAATTCTCAATACTCAGGAGAGTTGTTTTACCGAAACCAACAAAAACCAACACGTACATTGTTTCACTCGAAACGACATCAATGATCTGCTGATATATTACAATGGCGTTCAACTCTCAGTTCGCTATGACGCGTCGGTCTCGTGGGGATCGGGCGGCTGCTGCGGGATGTAGTTCCATCTCGCTCGCACTTCAGCCTTTTCCGCACCGCTGCGGGCAGAGGGGGGCGCGGCGAGCGCAGCCCGTCTCGCTCGCACGACGGCCAGATGGCGCTGTATGTAGTGCTCGTGCGGTGCAAGGGCGGCGGCGCGGCTTAAGCACTCCTCGGCGACCGCCAATTTGCCGCGCTCCACTGCGACCACGCACAGATTGTGTAGCGCCTGCACGTTTTCCGGCTCCAGCTCTAGAATGCGCCGGTAACACTGCGAGCACAGATAAACAATTGTTTTTTGACACGTTTTATATTAGCTGCCCGTAGCGTGGCGTTCCACAGATAATTTTTAGGTATTTCAACTTCTATTTCTTAATGTTTAGTGAAAATTGTCGCAATATTTTTTCGCCGCTGCCAGGATTCGAACCTGCGCGTTCCCGGTAATAAGGTATGGTCCATGGCCCATCATTGAGAGGCCGGGCACCGGTTATTTGACTTTATAGCTTTCTGTGATTTCCCGGACAAGACAGCTCGTTCAAGCAATAGAAAGCCTCTGCTTTGTTCTGGCACTACGTATGATAACTTACACTTTCAGCGGCGTCGAGAACTTTCACGGAGGCGGACGAGTTATTTCAGTAAGACAGCTCATTGAAGCAGCAGAGATCTGCCTCGTGGCTCTAGAACTGCTTATAATAACTTACACTTTCAGCTTCGCCGAGATCCTTCACGGAGCTTATGTAGATGTCGCCGAGAAGGACCAAAGCTTTTTTGTCGTCCGGGTGGTGGCGAACAAGTTGTTTCAGTAATACAGCTCATTTAAGCAACGGAAAGCCTCTGCTTGGTTCTAGTACTACTTATAATAACTTACACTTTCGGCGGCGTCGAGATCCTTCACGGAGTTTATGTAGATGTCGCCGAGAAGGACCAAAGCTTTTATGTGGTCCGGGTGGTGGCGGACGAGCTGTTTCAGGAAGGGCGCCGCCTCTAGGGGCCTCCTGCGGTCTGCCAGCAGCAGCGCCAGGTTGAACAGCGCCGACCGGAAGTCCGGTTTGAGGTGGACCGCCGCCCGGAACCACCTCTCGGCGCACTCCGCGTCCCCCTCGTCCATACAGACCATGCCGAGGTTGAAGTGGACGCGCTCGTTCGTGGCTGGGATACGGAATATGGCAGGTTGTAGAGCAGAGTTAGCATATTAAGTGCCATTTCAATGTTCGCACAAGTGGTAAATGTTGCGCGAATATTTTGGCAGTAGTGGTAAATTGGAACAGTGGTAATTGAAGACCTTCTCCAGTAGACGTCTGCGACCAATGTGGCTATTATGCTGTATTTAAAGCATTCGTTGCTACGTGCAAAAATTGTATTAAAAAAAAGAATCTGATCGCACAAAGTAAAAAGTTAAATGCAAATAAAATGCATTGCAATACTCATTTAATATCTCTATCCATAAAATTATGTGTAGTAATATTTCAAGAGCAAGGAGGCTGAAAAATGAGCGTTTAACAAGTTAATGCAAAATGCACTGAAACCACCGTCCTTGAACCTTTAACAAGTTGTTGAAAAATATACTGAACTCACCGTCCTTGTCCAGCAGCTTGAGGAGTCGTTGTCGGGCCAAATGCCTCAGATCTGCGGCGCCAAGCTCTTGCAGCAAAATGGCGGAGTTCAGCAGCGCCTGCTCGTGTTCCGGCTCCAGCTCCAGGGCCTTGTCCAAATACGCAAGCGCCTGGGACGCCTTGCCCTGCTCCAGTAACACGACTCCCAACTGGAAAGAACCAATGAGTTCACTACCTGGTTATTTAAATACGGCACTAGAGCAAAAATATAGTAATGAAAATATAGCATCCAAGACGTATCAATTGGACCATTCGAAGAACGCAAATTCTGAAAATATGGCAGAGGTTTTCTTAAATTAGTTATTAAGTATTAATAGAGAAAGAATCGACCCATCTTCTTAATACTAACAGATGGGATTGTTGTAAACGCTATAGCTATTCCGTAAAGTCATAAATGAACCATTTAAACGCAAGCAGACTACAATACATTGCCTATCACATAAGTTAATTGAATGAAAATATAAATTACAAAATAATCTCCATTGTTCTTGTAATTAAGTTAAAGTATTAAAAAATTTGAGGACACAACCTCAATGCAGTTACTTAAAATAAATAAGAGTAATATAGTAATAGTGAGTGATATTGTAATACTTTTGTTTTATAATTATACTTTTCCGTGAAAAGTTGCCAATTTAATATTGCAGCCCGCGGGCATCATACGTATCGCTAATCACTAAAACGTGGCCCTGGATCATCTTATCAGACGAAACGCAAATAATAGTCGTGTTACTATTTGAACATAACAATTACTGTCACAATCCTATACAGCGTCTTCATTAAACCATGTAAATCTAACACTTACGTTGTAGTATATATCAGGATTCCCGCTGTCATATAGCAACGCCCTCTCGTACACCTCCTGCGCTTCCTTAGTGCGGTTCAGTTTGATCAGGATATCACCCCTGTTTATGTAGGCCTGGGTATAATCAGCGCGCATGCTGATCGCCTGTCTGTACAACATATCCGCCTCTTCCAACCTCGTCGCGTTCTTCGAGATCAGATTGGCTAGGTTCAGGAAAACGTTCAGGTGGTTGGGTGCTATCCTCGCTTGGTACGATTCGCCCGGTTTCGCCTTGGGGAGGAGGGACTTGGCCCTCACGTACGCTTCTTCGGCTTCCTGATACCGCCCCAAGTGGTTGTAGGTCCTGCCGACGTTTATGTGCGCGCCTACATCGTCCGGCTGGACGTTCACCGCCGTATTGAAGAACTCTAGCGCTTCAGCATACCTGCCTTCCGCCTCCAGGGCGTGGCCAACGTTGTTGTACAACTTGGCGTTGTTACGATTCACCTGGAACGTTACGTTTGAAAATGTAATAGCAGATTTTGTTATTAAAATGTAAAGCTGAAATTGATAATTTCGAAATACATATATCCATATTATATGATAACGGGTGATTCATTTTGCACGAGAACGCCAAAATAATGGTACTCTAAAAGGGTAAAATTGGTATGATGCCTTATAAATTGCTCATAATTTTACTTTTAATTGTTGTTTACATTGAGAAATAGTTGACAAATAAAACATCGGATCGTAGATAAAAAATTGAACGATAAATATTATTTAGTAAGGAATAGGGTAATTAACTCTATCCTATCCCTTTTAAAGAAATTAAAAATTTTACTTCAGTTGAGAAGTATCTTACTTTTCGTATCTACCGTGAAGGTGAGGTCATGGCACATGATAAAGAAATGTTTGATCAGCTCACCTTAAGTCCGGACGCAAAAATAGAGTATTCAGTCTTCCAATCCCAATTCCTAATGTACGTCTTAGCGCTGAAGGCGAGCAGAAGGAAGATTAGGGACGCAGCGGCCAAGGCGGCCCTCTTCTTGGCCAACAGCCTCCAGCCGTGCGCAACCAACAGGCACCAGCCCATCGACGGCATGTACAGAACCCGTTCGGCGACAACGAACCCGACGGGAAAGAAGAGGTTCGAGGCCGGGAGGAACGGCAGCACCAGCAATGCGAGACCCTAAAACAGTGGAGCCATTGAAGTCTAGTCCAGATTCATTTGTTTAAAGCCTAATTGAGCACCTAAAGAACTGTATAAAGTCTGAATAACTATTTCTTTTAAGAACAATATCGATAAAATATAAATCTGAAGGATTTAAAAATGAAACATAATATGTAAAATATGCGTTTACTGGTTTTTATTGTATATGTATTTATTTTTTTTATTTCCATCGCTTCTGCTTTGTATCGTTATAATAATGAAAATCTACAAACTACGTTCTGATAAAAAATAAAGTAGGTAGGTATTTAATTCATATATAAGGCTATACATTATTCAGATTAAAATGACAAACGCATTAGACTGTCACTGTCTCAAGCAAAAGCTCATGAGAAGATCCAGCGAAATATAATAAAACAACTGACCATAGACAGGGCCGAAGAGCGGGTCCTCAACGCGTGGATGGCACCCGCTACCAAAGTGGTGCCCAGCGCTAGAGTCGCCAAGTTCCGAGGGTCTCGCCAGGACCGCAACAGGGCCACAGTGCCCATTGTCCAGTCGCAGCAAAGGGCATCAGGTAGCGTTAACAGCCAGGCATTGAGCGCCGGTAGATAGGCGAATGTTAAATGCCTGTAACAGAAGAAATATTATTATTGAAATTGGTGTTAGTTTCATTTGTCTAGTGGTCAGGTGACAGGCTAACCATTTGTTAAGCTCGGTAAAAAATGCATAACACTGAAATGACAGTATCCAATTCTATCAATCCCATTAGGGTCAAAGTAACAAAGGTTTTATTTTATAATGCATATAATTAATTGGTATATTATTTATGATATAAGTCGTCACTTCATAAGTTTGTTAACGACACGATCACGCTCGATAAATTACAATTCGACACGTGGTTTATTTGGGGTTCCAAAAAATAATCCAACTCACATTTAAATATCTTCCTTTTTTAACTTAATTCAACTTACGATTGCACTTTATGTAATCTAAAAAGTCTTGTCCAAAGCTCAATTTTCACCAGTCGTAACCAAAAAACCGTAGGACATTCTATTATTTAAATATTTTCTGTTATATTATTAGTTTGTGATAGTTTGTGATGAATTTGCCTTTTTAACATAATAACTTCTCGGATTAAAACGGGTTTATTTGTTAGTTTTTTAGGTTCCGATGTTACGGAACCTTTTCAGCCTTAGAATATTTTTCGCTTTTCTATAATTGTCTATTTCAATGATACCTTTTGCGAAACCATGATCGGAGAAAACGTTAAAGTGGAAGAATTGATTTATATAAATGTAGAGTGCAGCATACCTGGCTGGTGGTGGGGCGGCGCTAGCAGGGTTGTCGAATCTCGTAAAGACCGGCAGCTGCGCGCCCATAACGTGGAGCCTCGCTGCCAATAAAGCCAGGGTTGCGCAGCAGACGGTGGCGACCCTGCGCGCTGCTTCGCCACAGGCGCACCCCCAGCCGGAACCCTTACTCCACGCTTCTAACCACGAGCGACCGTTTGAGGTCGAGTTGCGACGCTACGATAGAAGCAGTAAGAAAATAATTTTAAGTGTCGTGAAGGTTAAAAAGTTAAAATATATAAAAATCCATTTTGTTATATCCTATAGTAGCATGAATGAAATAAAGTGTTACTCTAGATTCTACTAAGGTCATTAGAGAATGTTACGACCCTATTGATTCTAAAAATAAAAAAAAAGTGATAAATATTCATTTATATTTGTACAGAGTGTTTATTGATAGGGCAAAATCATTAAATTATCATATAATATAACATTAGGATGATCACATTTAAATATATTTTACTTGTTTTTAATTTCACACTTGTTCTAATTGTATTTCTTGTTATAGCGGCAAAAGAAATACATCATCTGTGAAAATTTCAACTGTCTATGTTGGTTCATGAGATACAGCCTGACAGACGGTCAGACAGGCAGCAGAGTCTTAGTAATAGGGTCCAGTTTTATCCTTTGGGTACGGAACCCTAAAATTGACCCGGGTTCCCTCACTCACGGACGAAAATTTTACTACCACAGTAACAATTTACAATGTACATAATTTTAATACTACAGTTTCACGTCTCCGGCCTTCTGTCAGGCTGTGGTACTTCCCCGGAGGAGCCTGTTCATTCGTGCAACATCAGAAGCTGCTGCTATGCCCTGCCACTTTAAATATATATTATACAAGGACCGACATCATATGACCATTGTAGCTAAAAACATGTGTGGATATTAAAGAGAATGAATTGAACATATCAATTATCCCGTGAGATGTATATGTATACATGGACATCGTATTGAATAAATATCACTTTAATACTTTCTTCACACATGAGTAAATTTATTTGTACAGCTACAATTCGCTGGGTTCGCAATAACTGAGCAAAATTGAAAGGAGGTTTCTATACGTCTGGAATCGAGCATCCATTGCGGTGTTTTCATTCTAAATTCGATATTACACTGAACCCGGTAAATAATATGAACAAAGGGAAAAGCTTTGCCTCGACGCAGTGGCTCTTTGATGTCGAACCACATGCGACGAACAAAAACTGTTTTGTACGCGATGTTATAAACGGAGATAAAAAAATTAAAAATTAATTAATTTATTTAAAGAAAATAATTAGAGATTTTAGAACCAAGAGACTACTACTCAATGCATTGGACGACACAGCTATGGCATTGACCTCTATAGATATATGTAAAATCTTATTTATATTAATATGTCGACTTTGGCATTCTGTTATATTTCGAATTCTATATATTTCGAAAATATGCAAGTTCCTCGCGATGTTTTTGCTTCAACACTGAATATTTGATAATTGAGCACTCAAGATCGAAAATTACATTGATGTCTCTACGCATTTGACCTCAGGTAGCTCGAGTATATTGTGAATCGCGCTCGGACACTGAGTTATTCGATTTCGAAATTTTTTTACAAATAACGTTTTTGTTATATAAATCAAACAGACCCGAAATACAGTGCTACAATAATATATTTTTATGAACGGTGGCAGCCCTACTGTGGTTGTAAATGTCCATGGGCGGCTTTGATCACTTAGTATCAGTTGAACAGCCTGTTTGTCATCTTTTCTCATAAGTAAATAACAGTTTGTAAATAACTATAAAACAGGCTTTTGTTTAAAACCGAAGAATTAAAAAGTAGAAAATAATTTTAAATACATTTGAAACATTTAATTTTGTTGATTAACCTAATGTGATTACACTATTCATAATTACTTATACATTGTCATGGGCATTTGACGAGTGTGCACAGTGTGATTCAAACTGATCATTCAAAGTAGGGCAAAATCACGTTTAAAGATTCCGTTACATTCCTACACACATACAGGTGAAACTAATAATTTATTCGTAGGTCATTTTAAGATCATTGGGATTCATTTTTTCATTTTGATATACAGCATTATTAGGGCGATCCGGAAAAAGTTATGTAGAGTGTTTAGCTTATTTTAGTTTAATTAATGTTAAGGAAAACCTTTGTTGTTGTATTTTAAACGTTATCCGATTACCTTCGCCCAAATATAAGACTAATTTTGGGTAGCGGTTTCAAATTAAATAATTGTGTACACGGATACAAAACCGCAAATTTAATATCGAAGATTAATATAGAAAAACTAGATTTCATTACCCGTTTTTGATCTTTCTACAAATATTAAAAACAGCATTGATCTTATTTTGCGCAGTCTAAAGGGAGAATTGTTGATCAAGTTCTTTTCATTATTTTTTTATTCAATTAATTTAAATGATAAATTAAATATTATTAGACATTTATTCAATACAAAAAACCAACTTCTATATTTTATAATAATATTGAATCATTCAAAGGACGGTTAAAATTATATTCGTACGCTTAACACTGAAATAAGACGCTAAAATACATATACATTTGTTAAATGTACTGCAATTATGTTATTGTTAAATTTACTGTTGAAAACCATCAAGTTATTGCTTATATACTATAATTAATAATTGCAGTTTTATTTTATGCATGTATTTAAACCAGTTGTTGCACGGGGTTTAACCTTGATTTCCCAAATTATCAGCAGGATTGTATCTTCTTCTTTTCGAGTTGATGGCAATACCTATTCACACGGTATCGGCCCAAAATTCAGCCATATGAATTGCACTGTCAGCAGCATTCATCAGGTCCTCCTGCGTGCAGTTGGTTAGGCATGCAGGGCATGACGTTAAATTTTCCATGGTTTGGGGAACAGCACCACATGAACAGGTTCTCTTTACTTCGGCCAACTTTCGTCCGAAGTCTATTTGATGACTTCCAAGTCAGCGATGGCAACCCATGTCCAGGCGGTAGTTTCACAGACAGTGGAACAAAGGGGCTGGGGACATTGACACTTTCTTGCCACAGCCTGCATTTCTCCTTCGATCGGTCACTATCGTGAAGAGGAGTCAGGGGACACACACATTGTATTGAAAGCTTGTAACATTACTTTAAAATAACAATTTTTATTAAATAATTAATGTATCGGATTCATGCACTTTTCCGTAATTTGAAATATCCAATGTCATTCTGAGCAAACAATTATGTATGTATTTACTATGTTGCTATTAAAAGAGGGACACAGTTGTGAACTTATAACATTAGTAGGGTATTATTTAGGGTAACGTTATTTTATTCAATAATAGTATTGTCGAGTGCAAAGATCGATAGAACTGTAAAACTTTTAAAATAAACAAAAATTTAACAAAAACTAAACTCAAACGTGTAGTGGGAGCAAAGTGGTTGATTTGGACTGCAGAGGGTAATTTATTCATATAATCCACAAACCCGTATATAACCCTCTGATATTTAGAAACTATATAAGGTATATAGTAACCGTGTATAGTAAGACTTCGACGAACTGCAAGGTCCTATTTGAGTTTTATCCCGCTTACTTAAAATAATTTAGGTATAAAAATTGATGACTCTGGCACAGATGCCAAGAAATTGGCTTCGGCGTCTTGGTTTCGATTCCAGCACGAATCTGGGTGTTTATCCACGTGAAATTCGCATGTTAAACGTCCTTACAACACAGCATAATGTTATCCTACAGCATAGGCAATGTTTTTTTAAATATATTTAAATAAACAAACATAGCTTACCTTCTGGGCCACGAACAGTTCGTATACCACGCACACCGCGGTCACAGTGATGCCTTGCTCCTTGCAAAGCATGGCGACACCCACGCACGCTGTGCATGCAACAAGGTAGCGCCAATCTGCGGGGAATGATCGGAACGTTTAATATTTATAAAAAAGATAACATCCCATACATATACACCCCACTGCTGGAAAAAACATCTGTAGAAGTTATTAAAGTATAACCTGCTTTGCGGATTGGCAGACTAGACATATCTTTGTTTTTTTTGTTCAATTATTGTTAAATTGTATTTATTTTAAGTAGTTGGGTAACTAAGAAATAATTTAAAAATGTGTTTCCGTACGCTGTTAATCGTGTGACTAACATACTAACATTGTAATAGAGTAACTGATTAATCGGTGCCGGGATTGAACGGGTTGCTATTTGAGTTGAATAAAATTAACCGGGGAATTACCACGAAAAAACAAAAGACCGGCTTGTAGTGGAACTGTTATACTTCTGCGTTTCGTCAGGTGAGTGAAGGCTCCCTTTTTTAAAGGTTTCAACTCATTTTCACACTACGAGTGTTTCAAATGTCGATGAGCGGCAATTAATCACTTAACATCAGGTGAACCTTCTTCTTCTCGCTTGCCATCTCTTCTTACAAAAAAAGAAAAAAAATAACACCCATAAGTTGATCAATTCCTGCTTGAAATTTAAAAGAAAATTTTGAATAGACTTTTGTGTTAAAAATTCTGCAATGTATTTACTGTTCTTATAATGATTTTGATCTATGATCGGATTATAACAGATCATTATTTAATGGAAGCTAATGGAGCAATGCTAGTGCATGACGTTACATTTGGAAATGAGCTCACCAGGACACGAATAAGACAGTCAATTCGATGCCAAGAATATTTCCTGGAACTAATGTCTTCTATTATAGGTCGGAATATATTATGCGATTCAATTTCACATTTGTGAGGGCTCCAAGCATTACGAGTTTATGACTTGTCTTTAATATATTCTGCTAACGTAGTTTTAATTCGTTCATCTGATTGGCGTAGTGGATAAAAAATCTGTCTCTAGCGCCAGAGGGGGTTCGATCCCTATTACTGAAAAAATATTCTGTGATCATAATATTCTAATGTCCGAGTGTTTATACATTTATAATATGTATTTATTTAAAAAATAAAAGAAAAGTATGATCAAATATGTTCATCAGTTACCCGTAGTACAAGCTTGGCTTAATAAGATTTAAAATTTCTGGAACAAATGTAATTTATAACTTTAAATTATTTCTTTTTAAACTAGACAGTGACGATCATTGCATTTGAATAATCATATTTTAATTAAGACATATATAGTTGCCTTTAAGTGACTTTATTGCTTGTAATGAATAGGCAACATTCTGTTTATATAATATAAACAATGAGGGATCGTGTTTCGAACGCTATCATTATTTCCTCTGTAGCAGAGGATAGAGTTAATCTCCGCCGTATAATTTTAGGGTCGTTTGCACCGGGTGATTTGTTACACCTCCCTAACGAGCAAAAGATGCTAGATCATTGAATAATGTAGAACGTTGCGCTCACTCCGCGTGTATGATTCGAGGCACGTGTCAATAGAACACACGTTTTTGAAAACATATTTATAGAGAAAAACGCACACAATGACGTCGTCATCGTTATGTTGTGAGAGATATAAAATAACATATGTCATAAGATCCACTTTATATTTATTACTTTAAGGGGGAAACGCATCTGCATTTGCAACCCTACGGGTGTTGCAAATTTCCGTGGGCGGCGGTTATCACTTAACAGGTGAACCGCCAGCTCGTTTGCCACTTTGTCAGAAAAAAAGTGTATTTTTTTTTAATTCAAAACCGTCCAGCACTTGACTTTATCAGGTATTCGTCTTATATACGTGGAGTAAGTTGAAATTTGTGTCCCGACTCCGGCAAATTCTAACCAAATATATTTGTTGGTGCACATCAAAAATACTCGTTTGAGACACCGTTGAAACTTCGGTATCGTATGTATACTATAAATAAAGAAGACAACGCGATGTAATTCTGCGCTACGGAAAAGGCGGGAATCCCAATTATTTCTGTTCCGACGTGGGGCCCCCCTAATTGAATCCCGAACTCTCGACCGCGAATTTTTGAAAGCCCACCGTCGCCGCGTTCCTTTGACGGGAAAACGGAAGCTAAAGCGCACTGCAAATAACCGAGTACACACGGGCTTAACGAGATTATGTTCTCGTTACGAGCGGGACGATAGATGGCGCGAGTGTGCTCTAGTTGCGCTCGAACTGTATTGGAAAGTTTCGGACGGGTTTTTGTGTTTGTATTGCTTTTCGAAGTTACAATTAGGTTCCGTGTAGCGGCTATTGTTTCATAAACTTTTTAAAACTCTAAAAAAAAGAATACATTTCTAAGTGCCTGGTGTATCTAGTTCTTAAATAAAACTATTTTACATTTTTATCGTGTTTACTTTCATTCCCTTTATTACATAATTTAAACCCACGCAAATACTTTATCGCTTTAAAGTTTAAAACATCCGTGATCACGGGGCAGAAAGCCCTTTCGAGTCTGTAAAAAGTTTAAACTAATTAGTACGTAAACGTAGTATTCGATTGAATTCGTAATCGATTAAATAATCTTTTGTAATTAATTATTTCTAGATTTTATTTTCTATTTATTTCTTGTTACCTAGATTATTTTGCTTCAGCTTTTAAATATGTCGGAACGTGTTTTGTACAAGACTCTAGTAACTAGAAGACTGACTTTTGAATGGAGAGAAATAAAACCTGCATAAATCTCGTCACCCAATAGTTTAACTGGTAGAGAATAAGTGCCTTTTGATACAGCTTTTGAGAAATTTCCTTTATGAAATCATAGAAGAAATTTCATGTATTAGATTAAACTGCAGGAGTATTTGCAATTGAAATATTTTATTACTTTTTTCGCTTAAAAAATTCTATTTCTTTTAATTTCGACTGGAACTAAACAAGGCCTTAAACAACTTCTGTTATTTTATGAATGTGTTTTTTTTTTTGGTCTCTATATACTCGTCTCGGTCTCACAGACAATTGGTGCGTAGTTGGAATATTATACTTTCGCTTTTTCTTCTGATGTGGAGTGTGCTGAGATAACGGGAGGTCAGGGTTGGCAATGCAACTACAACGCGTCAAGTCTTGCAGATGTCCATGGGTGGCGGTAAACACGTGAGCGCTCGCTTGCCAACTTTTTACATAAAAAAAATAAAATAGTTCTATGTAGGTGTGAACCATATCTCTCTTTCAAACCTGATAGACAATAGACATTAGACGTTAGGACACCTATAAGGCTTGTCCCGATATGATAATGGTCCTATCATGAAAATAAATAAATAAATGACGAATTACGTATGGAAACTAAAAATGTTTTTATCGACTTGCTTCTGCCGAGTCCCCCAGGAACCTAAGCACATAGGGGGGGCTCCTTGCAGAAGCCCGCTTTGGCTCTGGCCTCGTCGACCGCCAGAGTGGATTCGTTAGTCGTAACTGGAGAGTGGGTGTGTCTAATGGCGTCATAACGAGACATACTCCTTGCCCCCTCAGTTATTTCTCGTGTTGGCGTTTGGCACCTCCACCGGTTCCATCAGTTGAACCGAGCGAAAATGTCGCAAAAACTTCCATATATTTATGTAATGGTAACATTTGTACATTTTATAATTTTAAATAACACATATAATTGAAATGAAGTAAGAGTTTATAACCAAGATTAACAATAAAAAAATATCCAGAGAATGATTTGAGATTACGTTATATATCTAAACTTGATACTTATATGGCAATGTATATAGTAAGTTTGCTTTTTTATTTATATGATTTTATGTATCTACATGTATCCAAGTAAAAATAAAGTAACAAACAGCCTACATATGTCCCACTGCCGGGAAAAGTTCTCTGTACAGAGGATATTGGGGCATAGTCCACATGGCCCCACTGCGGATTGGCAGACTTCACATATCTTCGAAATTTTTCTTTTACTATTGAACTTCTTTGTAATGTTTGTCTCAGAAATGAACATAGCGGTTACCTGTGTATCTTCTACGGCTGGCGGCTCGGGCGTAACACAGCAAAGCACCGAGGAAGAAGACGGACGAGAGCATTTCTGCTCTACCGACGACACCGGTGACCTGTGACCAAAATTTTTAACCGTTAAGAAATTACAACATTATCTACTGGGACTAGGAACACGAATCTATTCGAGATTATTTAACGGCAGAAGGGAGAAAACAAGCAGGCATTCAATCTGCTATAAGAAGCCGTTAACAGTGTGTACCTCGATTACCTAACACGCCGGACGAAATGCATATGTATAAATACTTCTAGTGTATTATATTATAGTTGTCAGCTTTTAAGGGTACTTACGTAAACTATTAGACTATTAAAATACACTTAAGAATAACTGACATAACAAAAATGACTCACCTAAGTGCGTTTCTAGGGTTCTGTACCCAAGGGGTAAAACGGAACCCTATTAGTATGACTTCGCTGTCTGTCTGTCCGTCTGTCACTAGGCTGTATCTCATGAACCGTGATAGTTAGACAGTTAAAATTTTTACAAATGATGTATTTCTATTGCCGCTATATCAACAAATACTAAAAAATTAGAAAAAAAATTTAATGGGGCTCCCATACATTTTTTTTGCCGTTTTTATAGATAATTGCGTATTCAGAATTTGGTAGGGAACCCTTCGTGCGCACTTGGGCGGTTGTTTTTTCATTATAAATTACATAATAATTTATACTTTCCCGGAGAAGATTTGAATGAGAAGCTGCTACGTACGTATCGAATAAAATGTTTTGATAAATTAAAAAAACTCTATACACATTAGCAATTTTGATGAGAAGCACACAATATTTGTGTAAACCGCAGGGGATATTTCGGTTCAACGGGAAACTGTAACCGATCACTACTTGATTAGATCGCAAGTATTCCGCAGCGAACTGCGAATCGAAGTTGTGAAATGGCGGACTAGACGGCGAAGGTGGCGGACTAGACGGCGAAGGTGGCGGACTAGACGGCGAAGGTGGCGGACTAGACGGCGAAGGTGGCGGGCTGGCAGGTATGCGTTGGCGCTATTGAAGCGAGGGGCCCATAACCTCGCAAATGTTGGTGCCGTGTAAGCGACGCTCATCGCCGTCCCTTACGCGTTCCCGCCCCTTCATTACAGACAGTTTTGCCCGCAAATATAAATGCGGATCGTTAGTTGTGCGAAGAATGTTTCTCTTGCGAGTTTATTTGCGGGCGAAATCGTTAGTTAACATCAATTTTCCAAATTGATGAAAGATAATTCGAGCCTCTTCATTCGAAGTTTGACTAGAAGCTTTAGTGACGTTATCATCTTGCATCAGCATATATCGGAAGGTTCAAGATTCTTTTGATAGTTTTTAAAGTAAATATACTGACAATATGGGTTATTTCTTTCATAAACATAATTCGATTAATTAACTCTTAAACGATATTTGAACATTTAAGTTGCAACGAACAAACCAGAATCATAATACTGTGAAATGATTAATTGACAGAAAAAGGGACATTTAAGTGCTATTTGTAATTGTTGTTTCGGTTATGTTTTTCGATCGATTAAAAAAATATTTGTACTTATATGAAAAAAGCGCGTTCCGCTATTGTATACAACTAATTTCATCTAAGTATGTTTGGATCCTTATACCGCTCTTTTATCTCTTCCACTTCCATACATTTACGTACATGTGACACGTAAATGTGTACATGACGATAACTGGCGCTTTCAAGTCATAACTTTATAAGGATTAGGGTAATTGGAAATACGTCATCTCTATCTGCTTGGGCTGAATAACATTCTGAAACTGTCCTATTCATTTTCAGGGCAAACTAGGACATTATGATTTCCTTCATAGGGGAATGAGCTGGAATAATTTTTAATAATTTATTAATTTCCACCATAAATTTTACTAAAAGTATATCCCACCGTAAATAAACATTTGTATCCTGTATTGTATGTTAACTTAAAGTAGCACTGAGCTTCGAGAAAGTTAAACGTCATCTATATACGTCATATTTTAATCTATAAGAATTATTAAATTAAACTTTATGTATCCTTTTCAAAATGAATGTCAATATTTTGATATATTTAATTAACGATAAATGATAGTTAACATAATTTTTGTTTGCCAAGCTGAAAGTGTATTTCGAATATCTTCGAAAAAGATTCATAGGATTTTAAATATAGTCACACACAAGATCCACGGGGACGATGTTGCGGGCATAAGTTTGTATTAAGTGTAAAGAAAAAGTGTTTTTAACATAACCCACAAAGTAAATTTGGTCTTACAAATATTGGCTGTATCACTAAGTAATGTTGGTATTAAATTTGCTCTCAAAGGAACTCTTAATAGATTCCGGTCATGGTAATTCTGCCCTCGTAAATATTGGCGGCAGCTCTAATAGAAGCGGCTGTAAACCGTATAACATACTGTCGACCACGTCCGAGGGCCGTCTATAAAACAGAAAACGTATATCCTTTCCCCGCACGCGACTTCACACGACTTCATTATAAGCAGCTTTCGGATGAGAGCAAACAGTTTAGGTACGTCGTGAAGAAAATTCGACGATATTCTTGAAAATATTCCTGGCTAAGCGTAACGGATAATGTGTGAAATTTTATCATTTACCTTCGAAGAAATAATTCTAAAAATAATAAATCTAAAATCTAAAAATAATAAATAGTTTTATGTTTAAACGTATAATGAATGATGATATTGAAGACGTTTTTTTTTTGGTTAAGATTTTGTTCTAGAACATATTTCTTTTATTTCGGGATCGTAAAGGAGCGTCGTAAGCGGTACAGAAAAAAATTGACCATCGGTAATTGAACGAAATAAATTAGATTGGATTCAATTTACCTGGGAGTGTATACTTATTATAAGCTATTAAATATATTTGACATTATAGGCTATGCTTATAGTTTCATATACGCTTGAACTGAGTTATGTAGGCAACAGGTGGCATATATTATTAAACAGAGGCCGATGGCTTCACTGGTCAATGAGACATAATGGCTTGGTTATTAGATGTTAAGTGAATTAATTAATTATCATAACAGATGGATTGTATCACAGGAAGTTCATTAATACAGAATTATCTGTCGCTATTTAATCATAGTAAAGGGGTAATTGGTTTTAAGGTTATTACAACTACAGCGTTCAAGCAGAACCAAGGCAATAGTTTTTTATAATTAATCAGAAGTTTTCTCGGAATAAAATGTCAGCAATAGAATTCAATTCGAAAAACGCATCATGCAAGCCCTTGAATTTTGGAAATGTTTCCAATAAATCAAGAGTCGACGAAATCATTTGAAACAGCATTTAAACAATTAAGGAAATTCCACATAAGTACCACGACCTCACAGAAGACAGGCGTAAAGTAGAAGTGTTATACTTTTTCGTTTAGTCTAGTCAGTGAGGTAGCCGGGGCCCACTTTATTTAAAATTTGCAACCCTACGGGTGTTACAAAAGTCCATAGGCGGCGGTTATCACTTAACATCAGGTGAACCGCCAGCGTTTGCCATTTTATCACATAAGAAAAAAAATGTGTGAAAGACCAACTTTAAAAGGTTGGCGGTGCTATGACGTTGTCAAGTCGTCAACTCGCGAAACAAATAGGATTGCGTGTAATTAACCTATTTAGTAACAATGACGTTTTAAACCAACACGCTGCTCATTTTATTGCATTTGCATTTAAAAATTCTTAATGGATAGAGGTCATTTTGAGATAATAAGCTGGTGTATCAAATAATACGGATACTTTTTAGACATATTAAATTTTTTCGTATTTTCCAATTTTGTTAAAATCGTAACATACGACATTCTTTACAGCGATTTAATTTTAATTCACGTAAATAGAAGAACGTATTAAATATCAATAGCAATTTTGTTCCTCTGAATTTTCTCAAATTCATAATTATGTGTATACGAAACATGTCTGAAAATTAAATTTCTACACAACTTCTCTGTTATTCTCAGCGTCCATCAGTGTTGTGGGCGTTTTGACAGAGTTGTTGTTAATCCAGAAAATGTTACAAGAATCGTCTTATTTGATAGGAAAGTACCGCAGTCTAGTCCTCACGTTAAAAGGACGCAAGGTACAGACGTAAACGGGATACATTAGCTTTCTCTGATTGGTGAGTTAGTTGGAGACCCTCCCATTTATAAGTAACTAGCGCCCAGCATGCTTTGAAGTGCCATGAAAAGATGAAAATTGCTTAGATTTTTGGACATTTTTGCATAGGGACATGTATTAGTGTGACCCACAGATAATCGTTCCCAATCTATTTGTACTCACCCACAAAGGTAAAAAGAATAAGGACATGAGAAAGAGAAGAAAGACAATGATATGAAGAAATCGGAAAGTGAATATAAGGTAAAACATATGGAGAACACTTCTACATTCATTTTTAAACTATTTTTAGTTTTTAGGCGACGGTAAATTATTAGCATCGTATGTCACATTTTCTGATAATACAACAGCTACAGCGAGTGAAAAGTGGAGCAGCCGTATTTAGAACTTTGTCCAGCCTACGAAGGATTGTTCCACCGACTGCAGACCAGTGAAGTAATTAATTACTCTGCTTTGAATGGCTGCCGGAATTTCAAAAGCCTTTGCATCGAGTGTGCTGTGATGTAGCGTCGTTACGATATTATCTGGCCTAAGATTCAAGATAATACGCACGTATTTACGGTGCCGGGTTTTGTGCATTGATTAATACATGTACGTTAATATTTGCAACATAGCATTATTATTGAAATGCTATCTACTATAAATTTAACGATTCTTTATCTTAGTTACAAAATATGAAGGCTTGTTGTTCAGTACTTTGCAGCCTACTTATAGAATGAATTAGCATACAATGAAAAAGGTATAATACATTGTTCCGAGTTATTTTTATTAAGTTGATGTTGAAGTATATAGCCTGTGTATATATAAATAAAGAAGGGCTTTGGAAATTTTTCTAATTATTCTTAAAGCAAACTAATTTTCAAATAAAAATAAGAATAAGATTTTTCACTGCAATCAAACAGCTGCTTCAGCTTTTGCACGAATGAATAGGGAGGTATCTATTAAGGCCTACACCAGGAAAGAAGTATATA